TGGTGTCGGAGGTAAACTTCTCACCTGGATACAGACCTTCCTAGTTGGCCGTCGTCAACGGGTGCTGATTCAGGGCTGCAACTCGGAGTGGGCACCTGTCTCCAGCGGTATCCCCCAAGGTTCAGTATTGGGGCCGACGCTGTTCACAATATACGTCAACGACATGCCACTAGAGGTCTCAAGCAATATGAAGATGTTCGCGGATTACACGAAGCTATACAAGCCACTGAAAAATCCATCCGATCGTGGTGCTGGCCTGCAGGGTGATCTGGACGCTCTGGCACGATGGTCCTCAAGGTGGCTGCTGCCGTTCAACGCAGGAAAGTGTAAGGTGATGCACATGGGCTCAAGAAACCCTGCACACGAATACAGGCTGAACGGGACGCCCATCGCTGTGGTAGACGAAGAAAGGGATCTGGGGATCATAATCGACTCTGAGCTGAAGTTTCACTCGCAAACGGCCGCGGCCGTTTCAAAAGCCTCGCAGCTGCTCGCGGTCATCAAGCGATCCTTCGCTCACATCGATGAGACGACCCTATCCTTGCTCTACAAGGCTCTCGTCCGCCCCTTTCTGGAGTTTGGGAACGCCGTCTGGGGACCGTTCAGCAAAGGAGACCAGAAACGCTTAGAAAAGGTCCAGAGACGCGCCACGCGTATGGTGAAATCCATCAAGCACCTTCCCTACCCCGAGCGTCTGGAGCGTCTCCGACTGCCGTCGTTGTTCTACCGCCGCCGCAGGGGAGACATGCTGACGGTCTACCAGCTGTTCCACGGTGGAATCGATGTGCCGCCAACGACCTTCTTCACCAAGAACGAGACCGAGCTGACGAGAGGACACGGGTGGAAGCTGCTCAAACCCCGAGCCGTGACTCTCGCCCGACGAAGCAGCTTCAGCGTCCGCATCATCAACGACTGCCCAGCTAACAATTTGCCGTTGTTACAACGTCGTTTAACCCTCGCCCGCACATGGGGGGGTGGTTGCCACCCCCCCAGGTAGTCTTTCTGCTCTGCACTCAACATTTTTAGAGCTAGAAGGCTGATTTTTCGTATAGCTGCTCCTCTATCCTTTCTTGATGTTCACTGAAAATTTCAAGTTTCTGTGATTTTTGGTTTCGGAGATATGACCTTGTTTTTCAGGTCATGTCATGACCCAAATGGCCAATTCTAAACATCTTGCGCTTGCCATGGGCCTTGTGAGCTTTTGACACCCTGATTTCGGCCGTTTTTGCCAGTCTTACCTCCCACCTATCATGGAACATGTTGTTCGACGATGTACAGGGGTCAAGGTCAGGGTCAAGGTCAACCTAGGTCACCTAAGATAATTGCGTTTTAGGCAAGCTGAATTTACTTTTTGTGAAGTTTTTTGACTGCATTTTTGGTAAAAGCTTCTCAGAGCATGATTTCATGTAATATGGACCCAAAAACAATCGGTGCACACATCAGTATACACACAGACACACACAGACATACAAACACATATAATTGACCTTGACCTAACTTGACCTGAAATGACCTCAGCAGCAAAATTCTGGTCGGGTAGTGTGACAAAGAGGTTCTAGCTGGCTTGGCACCAGAAAACAGCATCGTCATCGGTATTTGATAAGCAGCGCACTTGATATCCAACGGTGACCCAAAACAGCAACATTTTTTAGTTTGACCTGACCTGGAAGGTCAATGACTGACCTGAGAAGGTAAAACTGGGTATCATTGGATTCGTCTCTTCCCAAAGAATCTTTTTGGTCTTTACTGCTAAGCTCTATCTCCAACAGGAACGAAATGGCGCGGGGGGGGGGGGGGTGGCAACCACCCCCCCATGTGCGTTCTAGGATGGGAAAATGGCATGTGCGGGCGAGGGTTAAGCGTTGTCAAATGGTTACCACAACGTTCCGATTTATCGTTGTGACAACGTAATTTTGTAGACTCCAGACAACGGCGTGACAACGTCATCCGACCATGCATTTGAATGTCATCACAACGTTTCTGTAACGTGGCCGTGACGTCCCAAAACCGTTCTTATAACGTCCCGCCAACGTTATGAAATGTTTTCTGTAACGTGCCAACAGCGTTTCTGGAACGCTGTCACCACGTTTCCGCAACGTGACTACAAGGAGTATAGAACGCTTTGGCAACGTCTCTGCGACGTTTTTATCACGTGCGCACCACGTTGTCGCTACTTCGTATTGCCGTCCCTGCGACCCTGAGTAAACGTCCAAACATTTTCGCAACGTCCTCTCAACGTGTTCGCAACATACTCAGAATGTGTTTCCGACGCTCTCTTCCCGTTCTCTAGACTTGTAAAAAAGGCATGTAAGAAGTGTATATTTCAATACATCACACAGGTCAATTTAAAAAAAAAAACGCCGGCGGCGGCATCGGTGATGGGGCATGGGGCCCAGGCAGGGGCGCCCCCATGGGGGCGTGGGACGGAATTGGGTTCTACCGGCTCTGGCGCTAGCCGCTAGCACGCCAGAACTGGTGGAAGTTCACTTCTTCACTAACCCTCGCTGGGAGGATCACTCGGCGGACCGTTAGGCACCGGCTCATTTGCGGCCTCGATGTCCCTAGGCAGCTGGCAGTGCCTGACCAGACGGTCTGCGCATTCCCCGTTCCGGTCGCAGCTTCCGGACAGCCACTTCGCTACCGCATTGCCGACAGTAGGCCTGCCACAAGGCGCGCTGACGAGTTGCAGGACGTCTGCGGGAAGACATGAGGGAAAATCAGACATATTCAATTCATGAAAAAATCACAAAAATACCTGCACTACTTCCCGTAACAGTGCGACAGGCTAGATCAAACATGTCAACACCTTAGAGGCTAGAGCTACAATGAACTATAGCCTAGACCGCACGATATTACAAGGCACAATCTTGCAAATGCTAATCGTAAATGGTACTTTGACTTACCAGTCAAAGCAACAATCGCATCAAACGCAGACAACTGGCGCTATCTTTCATCTTCCAGCTATCTCAATCTCAGCCGCGCCCGCCGCCGGCCCTCACTGCTCGCTCGCGCTGCGTAGACTGCGGCTCGGCCGGCTGGCTCTGAACGCCGGCCGGTGACACTGACGTCACGGCCCCTCAGGCGAGGTCAGGGCGCGGTCCACCGTTCGCCAGAGTAGCGGCCCGCGTGGCTTGCTGGCAGCCGCGGATAACAGCCGCGTTTACATAGGGATAGTTGCAAGCCTCTAGCTCCGCCTGTGATGTTGCAAAACATGCCAATGACGCTTTGCAATTTACACATGTTATATATATATATATATATATATATATATATATATATATATATATATATATATATATATTAGAGAGAGATAGAGAGAAAGCCCATCTTAGCGGTATGGGGCGGGGGAGGTCCCAACTCGACTGCGCCCTTGCAAATGTCAATCAGTAGTATCAACCTACTACCCCGGCCAAACATCAAGTAGCGCCTTTCTAAATAGAGAGAGGTTAACACGTGACTATTTTTGCTAGGCCAAGACCGATTGAAGGACCCTGGTTCGAAGGAAGACCCTTGGTTTGGAGAGGTCATGACCCCCGTCCCCCGCCGGTTTCTACGCCGACGCCTGTAGCAATATGTCAGTGATTGCGAAGAGACGGAAGAGACAAGACAAGAGACGGTCCCACCGACCATCCGATCGGTATCGGGTCAAATCTGGAGTTACCGCTGCACTGAACGTAAAATGGTTGGAGGGAACCTCAAATTGAAAATTATCTAAGCGCCAGCAACGTTGATTGATGACTAGAGTCTGATCAACGATGATTATAGAATCTGAGTAGCGAATTGATTGAAAATGGGCTCAAAAATAAATTTGAAAGGGGGAAATTCCCCCTTCCCTCCCTAGCCGTTCACGCACAATTTGAAAGGGGGAGCGGAATTTTCGAAGGGGGGAAATTCCCCTTTCCCCCTTTAAAAGTTACCCTGAGTACCTTTAATGTCAAGGTTGTGAAAAACCGTTTTAACAACGTGTTGGCGACCACCAGCTGACAACGGGAACAGTCCAAGTGTTAAAACATGTCAACTTTAAAGGGACCCTCCCACCTTCAAAAAAGTTAATGAATTGGCACGAAAGTGATGTCGCTCGGTTCAGAAAGAGCGAAAACGAATATCTACCAAATTTCATCGAAAAATATTCACCGGTTTTCAAGATATTAGACTTTTACTTTTGTTTACTTTTTGGGATCTCCGCTGTTCCTAGCGACTTTATTTGAAAGTGCGGCATTTGTTGCGCGCAAAGCAGCATATACCACCGCGTGCTACCAAACGTTTTAGTAAAAGATTAAAAAATCGTTAGATCTCCGCTGACGTCACAAATTCTAAGGGGGCATACCAATGCACTAGCCCCTTAGAATCCGAAAACTGCAAGTTTGAAATTCCATATCTCCGAATTAAAGCATTTGTCGATTGTGTGAGTGCCCAAACCGGTATTTTCAGGCCATGGCCACCAATTTGGCTATCTCAACTCAAAACTAATGTTAAGGTGGGAGTGTCCCTTTAATGATGAAAACTGAAAATGCGCATTGAAAGTCAAAGGAAATGCATTATATGGTCATATATGTCACCATGCATTATCAAAATATAATATTGCAAGTGCGCGGTTGCTGCAACGTACCAATAAAACGTTGTCACAACGTTTTACCACAACTTTCGGACCAAACCATGGCTTCACAACGTTCAGAACGTTGCTACAACGTAATTAAAACGTAATTTCGCAACTTACCGAAACACGACGTTGTGACAACGTTGTAGTAACGTTTCCTGTTAGCTGGGTGGAACGGTCTACCTGCTGAGGTCGTATCGGCCGAAACACTCTCGACATTCAAGGCACGACTTGACCATCACTGGACCCACCTAATGTATGTCATGCCACAACCTTACGAGTCCTGAATGTCTCTGCAAGTAACTCGGTGAGAACGGGACCTATAGGCCAAGTGGCCTTTTCTATCCCGATGACCTTCAAGGTAAGGTAAGGTAAGGTATAAGAAATTTTGCAGTAGTTTAGAGCATCTTACAGAACCTGCCACGGATCCACAAAATGTAAACAATCAAGATGGCTAGCAATGTGGCGCGGTCGACTGATGCCGAAGCCGCGAATTTAGACTTATTGCAGAATTGGGATGATACTGAGAATCCTCTGGCCCCCTTAGAAGAGAGCCAAAGAGATGCAGTCATCGATCTGTCAGTATATGCACATGACCGACCACTTCCAGAAGAGGTATGTCGCTTTTGATGTTGCGCCATGTTCGCCTACACCGAGAAGGCTTGTGTTATTTTGCACTGCATTTACCGATAAAATGTTATCAAATATTCATAAAAATAATTTATTGCAGGGTATAGGGTAAATATTCAATAGTTTTTGGTTGAAGTTATATAAGTGTGCTAAACATAAATATTTAGTTAGTAGTTATTGAAGTATCCCAGCAGTGTGTGTGACAAGGTTAAAAATGTGTTTAGGCTAAATATGGGCAGTGAAGCTGAATGGTGATTTAATAGCATAATATGACAGATTTTATTAGTCGGTCTTATGACCTTCAGCCAATTATTAACCTATTTAGCCTAAGTATGTAAAAGGTAGTGTTTTGTCGAGGTTATTCAGTTGTGTAGGTAGTGCCAGAAAAAAATTATGAAATTTGCAATGTGCATTTATAGCAGTTCTAGCATCTTGATATGCTCAGAAATCATTAACTAACCATAATAACTCATCACAAACACTAAACTTGCAGAGAATTAATCTAAAACTACAATTTCAAGCTGTGTCATTGTATAGTCAACCACCTTAGCATCTATCAATCTCCATTTACCTAAATGTTTAAGTTAAATTTATATGAGAATGTGTTTTTCAGAAATGCTTATAAGTTATAATTTTGTTTTTGTTTTGCCTTGTTGACACTCAATATTTTCTCTATCAGGCTGCACTGGCTGCAGGCATCAATTAGCTTAACCCTATTAGTGGCAGGGGGGGTTGTTTTCATCCACCCCTCAGGTTTTTCGGGAATATCTCCGAAACCGCTGAAACTACGATGCTGAAATTTTCTGACTTTTCCTAAAACTAAATTGGGCACATTCCCTGAAAATTTCAAGTTCATAACTTTACCAGGGGCGGCTCCAGAACACTGGGAATTGGGGGGTCCTATTCGTGAAGCGAGTCATTTGGGCGAAGATCACGATGCTGCACCAGTTTTACGAACAGTGAATGAAAGGTATCATGTGATAACATATACAGTTATTGTGCATCCTCTTTTGACACGTTTTTGCTATAATAGGCGGATCCGGGCGTTCAAAAAAGGGGGTTATGTTTTACCTCCCAACATAGGTGCCCTGACACCGCCTATGCATGACCAATACAATTGTAGTCGTTCTCTCATAAGAAAATTGTAACATAACAAGACCATTACCACCCTTTTTAGAAACAGTACCAACAAAAACCTTATTTACTATACTTTTTGTGTACCCCCAATCTCAATGATCTGTATCCGCCTATGATTTTTGAAAATGCATATTTTTAGGATCCATGTGAATTCCTGGTTCATTCTCTATCGATCGGCAAAAGTTGCGTTAAGATTGGTTCAGAAACCTGGCCGTGATAAACAGTCTAAAATGTATCTGCAATTTGCCCGTTTTTACCCCCCTCTACCCCCCTATTGACATTTTTTAATTTTTATTTTTTAGAAATGTAGATCACGTTGAGCGAAATCGAATGCCGTTTGAATTTTGAAAATCAGCCCGTTAGATCTTGAGATATCAAGGGGGGGGGGTCGTAAACAGCCCCCCCTGCCACTAATAGGGGTAGCCAGGAGCCTGCCACTAATAGGGTTAAGTACATCAAGCTTGTAGGTTCAGGTATCTCAAAAGGCTTTCAATGGGCATGTTCTCAAATCCTCTTGACAAATGACACTAGCATTCTGAAACTTCAAAACTCAGCTGAGCTGTATTAAAGTGTGTAGTAGGTATTCTCTAAGATTTCAATTTGTGAAGGTAGGGAGCAGATTCTCTTTGATACATTGTTCATTGAATAATACAGCGTACGAGTGATTGTGGTACTGGCGAAACATTACAAAATATAGGCACCATATTTAATATGTCCCAAAATTTGTAGATGTGGGTGGGAAACGACATCCAAATGAAAATCATTTTCCACTCTCACCTCCAGTTTTCAAGCCCAATTTTCCACTCCCAATTCCACCGAGAAGGAGCAATTGCGTGAATGGTTGTTTTGCATCTGTCACAATTGTAGATAGATTAATGTTTTTGATCATTTTCCCACTCTTTTTGGGCCTTACCTGACCGACAATTTTTCACTTTTATCCTTTTTTTGGTCAGCAATTTTCCCCTCTGACACCCTAGCAAAAATATGATTTTGGGACACTGCCATATTAAGCTGTTTTTCAAATGAAGACAAGAAGCTAGTGCGCCGTATTGTTTTCAATTTGGTAAACACACAATACATTTACTCTTTCCATCTACTTTTCAGCTGTCGGTGCCTGAACTGGACGATCCAAGGAGTCCCACCACTTCAGTATCTGAGCCTGATGTGGTCACATCATACCAAGCACCCATTGACTCAACACAACAGGTGGGCACAAAGAGTTCTGATGTCTGCTCAGTGCTCAATGTATGTTACACATGGATGTTTGCAGAGACATGGTAGGAATAATGGTCATTACCAGGATGTTTCAAATGAAAACAAAATATGTGAAACTGCTTAGCATTCTCACCTGGTATTTTTACCTGATAGGGTTCACCAATGAAATGTTTGAATGTAAAGTTCACCAGTATGTGATGTTGGAAATAATTTTCAAATAAGTCTAATGAATTAGTCCAATGTTGTTTCCATGAATATTTTGATGTGTGGTTTATAGTTGATACCCCCAAGTCCAAACTAAAGAAGTAAATGTTATATGTTCAAAAGGTCCTCAACCCAGTCCATCCATTGGTACAGAAGGTCCAACTTGAGTGGCCTATCCAGTAAAGAGCATTTGCTGCATCTTTCCCTTCTCTTGTTGAGTAATGTCTATGTTTAGTATGTAGCTTATGCAAATGAATGTATGTTCAAAAGATATTTACTACTTGATTCTGTCTGGGGTAAATGTGTTTTGTTTGTCTAACATATTTCATGGCTGTGTTGTGACTTGGCACCTATGACTTTTTCTGGCAGTTTTTCCACTGGTTTTCGGAGTTGGAGCATGACATGATCTCTGAGGAGGATTTCATCTACCAGTCGTACACCAAGCAGCTGCAGACATATCAGAAGCAGTGCTCCGACCTTCTCTCCCAGGTGTGTGTGCTGCGCCTTGATAGAATTAACCACTTTGTCTACCAACCAGGGACTGGACAACCAGGCCTGGGATTTTGTGGATCTATTTTTACGTTGTGGGAGGCTTCTTACTATGTGTGTGGCAGTAGATCGTCAGCCGAATGTGACAAATCCCAGAAGCTGTGGAAGTTGCAGATCTTCGCGACTTTCTGAGGATAGTGTCTCTTTTCGACCGACGGTCGTTAAGACGGACTCATTCATTATTCGGGAGGCGTTCCTTGTGACGGCCCCTTTCTCCTCCTAAACACCGTGACCTGGCTATGACCCTGGCGGCTCTGTGTCTCAGGTGGAGACCTCGCTGGAGCAGATGCGTCAGCTCAGTGGTGACTACACCACAGTCAGCACCAAGACCAACTCGCTACACGACGCGTGCGAGGCCCTGCTGGCTGATCAGGTAAGTCATGTATTAATTATTGGTGGACTACACTGAACTGGGAACTCTGCTGGCTGATCTGGAGTCTCTAAATCAGCCTGCAGTCTCTAAAAGTCATTACAGAACAGGCAACTTAAAATTTGCTAGAGCTGATGCATGGTGAAAATCGAATGCAATGGAAAGCTGTCTGTTTTGTGCCATGCTTTTTTTGCTTACGTTTTTTTATCGAATTTATGTTTTTTGTGCCTTTTTTTACTGAAATGCATCAGTTTTCATCTGACGTTCACTGCCTGTCCCAGCCTGATCTGTCGCAGTGTCCCTGACATTTTCCACCACGTCCTGTCCACAGACGAAGCTGAGCCAGCAGGCCGAGCTGATCGACACCAAGCTGTCCTACTTCCTGCAGCTGGACAAGATCACCAAGCGGCTCGACTCGCCGACCTTCTCGGTGACCAGCGAGGCCTTCATCCCGCTGCTGGCCAGGCTGGACGAGTGCATCCAGTACATGGTCACCAATGTAAGTGACGTGACTGGGTGACCACAGGCTGGGCTACTTTTACCGTGGGTAAAGCGGCAATGTAGAGCATCATAGAGTTTATGGCAGGGCTGCGGAGTCGATAGATTTTAGGATGACTCCGACCCCGACTTCAACTTCAAAAATCGACTTCGACTCCGACTCCGACTCCGAACGGTTCTAATAAGATCCATACCATGATGTTGAAGTTCATGATAATGGAGATATTTCAATCTTGCCTGAAACGATCCCTTGTGCGTTCCACTCCAAGGCTTCGCGTTGCAAATATGCATTGAAAATAACATGCAGAATTAAAAAGCAGGTTCTTGGGCATTCACCTTCTTCTGCTTCTTTCGCTGAAAACGTTCGTCCAAAACAGCAAAATGACCTTTTTTCGACAAAATCTTATTTCGAGCGCAGTACCGTCAGTCAAACAGGTGCAGTGCATGACGTTGAGCCGTGCAGCGTTAACTCCGACTCCGACTCCGGGCAGAACTGTCAACTCCGACCAACTCCAACTCCGACTCCGACTCCGCAGCCCTCGTCTATGGTATACGATTGGTTGACGGACGGTGACGTCGATGATGTATGCGCAAATAATTGCGAGTTTGTCTCGAATTAGAGATCTGGCGATAATGAGATATGTTTCTTCTCCTGCTTGGTGGTGGGTATTTCTATGCTTGGCACAGAGCCGGAAAACCTCCTTTAAGTATTTAAAGGAATGTGCGCAGTTCTTCGCTCTCTCATTTGCGTCTTCTTTCCCTTTCCAGCTCCAGTCATCAGCTGACTCCCCTCCCTCCCTCTCCCCGCAGCCGACGTACAAGGACGCGGCGGCGTACCTGGCGCGTCTGCGACACTGCCAGTGGCGCGCGCTGGGCATGATTCGCTCCTACGTGACGGCGAGCCTGGAGCAGGCGGCGGCGGCGGCGGCCGGCCACGGCGCAGCGGCCGCCGCCGCGCCGCCCACCGCCGAGCCGGGCATGGCGCTGGTGTACGGCAAGTTCCGCACGAACGCGGCGCGCGTCAAAACACTGATGGAGGAACTGGAAGACCGCGTGGACGCTCAGCCCGAGTGAGTCGGGGGAGCGATGTGCTGACGCGGCGGGCTGCTGTGACAGCGGCAAGGTCGTATCAAGAAGCCTTTATTCTCGTTTCTTCATTGAGTGAGAAGTGAAGCCATGCTACTAGCTAAACAACAGATAGCTAGCCGCCTCACGAGGATGCAGCTTTACACAATTATTTTTTAAGTTTTTTTTTGTTAATTGTTTGCTTACTGTTCTTGTTCGTATAACTTCTAATTTCAGCAGCTGCTGTCAGCCTATAACCCTGTGCTCTGATTGGTTCTGTGCCCCGTGTGTGACGTCAGGTACCAGCAGCTGTTGGCCGACTGCCACGCCTGCTACTTCCGCCCTGTTTTCTGATTGGTTCTGTTCTGTCTGTGACGTCAGGTACCAGCAGCTGTTGGCCGACTGCCACGCCTGCTATTTCCGCCACCGACACCAGCTGGTATCTCCGGCGGTACAGGCGGGGATCCGACAGCTGGCCGAGCGGCACAAACGCGACCACTGCGCGCTGGTGAGTGGGAATACTGCGCTCTGGTGAGTAGGGGAGCACCGAGCAGACTGCTTTGCTGGGTAGGAGAGGTAGCACTGTGTTCTGGTGGGTTGGAGATGGAGCATTGTGCCTGGTGAGTGAGAGTGAGAACATGTCTGTGCTCTGATGGCAAGTAACTATGTAAGAATGCTGAGCTCTGGTGAGTTAGAGGAGAGCACTTTGCTCTGGTAGGTTCAAGCATAAAACACAGAACTGTTCATAGTTTGGGAGCTCAGTTGAATCGGTCTCTACATCTTCAGTCACTCGTCATTCTTCATCTCATAACAGTTCGTGGGTGACAGCTGTACCGCGCTGCGGACCAGTCTGACCGTGGTGATGACGCTGCTGTTCCTGTTGTTTCCAGTTCCGGAGCGGCTGTGCCTTCCTGGTCCACCTATGCGAGGACGAGTATCAGCTCTTCTTCCAGTTCTTCACAAAGCCCAGCCCGCAAATCAAGTCAGTGCTTAGGGACGTGAGGGGATCACTAATGTCAGAAATAGTTTTCCAGCTGTGCGGCTATTCTCACCTCTGATTATTTTCACTTCCCATCTCCGCGTCAAATTTTAATACTTTCGGTATTCTGATTTCAAGAAACCTTTTCAAAAGCATCTCTCAATTTTTCCTGTGTTCCGAACAGAGATTCGCTTCTTGTGATCATAAGCGTATATAAGCAGAAACCCAGCCAGCCTCTACCTCTGTGTTTGACTGACACAGGCCTCTTATACTGGCACTGTGTCCCTCCCATGTCACTGACACTGCCTCTCCGCCTTCCACGACAGTGAGTCGCTGGAGGGCCTGTGCGCCAACCTGTACGACCTACTGCGACCGCTCATCATCCACATCAACCACCTGGAGACGCTGGCCGAGCTGTGCAGCATCCTCAGCGTCGAGATGCTCGAGGAGCACGTCAGCAACAACCGTACGTCGCCGACGCCTCAGCTGGGCAGAGTGTGATGGTCGATTTTGGGGGCTCAGGACTGACTTTTGTGTTGACTTTCGCTCCATGTTTTTCTTTTTTAAACGCTTTTCCTTTTAAACTTTTAATTTTACGTTGATGCTCATGGTAATGTGAGAACACGTTCAAGGATTATTCACCTTTATCAAAGCTCTCATAATTGTATAAACTTGCATGTTACTTGCATGTTGCATGCAAACTTGCGTGCATGACAGCGTGTCATTTCCCACTGGCACCTACTGGCACCTACTGGCCTACTGCACTACCTACCTACCACCTACTGGCACAGCAGTGGCCTGTGTTTTGGCATATGAAGTAAGCGTCACCCTCTCGTATGCCTCCCCCATACGCACGCTCAGTACATCGTATTCGTCGCTGTTGGCATTCACAAAATTTCGCCCTTTGCCGACCTCCTGGCGCGCGGTGAGGGTCATTTATGTCTCTAAACAATGTCCGGTTGTTATTATGCTAACTTTTGTCCTCCGCTCGTCCCAGCAGTGCCCACATGACTATATATCCGACGCGCCCTCTCCACTCGTTCCAGCAGTGTACCCTCTGTCTGACCCGCCCTCCCCACTCGTTTCAGCCGTGCAGCTGGAGGCGTTCGGCACCACGGTGCGCCAGCTGCTGCAGGACGTGCAGGAGCGGCTGGTGTACCGCAGCCACATCTACATCCGCTCCGACATCCTCAACTTCCGACCGAGCCCCGGCGACCTGGCCTACCCGGAGAAGCTGGTCATGATGCAGAGCATTGCCGAGTCGCTGCAGCGCCAGGACAGTCGCGGATCGATGTCGTCACAGCTGAGCCACACCTCGGCCGGCAGTGAGGCCAACGGACTGCCGCGGTCCCGCACTGGCAGTAAGTGGGCGGATTTTTACAGAGACTGGTGGTGGGTGGTGTCTGTTTTGCTATTGTTTTTTCTGTATTTTCGGTCTGACCGTAAATTGTACGCTACACAATTGGCTCTCTAGTCGTGTTAGGAACTAGGATGCTCACGAGGCTCAGGCACTGATCTCTGCTCTAATGCGACGTCATTTCTGTCAGGCACTGTCCAGAGGATTCACCGTCCGCCTCCAGACGGCTGTTTGTCGCGGCACCTTTCCTGGCCTGTCGACGAACCGTTTACAGTATCGCTCTCTGAATCGGTGTCGTAATAGGTCTTATTAGGATATCTGATTACCCCTCTATCTCCCTTCCTTCCAGACTCTCCGGCCGACCTGCACGGCATGTGGTACCCGACGGTTCGCCGCACGCTGGTCTGTCTCAGCAAGCTATTCCGGTGTACAGAGCGCAGCGTGTTCCAGGGCCTGTCGCAGGAGGCGCTGGCTATGTGTGTACAGAGTCTTCAGAACGCCGCGCACAGCATCGCAGAGAGAAAGGTACAGACACGGGCAGTGGCTAAGATATGGGGGTTAGGAGGTGTGAGCAAGAAAATGTTCAGCTAGAAGTGACATTTTCATTTCTACGAGTAAGTGGTTTTTAGTTGACGTAGATAAACGAAGAGCAAAACCAAGTCACTGTCTCTAATCTCTATTATCGCCGTAACGTCATTCTCTCCCCCCCCCCCCCCCCCGCCTCTGCAGTCCCTGCGAGACGCTCAGCTGTTCGAGATCAAACACCTGCTGATTCTGCGAGAGCAGATCGCCCCGTTCCACGTGGACTTTTCCGTGCGGGAGATCAGCCTCGACCTGAGCAAGATAAAGACGGCAGGTGAGAGATACTTGGGACTGCGGTGGAACTGGGAGGACAGAAAAGGAGGGGTGCGGTGGAGTCAGGGAATGACTTAACGGGCTCACCGAAATTAATTAATACAAGAAGTTATCGGTAAAATGCGGCAATGTCTTTGAATGGTACATAATGCAGTCGTGGTTTAGTGACTAGCCACTGGAGCTAGCCCTTTTTGGCAAGCAAGTTGTGCGACTGATGTTTCCATCTTGTTCACCCCTTTAACGAAGACTGATCGACCCCCGTGCGTCTACCTCCAGCGATGGGTCTGGTGCAGAAGCGCTCTCAGCTGTTTGCGCTGAACTCGAGTAACGCGCTGCTGGAGTTTCTGCTGGAGGGCACGCCGGCCGTGCAGGAGCACACGCGCGACTCCAAGCGCGAGGTGGACCTGCAGCTGAAGCGGGTCTGCGAGGCCTTCATCCGGAGCACCCAGAGTCTGCTGCAGCAGCCTGTGGACAGCCTCATACTCAGGGTTAGTAGACCGGCAGACACTGATACTGAGTCGGCCATCAGTAGACTGGATGTAGTGATATGAAGCTTAGAAGCCGGGTAAGAGAGCGATACCTATGATCGGGGCCGGGGGCAGTGGTGCTGAGGGTTTAATGTAGCCGGCCACTCGCAATGGTAGATGTGGTGGACGTTATTTGAGTGACGACATGGGATACGACGCGATCATGGGGCACAGGAAACCGTCTTTTACCTACTAACAGGCGTTAGTGACAGCCGCTGTGTGTTTACGATAGCTGACTGTTCATTTGTAGTTATGTGCTGTATTTGACTTTGTCATCCTATCCGTGTGTAAGCAGGTGTCTCTGCCTCTGTGTCCCCAGATTCAGGCGGTGCTGGAGTCGGCACCCGATCAGCCGCTGCCCCCGGCCGAGACGGTGGCAGCCGCCGTCACTGAGAGCCAGAGACTCATCAAAACACACCTGCCCGAGATCCACTCCAGTCTGCAGCTCTACCTGGCCAACCCAGAGACTGAGTTCATTCTCTTTAAACCGGTGAAGGTACGTAAATTAGGTGGTAGGTTCGACTATTGGAACTGCACACTACAGTTATTGGAATTCAGCTAACGAAAACAGCTGTTGAAACTGTGCAGTATGCCAGTCTTACCGTTACGTGTGGCGCGACTTGGTGGGGGCTCTATCCCAAATTAAGTGTTTGTGACTGTTGGGACTTTGTTAGACCATGAGGCCGGACGGTGTCGTGCAGTGACGTAGTCCGACGTTCTCCGTTTAGGGTGGGCCTAGTGTCAGTTCCCGCCTCTGCCGCCAGGTGGGACTGCTGCAGCGCTTCCAGCGTCTGCAGGACATCCTGCTGGAGCGCTACAGCGACGACGACCGCATGATCGTCATGTGTCCGTCCCAGGAGCAGCTGTCCGTGCTGTTGGCCTCGTGTCTCAAACAGCCGGCTCCGGCGGCGGCTGCTACCCCCGTCCCGGCGCCCGGCGCAGCGTCCAGCCCGTCCCCTGCCGCTGCCCCTGCCCCAGCGACTCCCGCCTCCGTCCCCGCTCCAACAGTACCCACCCCCGTCCCCGCCCCAGCTGCCACAGCGCCTGCAGCCCCCGCCCCCGTCCCAGTCTCCACAACCCCCGTCTCCGCCCCCTCTCCTGCCCTCCCGTCAGCGGCGGCGCCAGAGCTGCCGGCGGTGGCCCATACCGCCGCGTCGTGACGTCATCGTCTGACCGAGTGACGTCACCGGACGGCGGACGGGCCGGTGTGCCTTACCGTGCCTGGGTGGGAGACGGTGGGCGGCTGTGGACTGTGAGTGGAAACAGGCTGCTGACCTGACTTGACACACGCTCAGGGGAGACCGGTCGGGGTCACCTTGTTGTCCCGGCCCGTAACCGAGTACTGCCCCGAGGTTTGTTAATCGCTGCGGCACTGTTGATTGGGATGATGTTTATTCGGTTTTGTTTTTCTGTTCGAATTTGTTCTGTTCTGTTTGGTTAAATGAGGCGCATTTCGGGGTGATTGATTTCCGTATCCGGTTACTGTGAAGGGCTAAAAACTTCCGTAGGAGGCATCTGCCAGCATTCCCGAGTTTTTGTTTGAGCTGGTTTCGCGGTCCGTTTAGTTGCTTCAATCGTCGCCATTTTACCGGAGGACGGCTCTTTCTCCGCCGTAAGAAGTGCGCCGCATTGTTCCAGCGACATTCTGTTGATGCGTCCATGCGCTGGGTGATCTGCCCGTCCACGCAGGATCGTCGGCTCGTTTTTACAGTCGTTTTCGCTCGTCCCCACGCAGAAAGAGAGCGTCAATATTCCGGCGCAAAACGATCGCCATTGGTTGATAGTATCTGTGAAAACCAGCCTTTGAAATGTGCCGGTGGAAGTGAAGTTGATTAAGGCGGATGTGATAAGCCGCTATGTGCATTTGTTATTCTGTTTAGTAGGCTGTATTTATTTTCGCCGGTAGGTTTCGTTGGGCCTGGGCGTTGGGCGCTTGGAGAGCCCCGTGCGTTTGCCTGAATTTGACGGTACGGTAGACATCCAGTCGGTGAACTCTCTTCAGGGAAGAGTGGGATGTTGGCGGGCGCCAGGCGTCGTGTGATTATGCACCGTTTGTTGAGAAAGTGATGATGTATCTGCGCAATACATAACTAGCTTATAACAATTTGATTTCATACGTGGTTCAGGAGGAGCGGCTGAGAACGCCAGTAATGGTTATCGTAAAGGTCATTGCTTAGGACAATGCATAAGCAAGCATTCACGTTTTCAATAATTTAGGTGGTTGAGATCATAGGCCTCTTGCACCAAACTACCTAGCTAGGTAAAATCGAAAAACCGGTTTCAGAATAAGCTAATCAAACGGTGGTAAATTTGTTTGCAATAGCCCAATAGGGGAGAGGCGGGAGAATTGGGACTTATTTCTCAGGCCATGTTCATTGAGGTATTATTTGGCAAGTATTGTAGCCAAGCTGCTTTGCGCAGCGCCAATAAAAGGTCCACCATTTCTCTGCATTATGCCATCATAAAATAGCGAGCCTGTGCAATGATGTAGCTATATGTGGATAAAAACAAAAACACTCATTTTCAGGAGAATAGGGACACATGCAAGGAGACAAGGGACAGACACGAAGCTGAATTGGGACATATAAAAATCGGGTATTTGGATGACTCTATCTCGAATTATTTGTCGTGTCTGTGTTTATAGGCAATCATTTGATACATTGGAACTTATCTTCACACTATCTGTTTCGTTAAATGCCGGGATTGTCTTTCACGATTACGATGTTCCCATAAAATGCACATTTTCCTACCAGAGTAAGACTTTCTGGTCTTCGCTTTGATGTATTTGTGGTTAAGGGTGCAGCTGCAACCCCTTCCAAAACACGAAGGTAAAAACACATATTTTTGCACCACTTTACCGTTTTTACCATTTGGTGTCCCTATTCTCCCACAACACCGCCATAACAAATCACGCATTTTTTTGTCATTTATCAGTTACAGAGCGTGTTCATACAAACTAGCAATCGCATAAGGACGGTGTTAATCTAACATCGTAACATGTTGAAAGAAAGATAGTTTGTCATATGCAATGCACAGACAACTCAGAATAGCACTCGAAAAAACAAGTTTTTGGTGCCCAGCCAGCACAGCCCAAACGACGCCCACAAAAGGGTTGCTGAGGCTTTCCATCGTTGCATGACACATAGAATCAAAAGGTGAAGGCAATAATCGTGCAAGGATGCTGTCCATTGTTTAGCTATTGGCGTGTCCCTATTCTCCTGCGTCCCAATTCTCCCGCCTCTCCCCTACATAATCCTACAGGTGCTTGGTAAATTCTACACGCAAATTGTCACATATGAGTCTTGGATTGGGTATACGATGCAAAATAATCCAAGCATTGGTGCAAGAGGATTTTGGTGCAAGAGGCCTCATATTGCTAATGATTTTGAAAACAGAAGCAATCAGAAATTAGAAGCGTTTGGACATTAAAGGGTCAGATTGAAGAATGAGGTCTTCAAAGGCCATAAAAGGTCCAGCGTAATGATTTCTGTTGTTGGTTAGAAGGCACGCAGGTGGATCGTCGAAGTGCGTTTTTTACTTATCTTCAGTTCGGTTAGCAGGCCGCTAACCGTTGTCGGCGTTGTCACGTGGTTTGTGACTCGAGTTAAACAGCCAGTAATGCTTTATTTCATGCGCCATCAGATCGTTCATAGCAGCAAGAACATGTAATATGTATAAAATGCTTGTCCATTATTCGCTGAAGACTGGTGCCCGATTGTTGTGTAACCATAAATCGATCGAGCAGACTTTTCCGATAGGGTTCGTTACTTAGAAACCCCATGATAACTCGCGGATCAGATAATAAAGACAACAAACTGAGCACCAAATTGCTTTTTGGCCTTGCACACTGCACTGCCCTGCTTTTTGGCCTTGCACACTGCCCAACGGCCTCGAAATTGGAGAAACCGTATGCTGTATGTGACGTTTCGGTGTATCATGTATAGGTATATGGGTAAGATAAGCTGAGAATAACACTCAGTTTTTATACCCTGAAATTTAGTTTAAGCCTAAGTGACACTGGAGACATAAAACCTCTGAACACGGTGTGGTAAGACGAATGCACCGTGATGCGTAACTGTAATGGGCTGACCAGTGGCCGCTCCACACCACACCGCTGCGCCCATGCACCGTTGATTGACGCCCCCGGACATACCCGCGGTCTTCCCCTCCCCCGCTCCGGGTCAGCGGTCTCGGACCGGTAGCGGCCGGCGCGGGGCGTGTTTTTCGCCACCAGTCCGCTCCTTCCGGTCCACCCGTCTCGTCACGTACCTACCCATCGCAATGGGGCCGCCGAGCGGTCGGCGGGCGAAAAACTGCCCCGGCGCGCCGGCCACCGGCGGCCGACGCCCCCTCACCACCAGCTCGGCACACTGAGGCGAGTCCGAGGGTCCGGGTCCGTTCTACCCTAATTATATTACTGATTGATGCTTGAACGGCCAATGTCTCTCATGTTTCCATTCCGTTTTTTTTTTGCGTCCTTATTAACATAGTTCTTGCCTGTCAATAAATCGTCGGCGCCTCACTTTTACTATTCACATGTTTTTTTTTTGTTTTTTTTTTGTCTTAGGTCTGAGCTGAAAGCAAATTTGAATTCGAATCGCATTCAAGTTTTCCGTCTTCGATGCACGGATCAATTCCCTGTTTGACGCAGTCGACCTGACCGACCTAATGACACCATTTTTGTCGCGAGTGACTGCGTTCCCGGCGGTCGGAGCGGGTCGTCCTCGTCTGAAAACCGGCCCCCTGTCCGTCCGTTCACCGAAAGGTGGGCCTGGTCCCAGTCAGTGCCACAGGGAGCAGCTTTCTCGCCGAAAAAGTGGTCAGTTGACCGGCGATACGGCGCAGTTGAGTCGTAACTCTAAATTATCTACTTATATTTTATATAGGTCAGCTGTAACCAGCATGTGATGATTTTAACCGGTTCGTCGGAGGGTGAAATATCAATATCCAAGGTGTTGGAAATCATGATTTGCAGCCTTTTGCTGATTTCATTCTCAAACCACAAATAAAAAGGGCCTTCGGGCTTCGAATGGTGCAGCCAGTCAGTATCCAAGGAGGCGCGAAAATGATGATAAACGATATAATCATTAATCACACGCTGTTCATCAGTCAGCCTAAGTGAACTTAAATCCCATTCCGTCCTAGTCCGTTCGGTTTCGGCTGGTGACTGACGGGATTCATGCGGCAGTCTCGCTGGGCCCGTGTTTCGCTGTTTTCAATTCCTGCCGCTAGATGTCACCGATAGTGCGCGCCTGAAGGTATGCTGTGCCGCACGGCATGAATCCGACATTCCCGCGTGCGATCGACGAAGGAAGCTCACATGTAGGTATTCATTAGAAGTGAACAACGCTTATTTTGATAGGAGCTATAGGTGTTACTGTTTATAGCCTCTCTTTTACTGTCGAGTATCAGTGGAAATTAGGGCAGCCAGCCAAAGCATCAAACGGTGCCAACAGCAGGGTGCTGGTACTTGACGGCCAGTTTTTGTGAGGCCGGTGAAATGCATTGTCTAACAGGATAGGAATGCGCACCCAGTTCAATAGGTGATGAATTCGTGATAGATTGCTCACTACTATCAATTTGAAGGATACAACAAAGCACAATTAAACATGAGGCTCTGGACAGTACTAGCATTTTGCGATTGCATTGCATTTGCAATTATGCAAAGCCATAGGCACTTTATTTTTAGCTTTCAAACGGTTTTAATTTGCTACCTGAAATTGCTTTTTTGCTACCATTTGCTACCACAGTTTCATAAATTTCCTTACCTGTTGATTCAAGGCTTCTGGTCATATTCATTTCCAGCATATTCAACACACTTTTAGACGTTATTTCCCAAATATATCTCTTGTGCCTTGCTGGGACATGGCTATTAAAGTTCACCTACGAAGTTCTGAGAAGTTCATTAACCCGGCAGGCAGTGGGCCTACCGGCCACCTTCCGCGCGGTGGGGGGGCATTTTTTGCCCCCCCCCCCGTATCTCCGAAACTACTGAACGGATCCGTAAAATTAAAACGGCGTTCGATAGCCCTGTCAAATTTGCCACGAGAAACCAAACTACATTGACCTCCGAGTCACCGATGACGTCACAAGTCAGGTCAAAGAAAAAATGTTTCACCCTTCACGGGTCTTCTAGGGAATGCGCTATAACATCGAGTAAAACGCATTTTGTCGAAAATCATCGATAGGGCGTCAGTTGGCTAGTACATATGTTGCTATTAGAGGTCACTGATCATACCTACCAGGTCAGGTCACCAAGGGTCGGCACATGAACCCAACTTTACCTACTAAGGTTGTGCGATGCATGTTTTATGGCCAGTTTTTCATTTCCAACTCAATGGTGTTGGTTTTAAGACCATTAGGTACGGTTTAGGTCACTTCCTGGTCGAGGTCAGGTCAAGGTCATGTCAAAAAAGGTCAAATTTCAAGGTTGATAGTTTTGCATAAATTTTGTGTATTGAATCGATGCAGTTCGTCACGGGGGCAGTAGCGGCGGAACACCTTCAATTAAGGGGGGCACCGCCGACTTTTGGTCCCATTCTTTCCATGCAACGCCCATAGGGCTAATGTTAAAATGCCAAAATCAAAGGGGGGCACGGTGCCCCGGTGCCCTCCCCGTTCCGCCGCCTATGCACGGGGAGTCTAATGGTGATCTTTGTTTTGCGCTACATGGTCTAGAGTTGCTAAAAAATTGAGTTTGAAAATTTGACGTCATTAATTTTGAACAGTTTTTTCGCTGTAACTTGGCCAAAAAAGAGGGATCGATCTCAAATTTGGTATGTGGATAGAAGGCGATAGGGACTATCACATATTTTCCGTTTTTCGAAATTAAGAAAACCTTTTGGATATTTTGGCTAATATAATCTATTATTTTCGGGGTCAAAATCCAAAAAACTTCAAAAATCCGAGATTGCAGTTTTGTAGCCCTGTTAATTCTACAACTCTTATGTATTAAACATTTTTCTGTATCTCTAAAGCTGTAGGCCTGACAGCTCTTCCCGCGAAACCTTGTTTGGGTCGAAAATGGCGGTAATGACCTATCATAGCTTTTGAGGAAAACAATCGGTCACAATGTGTAAAAGCCATACACGGAAGGATACTGAAAGTTTGGTGACGATCGGCGCAGCGGTTCTGGAGATATATCGAAGAAACCAAGGGGGGGGGGGCAAAAAATGCCCCCCCTCCCAACTGGAAGGTTAAACGGTGAAGTTGTGCAAAGCAGTTTCCGGTGGCGCGAGACCATCGAAATCTTTTTTCAAGCTCGCTTTGAATGCTACCGTTTATCACTTATGTTACGTTTAGTTTCAGTCTACACTGAGGTAAAATATTATTAGCCCGTAACCGAGCTTCAGTGTAGCCCGAGGCCGAAACTAAAACATAATTATTTGCTGGAGGAAGACTTAAAAATGGCACTTCAACATCTAAAAAAATACTTAAAGCTTTTCTGAACACAAAACCTGAGCACACTCATCACAAAAATATAATCCAGAATCTTACTCTAACACGACTGCATTTTGGCCGATTACCTAGCCCCGCCTGCACCTCCCCCTCCCCGCCCCAGTCCGGTCCGGTCGGGTCGGGTGGTCCAGCCGAGGTCATAAAAAGCTGGCCGCGGCCCGACAGCGCAGCAGTGTGACGAGCTCGCCGGGACCGTCGCCATGTCGCCGCCGCTGCAGCTCACGCTGCTACTGGTGCTGCTGAACATCCACAGCTCCCTCGGTCAGGTGTTCTTCAAGGGAGAGTGCCCGGACCCGCCCACAGTGGTCGATTTCAAACTGTGGCTGGTGAGTGCGATCGGGGCCCGAGTTTCGGTGCTGTTGCAGTCAGTGTTCTTTGCTTATGTTCCTGACGCCCATGGTGCGCTATGGGTTCGTGTGGCTACGGTTTGGAAATGCCGGGGCTAGTGACGTTTGAATCTAATCTTTTCTGGAAGTCTTGCTCTTGCCTACCGCCAGCATTTAACTTCGAGCAAGATGTCGAAATGAATAGAAGACGCATGCACTAGTCAACTTTTATCCGTTTAATTCAGACAAAATTGTACTGTATTGCCTAAAATTATTTTTGTTGATACTGTGAAACGGTAGCAATACTTTTCAACAGACGGGAATGGCTGGCTTACTCACCGAGTATGTGCTTTCGGCAGTTCGAAGGGACGTGGTACGAGACACAGCGATGGTACTCGATCAAGGACAAGGGCCACTGTATGAGACACACGTTCACCGATCTCGGTTACGGCACGCTGGACGTGCTCACCGAAATGAACCGCGGAAAGTGAGTATAATCTCGAAATATTATGATACACTTTGCATACTGTTAGTTTGCTGAATTACGGGAGAAAGTATGTGCCAGTTGTGTTTAAACGACCGTGCTGCTTACGTCTTCATTTGTGCTTTTCAACGATATCCAGATCTTTTGTCATGGATGAATGATTTAAAATTTATAAGCCGTTTACTACATTATGCAGCAAATCGTAGTCGAAAAGGATAGGTATGTTGTTCGATATGTCTGTGCAATGGGGAAGTATGTGGCGCATGAATAAGGCATGCGTGCTCCCAATTTGTCAATTATACACAAATGTATTACCGTTTGCGCCGATAGATCGTACGAGTACCGGCGAGGGCTGGCCCGGCTCTCGGTCTCCAAGTCGTCCAAGGGTTACGGATACGAGAAACACTCGTACGGTCAGACCAAATACACACTACGCTACGACGACAGTAAGTACCGACGGCGTTACGACGATGGAACAAGTTACACGTCCTATAAACGAGTGATGTGTCGAACGTAGTTCTAATAAATTATTTAATCTGATTTGTTTACGTACTCAAAAGAGAAGAATTATAGCCAGTTTATGATCATGAGACAAATCAATGACACCTGTGTTGCTGTTTCCAGAGCAGGGTGAAAAGGGAGATGCAGAAACGTTCTTCGTACTGGATACGGACTACTGGACTTACGCCATCATTTGGTCATGTAGCAGCAAGAAATTCTTCAACATGCGTGAGTACTGAGTAACCCATGTTAAAAACGTCAACGTTGATTTGATATTCATGTTGACGCGCTGTCTCTTACTTGTCTAGCTGAGACAAGTGAGCACTATTGCGATACTGCCGCTGTGACAATACTCGCTTTACCTGTGAGACCTCACAGAGTTACTGGCGCTGTTCCACAGAGTACCTGCGGATCCTGACGAGGTCACCGTACCCGCACTCTCACACACTGCTGAAGGTCTACAGGGAACTCGAGTACCTGGGACTGGACCAGCAGCACCTTACCCTGGTCGACGACAAACAAAAGTGTCACTATCAGGTCAGTTTAGGTCACTATAAGGTCAGTTTAGGTCACTTCCAAGTCTGTAAGGTCACTACCAGGTCAGTTTAGGTGACGAACAGGTCAGTTAGGTTACTAACAGGTCAGTTTGGTTACTGCCAGGTCAGTTAGGTTACTACCGGGTCAGTTAGGTCGCTAACAGGTCAGTTTATGTCAATCACAGGTCAGCTAGGCCAATGCCAGGTCAAATAGGTCACTTTAGAGTCAGTTAGGCCAGGTCAATTAGGTCACTACCAGGGCTGCTCGGGCCGAAAGGTCACACAATGCGGGCCTTTTCCCATCAGTCGAAAGAGGAGCGGTTTACGGAAAATTTTCCGTGTGGGTGTTACTTTTAAATTGCCGTGCAATTATCAAGCGTCGGTATTCTTAGATATTCTCAGGTGTTCTAAGGCATTCTCCGGTATCTCACCAAGGTATATGTATTGTACAGTTCGCTCGGTTTAGTATGTGGTGAAGGCGGAAGCTTCTATTACATGTTTATCGGCAACAATGTTTTTAGGTAGGGGAGAGTGGGGCAAAGCGGCCACCCGGGGCAAAGCGGCCACCCATCGTTTTAGCCCTTCATAGCTGGCGTCAGTTCCAATTTATGGTTTCCAATTATACTTCTCTTCACGGTCGTTCGAATGAGCCAGACCGGGGTTTCAGGCCCATCACCACTGTTCTGTGAAACACGGAAAAGCATTTCTTGCCAGGTTACCAACTATGTTTACAATTTTTAAATGTTATGTTATTCCATAACCGTTTGGAATTTTTATAAGCGTTCTTGTCCATGCATTGCATGGTTATCGTACATGTATTCTACCATTTTTAATGTTTTTTACCCCACTAATAGCTAAGCTGGAATATTTTTGTCTCGGACGTTATGCGCGGGGCAAAGTGGCCGGGGCAAAGTGGCCACCCCCCAATTGGCCATAAGTTGCTTCCATCTGGATAAAAAACATTATTTATATTCAAATGTGTCGTCATGCATTCACCTTGGCCACTTTTCAGTTGCATGAGTTACCAAATAATGCAATTAAATGTTTATTTTTATGAAAATCCTTTCTTTGCTTACCTACAGGTGGAAGATGATAAAGTAAACATCCATCCTCGCTTAACCTTGTCACCATCAAATACCCTAGTCGTACACGAGGCAACTATTTTGTTTCTCATATCGGGACTTGAGAAGACGCCGGTGGCCGCTTTGCCCCAGGGTATGGGGCAAAGTGGCCAATATGCATAGGTTTAAAGTTTTGTCAATGTCTTTCATATGTGAACGCCTTTGGAAATAAAACGCAGTTGAAATAAAAGGCAACTTAATAGGGATCACATTGGTATAGAAAGAATCTTTCCAAGTTTAAAAATCAAGCGTTGGCATCGTGAGAAGCGTTAGGGTGGCCGCTTTGCCCCACTCTCCCCTACAATACCCGTTTATAGGATGAAACGGGTATTGCTTTTTGAACTGTTCTTCCTGAAAGAACTTTTGAAACGAATGACAATCAAAATTATTTAGAGACTTTTAGAAGCCACTCATGACATTGCCTGACCTCACTCATTATCGACAGGTGGCCCAGACACACTACAAGAAGGGCTACGGCCACGGCCACGGTAAGGGTAAGGGCGGCGGCGGCGGTCACTCTCTGCCCCGCCCAGCCTACCCCGTCTCCTACACATCTCTGCTGAGCGAGGTCAAACCGGGCGGCAGCCACGGCGGCGGCCTGGAGCACGGCTACTCCTACGAGCCGGTGGCTACGTACGAGCCTACCGGCTACAGCGGAGGAGGAGGCGGAGGAACGTACGACGTGGGAGGAGGCGGAGGAGGAGGATATGACGTGGGAGAAGGCGGTCACTCCGGCGGCGGAGGGTACTCGGGAGGCGGTGCGGACGTAATCGGCCCCGGTATCAGCCAGGAGAGCTACTCGGGAGGCGGAGGCGGATACAGCGGAGGAGGCGGAGGAGGATATAGTGGAGGAGGCGGAGGCGGTTACAGCGGAGGTGGCGGAGGATATGGCGGAGACGCTGGAGGATATGGCGGAGGAGCTGGCGGTGAATATGGAGGCGGCTATGGCGGAGGCGAGGTTGGCTATGGCGGAGGCGAGGTTAGTTATGGCGGGGAAGGCAGGTATTCCGGAGGCGGAGGCGGAGGCGGGTATTCTGGAGGCGGAGGCGGAGGCGGGTATTCTGGAGGCGGAGGCGACGGATATTCCGGAGGCGGAGGTACCGGGTACTCCGGAGGAGGCGATACCGGCTACTCTGGCAGTTACGGAGGCGGCGGGGAGGGCTATTCGGAGGACGTCTCGCTAGGTTACGGCGGGGGTGGCGGCGGAGGGGGCGGCGAGGGCTACAGTGAGGGCGGCTACACGGCCCCCTCCAGCGGCTATGGCGCGCCCGGAGCGGCGGAAAGCTACAGCGGCGGCGGCGGAGGCAGCAGCTACACCAGCTATAGCCAGTCGAGTGGCGGAAAGTACTGAGCTGGCAGCCATGGTGGCAGTAGCTCATAGCTCACCGAGCATTGTGGCAGCATTGGTATGACTCACATACCTTTTCGCGAGCTACATGCTTGGTGACAAACTCTGTGGCATGAGCTCTTTAGACACCTTCGAGCCGTCTCTCAAGGCATGAAGATCTGTGAGCTGTATAAATGATATGACCTACAACTCTGTGGCTCACAAGTGCAGTATGGTCTACCGAGGGGCAAGTTATGATCCCAGTGTGGCATGCTGAGCTCTGAGACATGAGTGGGGCCATATCCCGGCTCCCAGACCATGAGATACGGCGGTACACACCGCGAGCGGAATTTGCATACGAAGTAGTAATTAGGTGCTCATCTCGTATTTATTTCAGAAGCCTTTGCGACTCAATTTATCTTAGCTCATTGAATGTTGGCAATTTTGCTGTTGCTCAAGGGAATTTTACTGTTGTTACGGTGAAATAAGTTTCGTGCAAAGGGACTAAGAACGTACCGTCTTTTCGCAATGTTGTCCCCGCATGTATCCAGAATCAAGCCGGTTATTGTTGTTTTTGCTACTGTTGTTGTTGTTGACGTTTGTTACATCGATTCGTGCTCTTTTGTCTACGGACAGATATTCGTGTAATCACTTTGTACGTGATCTTTTGTAAATATATCAACACTACCTATTTATTGCAGTGTGTGAGATTCGTTAGATGCCAATCAGTTCAATACATAATAAAACAATGCATACCGATCCGCTTTTAAATGCCAAGCAGCGTCCCAAACCATGACAAAATGGTCTACATCGTATTCTTGTTAGCTCCGCCTAATCTACGCGCACGTCAGAAGCGCCGAACGCGGTTAAGGAAGCAACAGAAAGTGAATCATCACAGCGACTTATTGGTATGTTTCAACCTCCACTCCCATAAAAGATACATAATGACCTAGGCCTGGGATCACAAAATAGCAGGTAGGTATGTTAAGTACCTGCTGAGTTATGGATTGGCTGCCATTGACAACAGCGTTATATGTTGACTTCTGGAGGTTACCGAAGTCACCTGAATTCACCATATTCAAACCTGCTTTTACGAGTATATTAACCCGCGCCCCACTGGGGTCTGCGTATAACACGCCCTACTGGGGGGGGGGGGCTATTCATAGCCCCCCTCCTAACTCCGAAACTACTGGGCCGATCGTCAAAATTCAAACGGCGTCTGATAGCCCCGGAAAAACTGTCGAGCGAAACCTAATTTCATTGACCTCGAGGTCACCGATGACGTCACAGGTCAGGTCAAAGTAAAAATTATTAGCATTTTGGCTTGTTCACGTTTTGGGCTCTGGCCGCCGTCTTACAAGTCAGATCAGGCTCATTTTTGGTTCACACACTCGTGAACAGATGCTCTAGATACCCTGAGGGTACCAAACTTGTACTTTGATTTTCAGGTCAAGGTCAGGTCATCACAGGTCACGAAAATATTATATCATGCGTCGGTCACGTGACACATGTCCAACGTCCATTTAGGCCAAAGATTTCGAATTTGATGTCGTCTGTGTCATTCGAGGTCATTTTGAGTCGAATTTAGCTTAGGTCAGGTCACTTTCAGGTCAAAAAAGGTCAAATTTTGAAGTTATAATTTTTCAACAGAAAAGGTGTCTATTGGATGCAGTTTGAGCTCCGGAACACGATGGTGCTATTTATATTGGCGTACGATGCCAAATACGTGCTGAAAAATTGATTTGAAAAATTAATAATTGTGAATTTTTTGCAATAATGCGTATAACTTGGCCATTTTTGAAGATATTTAGGTAATACTTGCTAGAGTTAGTCATAATAACGCGTTCTATCACATATATTCCGGTTTTTTCGAAAAGTCAAAAACTTTTTTGAAAAAATGTAAAAATGTAAATTTTGAATTTTATTAAATGAAATTTTCGAAATTTTCTAAATTTCGAAAATCCGAGATAGCAGTTTGATAGCGCAGTCTATTCTGAGTCCTCTCATGCAAAGAAATTGGATCTAGCTTAAAAACTGAGCCCTTGGGAGCGATTGCCGTGGTTCGATGTTTTGCGTCGAAATCGGCCGAACATGACGTCACTCTGACGTCATTTCCGGCCGACCTATGGTAGCTACGAAGTTCAAATTTTGACACAAGGTGTCAAATTGATGCAGCCGAAGGTACTGAAAGTTTGGCGTCGATACGTCAAGCGGTTTGGAAGTTATTGCAGAAAAACGGGAGGGGGGCTATGAAGCCCCCCCTCCCAAGTGGGGCGCGGGTTAACCTTCTGCGATATGAATGGTGCCATTTTTGTCTCGATCATCTCGATGCATTGGCTTCGAGTCACCTTGTCACCTTATGGGTCAATTGGGGTCGCCGCACTATTCACATTGACTCATGGCAACGCTTTACTCATACCGGCAAACCATCGGTGAAAGCGAGTGCAATAAAATCACGAGTTTATTAATATACTGACGATAGGATAACATGATATAATACAAACAGACTGACGCCGTGTGGCGGCCCACACGGGACGCCGGGACCCGAGGAGCGCGTCCGGTAACAGCGGCGCGCTCACGTGGGACTGTGCTGCTCGCGGCGGCAAACAGAAGGGGCAGAGTGCAGCAGGCGAGTGGCCCGTCCGGCCGGCGCGGCGGGCGAACGGGGCAGTCTCGGGAGCGATAGAGGCGGCTCCTCTCACGCCCTCGTGCCGTCTCGTCGGCAGCGAGACGGTCGAGGCGGCGCGGCAGGACGGTGAGTATGTAGGGGAGACCGACAGGCGGAGGCGCTGGACAGGCGGCAGCGCGGCTGAGTGGCGCCCACAGTCGGGCGGCAGATATTCGTTGAAGTAATACATGAGCATCGATACACAGCTGGCGTGACGCGGCGGAGGCGGGGAGCTGGAAGGGGCGGCGGCGGTCACACGGACTGGCGCCACGAGCTCCCGAACCCAGTACCGCCGCACGGGGTCGGCAGCGGCCACACTCTATTCACCGTCCGACCGCAACACACCGCTCAGCGCGGCCGCCGCGCAGTCACGTTGAAAGATTGCACATTCTCCGTCAGGGCCCGGTCGCGGCGTCCGTACTAGTCCTGGGCCGCCGGCAACTCGTTGCAACAAACACTAGCGCTGTAGAGTTCCCACCGCTCTCACGTCCGTTCAACATAACAACACAGACCCGGGCGGCGTCCGGACAGAGAGCGCCACCAGTCCGGGCCGCAGCGCGTCAGGACACTCCCGTAACGGATCCCTCTGACACGGCAACAAAGCGGAGCTCACCACCCGCCGTAGAAAACACGATTCACCCGAGGTTGGACACACCAAAACGACCCCGCAGCACCGGCGGCGCACAGGAAAACGAGCACAAAAATCGGCGGCAGCGGCCGCGCGCGGCGACTCCCAAACTAAATATCACATACACCCGGGACGAGCGGTGGCACCCGACGGCACCGGCACGGCGGCGACCGGACAGCCATCAAAGGAATGGGTTGTGCGGGTTGGCGGGCGAGCCGGCCAGGCCGCCGTTGGACTGTGGGCAGACAGAGGGGCGGGCGGAGGGCAGTCAGCGCCGGCGGCCGGCGGACAGAGACCACCGGGGCGCGGTAAGAGCCGCCGCCCGAGTCCGGGGGAACCACACCGCAGATCAGCGTATGTCGGACAACACACAGGGCACCCGGCTGGGCCGGGGGAGAGTGAATGGCTGACATCTCATAATAAATACAGCCTCAGGCCTGCACCCCTGAAGGTTTTTAGCAGTCTGTGGTGTTTTGTCCGTCACTGATTCTGCGGTGTGGTTCCTCTTCATGATCGGACCCCGGGCAGCGTGCGCTACCGCACAATCGTGCAAAATCAGAACAAAGTATTCAATATAAAAGCAAAGTGGAAACTTTAAAACTCAAAACGAAGTGAAGTTAAGCAAGCAGCTAACAGATATAAGATATATCATGATAGAATTGCTCCGAAACAATGTAACTTATATGCAAAGAAGCAAACATAGTAACAGCGAACATTTCAATCACCCAACAAATAAATAAATAAATCATATAAAAACACCAAACAATTACAATTCCGCATTCCCACAACATAGAAACTTACCGACGATGCTTGCATCCCTCGTTTCAAAATGTGAACTACCAAAGACACATGCAAACAGCTGCACTAAAAATAAAATCCCCAAAGCAGACCATTCTTTTGATTCATGCCGGTAGTCACACAATGCAGATTTTCTCTCCCAGGACATAGGATACAAACGCGTCCTTTGTCAGCTCCCAGATCCAGATGGGATTCAGCAAGGATGGGATGCCACAGTATGGTGCCGGGACTGCGAGCCTTTGACGAACATTCGCGTATCACCAACCACGAATTGGGCCTCGGCCCTGGCTGTAAAGTCGCCAAGTTTCCACAAACGCGTTCGCAACCGCGCCCGGCAGTGAATTTCGTCAATTTGAAGGAAAGGGGCATTGGAAAATTGACATATCATCAGCCCTCCCCGATCAGAACGACGTGGCAGAACTCTCGAAGTGAGGATGGTTGACCGGTGTGGCTGACGATAGTGGGAAGTCGACTGTCGGCCCTGCAGTACCCATCATGAGGGGTCACGGCACCGCGGAGGCGTTTACTACAACAGGGCAGCCACAGCAGCCCGTGGCTGCACTGGCTTCTAGTTGGCACGCGCCGGGCAGAAGTCCCCAGCGGCCACACGACAGACCCGACCGCCCACACGGCAGTCTCTGGGGCGCACACAGCGGGCCCCGAACGCCACAAGGCAGAGTCAGTCCCGGGGCACACAGCGGGGCCCCGCCCGCACACACCACCACCCACACCGGGCCGCCTACCGCAGCACCGTCCCACCTCACACACACTACAAACGAGTCTGTCTATCCGCGGCGCCCCCTGCCCGGCTAGTACCAGCGCCTCACCATGAAGGGGTTGTGTGGCGGAGCGCCCCAGCCGGAGGCCGGCTGTCCGGGCACTGGCCAGCCGCCGGCGGTCGACAGGAACCCGGCGGAGCTGGTGGGCACTCCGCCGTACCCCGAGAGGCCGCCCATATCTGCCGACAGCGGGCGAGTCGAGTCAGGCGCACGGCGAACGGGACAGGCGGGTGTTATGGGGCGTATAGGCAGGAGTGGAAGAAAATACGGAGGGACGTCAGCACTGATGTCCTTGCTTGCTCTTCCGTCAGAAGTTTAACTTAATTCAAAAAATTAGTTAAGAGAGTAATAGGGAGTTCGATGCCACAATGACCTTTAATTGTGAAATGGTAAAACAGCCACTTCCTGAAGTGGCTGTTTAAACAGGCACCTTTCGGATTTTCTGATCATAAAAGTTATGCATACATCAGGCAAATTAATGTAGAAACAATAAATATGACATACGTAGTCATCACCAGCAGGCTCAAAAATTTGTAGATCAACAAATTTTGGAGCAGAGCAGCTTTCGTAAGCTTCACACATCTACTTTCTAGACGTGCTGACCTTAAATTGATCATCGCATGCAAACCAACTAACAAACATTGAGAAAATCAACGGGAAAAATGCAGGCCCGATCACAACACACGGACATTAACAAGATAAAGAGGAAAACGAACAATGGTCATCCCAATAAAATAAAAATACTACTCTCAATCGTCTGAAGTAAAACGCATGCAGTTCGTAATGGTTATGGTGCACTTTGTTCAAATTGATAAGACAAATGGACAAACAGGAGGTTGGTATGTAGTAATAAAACAGCAATTTGGGCGACATAACATGCGTGGAATCAATGCAGATTAAAACGACAAACCAAGCAGCGAATAATAGACGCTTGGTAACAGTACGGCAACGAAACAAACTCAGCTCTGAAAAGCAGACTCCGTGACCAAGTCAGCCGCAGAGCTAGGGTCACACATCACACAACCAAGAAGTAATGGGTGGATGGATGCAGGCAGCGGACACCACAAACAGAGCTTCCATACAGCGCCGGCAGGACAGCACCGCCTGCCCCTCGGACGGCGGTGTGCGGTCCGGCCGGCCGGCTGACCTGGACTGGCGGTCGGAGCGGGCACGTGGCCCGCCGGCACCGGGTACGGCCCCGGCGCCGGCACGCCGCCGTACTGCGGGCGGTAGCCGCCGTAGCCGCCCGACGGGACGGGCCCGGCCGCCGACGTGAACGGGCCGAACACCGTCTGCTGCTGCTGCTGGTGGTGGTGCTGGGGCTGCTGCTGCTGCTGATGGTGGTGGTGGTAATGCTGCGGCTGCTGATGATGGTAATGCTGCTGCGGCTGCTGCGGCTGCTGCTGCCAGGATGCGCCTAGCGAGCACCGTGGCGCCACCGCACAGGGTCAACGGCACGGTCGGACACTCGAGGGAGCCACAGTCACACAGTCAGCCACCAGGGAACGGCTCACAGACACGGTCAGTCACACAGCCATCCACCAGGGCAGGAGTGTCACAGGGGCGCCAGGCCAACATGGGAGGAGTCAAATAGCCAGCCACCAGGGTAGGAGTGTCACAACTCACAGGGCAGTCACCGTAGGGAGTCGCAGTCACAGTCAGCCACCAGGGCACGGCTCACAAGGCAGCCACGTCACTATTTGAGGTTCAGCGGCAGCCATTAGAGCGTCCACTGTTATGAGAGCTCTTAGACGACGGATAACAAAGATCAAAGGCAGACTGAGCTGCAGAAGTCAGAGCAGCTCCAGCGGTCCCATTTGAAACTGGGGCGGCCCCGCTGCTGCTGCGGCCACCGTCAGGACATTAATAGAAACACATCTGTTCCTAAAATCGTGACCGGCACAAACAGGCCTGTTCAGAAACCATGCGCTGCTCGTCGAAATGAAATTCAGTTAGGTACTTCTGTTCGCCAATGAGCTGTTTGTTCCAGATGCACACATTCCTCTGATAATGGACATGAGGATGGTTGCTAGGCAACGAAGCTGTAAACATCTTGCGGCGTATTCTCAGTATCAATATATTTATGCTAGAATATTTAAAAGATATTGGTGACAGTGATTAGAACACAGAAGCTCTGAGTTTATGATTGTTATTATTTTTCTACTGATTGACTTGCAAACTACTTATAAGAGTCAGTATGGAATATTAACAAGCCGAGGCAATCGTGGCGCATTTGCAGTAACTTTACATTTGGAGAGAAATTACAAAAAGAAGATAAGTTTGTAGTTACCTACTGTTATATCTTGAAGTTTCAATCAAAGCCAAGTCGTGCCTTAACGGTAAGTGGAAATCACAAGGGGTATGGCAGGTGCTCGGAGTAAACATCCAAACTTCAGCACCTCGGATCCCACTCCATTAACGGATAGTGATGACTATGAGGGGCTCAGGGAAGGAAAATGGGTGAACAGTCAAAACAAAAGCAAAAGTAGGAAACACATGAAGAAGTCAGTGTGTGGCAGTGGACAATGTGAAAAGAGATCTAGTGATGTGGAAGATGACATGATAATGTGTGATGTTTGTGAAAAATGGCATCATCCTTCGTGCCAAGGGATCTCAGCCCAAGCATTTCAGGCTATAGGGAAGTTTGATCTCTTTTGGCCATGCTTATCATGCAAAGAAAACATAAAGGAAATGAAGCAGATGGAGAAAAGGTTGGAAGAAAAAATCAAAGAAACAGAAAGAAACATTCTGCAAGCCATTGAAGCTCAGTCAACAGCAAAAAAGCTGGAGAGCCGTATAGAAGAGAAAATCATGACAATGGAGAAAGAAGTGATGAAGAAGATGTCCCAGCAGTATGCAACGGTAGAGACAGTGTTAGGACAACAAGAAGAGGTAGTCAAGGAAGCAAAGAAAACATACTCTGAGATAGCAAAAAGTGGCATAGGTCTACAGAAAAATGAAGATAACATCCTAGTCAAAGTGGGAGGGAAGATCAGTGAGGTGATGACAGAAAGGGAAGAAGTGGAGAAAAGAAAGCTCAATATAATAATTCATGGACTATCAGAGCCAGAAGATGAATCACAAGCCAAAGACAAAGAAGCATTTGAAACACTATGCACAAAAAAACTCCAACTGAAAGGTATCAGGTATCAGACCACAACAAGATTGGGACAAAGAACTCAGGCAAGGGAGACACTGACAGGGAGACCATGGATACGACCAATGAAGGTGGAACTAAGCGACATGATCTCCAAGACCAAGATATTGAAGGCATTATACAAACTGAAAATAGAACAAAGTACAGTGTACATAACCACTGACAAAACCCCAAAGCAAAGAGAAGAAGAAAAAGAACTGAAAGAAAAAATTGCGAAGTACAATGCTGAGCACCCTGCTGACCCTAAAGAGGCATTCATTCGGAGAGGACAAATGGCTTTCCGGGACAGGGTCACGAGGAAGTGACAGCAGGAACCGAAGAAGGTAAAGGTTTGTGAGGAAAAGAAAACACATCAGTTGAGCAAAAGTCATCATGAAAAAGAAGTTTTTGGGTCGATAAAAATAATGCTCTTAAACATACAAGGGCTTACAAAGCCAAAAATGCTTGAAATAGAGAACATCATGGCTAACATCAAGGAGCCTGTCATCATGTGCCTGACAGAGACCCAGCAAAAGCAAGATAAAATACAGATAGCTAGAGGACTGAAAAAGTTTCAAAAATGAGGGACAAACAAGATAAAAGAGGAGGAGGCCTCATGGTAATCTATAGAGACAATGATGACATTGAAGTGACGATGACAAATACCAAAGAATATGACATAATGGAAGTGCAAATAGAAATAGGTAAAATGGGCTTTTCTATTATACTAGTGTACTTCTCTGTTGAAAAAGTTGAGGAAGATAAGAAAAGAAACATGAGATTCAGACAGGAAATTGAAAGCATTATTACCACCAATTGCAATGACAACAAATCTCAGATTATTATGGGAGATTTTAATGGACACATAGGATTCTTAGGACCTCAACAGAAAAACAATAATGGAGAGAGAGTCCTTGAGTTGATGGAGACACACATGCTTCAAATGTTAAATGGAGATATGAAATGTGAAGGAGAAGTTACATGGAGTAGGGGTGAACAAAGAAGTGTCATTGATTATGTTTTGGTGAACGAAACAATGTACAGAGTTTTCCAGAATATGAAGATTGATGAAAATAAGGAAGTATTTGATCTTTCAGACCACAACCTCATAGAGGCAAGCTTCAAGATAGAAACGGGAAAAGGGAAAAGATATTCCGCGAAATGTGGAGAAGTGACTTACTATTCCTGCAAAGATGATAACTTGCAAGTGTTTATAGAAGAATTAGAAAAGGCTTTAGAAGAAAAAGATGTGACAACCATGCAAGATTATAACAAAACGATGTTAGAGGTTAGGGATCGAACGCTCAAAATGGTGTATAGAAGAAGAATGAAAAAAGAAGAAGGGGAATGTTCAATGGAACCCCCATGGATAACAACAGAGATAAAGGAGGAAGTAAAGAAAAGGAAATCATTAAACAGGCAGAAGAGAAATGCAGAATCTGAAACCATGAGAAGCTACTTTGAAAATGAATATAAGAAGCAAAAGAAAAGGGTACAGGCTCTAGTCAAGGAGGCAGTTCATTTGTATGAATGTAAAATAGTAGCAGACATCAAGAAGGATAAACATAACAGCAAGGCAATATGGAAGCATATTGATAAACTTAGGTACAGGGAGACGAAAAGAGTGGGGGCTGACATATTTGATGACAATGGTTTTAAACTCAACGATGAAGATGCAAAAGAGCAGCTATCTAAATACTGGAAAAGTATTTACCAACAGCACGAAAATAACATAGAAGAGAGGTGGAATGAAGAAATAAAAAGACAATATAAAGAATATCTGGAAGAAAACAGCCATTGGGAAGAGGACAATGTACAGGAACAGCTGAGAGAACATTTGGATATGGTCTCACAGCCACCCCAACATGAAATAAGAGCAATGGAATGTAACCTTTTTGAAATTGCAGAATTAAAACAGACTCTTGGTAGATTGAAGACAGGAACAGCAGCTGGTCCAGATGAACTTAAGCCAGAAATGTATAAAGTGATCCTCAAAAGTGAGCGAAGTCTGATAATTCTGAACAAATGCATGAATATTAGCTTAGAAAGCAGAAACATCCCACAAGAATGGAAAACATCAAGGACGAGAATGTTACCTAAGAAAAAGAAGCCATTGGCTAAAGATCTCAGACCCATAGCTCTGACAAATATATCATACAAAATATTTATGAGCATGATTAAGGACAAGATAGAAAAACATTTGAGAGTAAATGATGAGATGAAGGAGACACAAGCCGGTTTCACTGCAGGAGGAAGAGTGGAGGACAACTTATTGATTGTGCAGTACTGTGTGGAGGAAAGTTTCAAAGGAAAGAAACCACTTTTTTGATATCAATTGACTATAAGAAAGCTTATGATTCGATTAGAAGAGATGTTTTAGTAGAAAATATGAAGAAGTACAAGATAGATCCATTAGTGATTGATGCCATTACAGAGATCTTCAATGGGGACAGTACAAAGGTGGAGCTGAATGAGTCAGTCACGCAGACTATCAATGTTACCAGTGGCATAAGACAAGGATGTACCGGATCAACTACACTTTTTAAGTTGGTGACATACATCATAACGACACAATTGGAGAAAAGAGGAAAAGGTTTTTCAAATGATTTATTCAACATACAAGTACTTTTCTATGCAGATTATGGATTAGTAATGGCACAAACTTTACATGATGCTGAAAATAACCTAAACGTGGTAATTGAAGTGAGCAGAAGTTGTGGACTGGAGATAAATAAAGAAAAAAGCTCTGTCATTATATGGAATATGAAGGAAAAACCTGACAGTATATTGGGAATAAAGGTGCAAGATCGTATAAAATACTTAGGAATTGAGATTGAAGACAAGAGAAACATGTTTAAAGAACAGAAGAGAAAAAAATATTGAAAAGGCTAACAAGATGGCCAATATGACTTTGCCAATCATGTACCAAAGCTGTCAAAGATTATTGATTGGAAAGACATTTTGGAAAAGTGTAGCGATCCCTGCTATATTGTATGGATCAAGCATAATCAGTTTCACAGATTCTGAGATTAAGCAACTTCAAAGAATAGAAAATAAAGTCTACAGAAGCATACTAGGTGCGCCTATGTATGCACCAAATTGCTCCTTGAGAGGAGAAATAGGGGCATCAGAAATGAAGACAAGGATAATGAAAGGAAGACTTCTGTACCTGAAGAATATTCAAATGAGGGAAAATATGCTTTTAAAAAATGTTGTAGAAGAAATGAAAAGACATGGACAGAGTAAATGGACAAAAACCAGCTTGAAGTATAAAGAGGAATATGGCATTGATCCAGAGATACCGGCTGTAACAAAAATGGATATTGAAAGAAGGGCAAAGAAATGGGACAGCAAAAAGTGGGAGGATGAAGTTAAGGAAAGAACAAGTCTTGGAATGTACAAGGAATGGAAAACAGAAATAAAAGAAGATTTGGTGTATGACAACAAACCAGCATCCATGGTTTTATTAAGAGCAAGAACAGCTACACTTCCTTTGAATGACAGAAAAAGACATACAGGACAAAGCACAGAGTGTGTCATTTGTGGATGTGAAAAAGAAGATCTAAAACATTTTTTGCTGGATTGTCCAGATGAAGGAATATCACAAGAAAGGTGCAAAACAATTTTGTTACAAAAGCCAATGCGTGAAAACCAAGAAACAATTATGGGGACTTTCCTGTTTGAGTCAGAAAACATTGAAGAAAAAAAGGACATTCTTTACAACATGTGGAAATCGAGGAGAAGAACACTGAAGGTTAAGCAAGGCAATGCAGGCTGAAGAAATGGTGTTCATCATTTTTTTTTGCTCGCATTTTATTTTATTTTTTGCCTAAAAACCGCTAAATGCACATCCCTGGCACGCACGCATTTGTTTCTGCTTAGTGCTTAGTTACCACGTGCTTAGTCGTAGTAAAAGCTTTGTGAGTGAATTTTATGCAAACAACAGGGGTGCCGATGCAAAGGCAGCACCCCACATCTACATCTACATCTACATTGACACTGCAAGCTAAATTAATACACGATCGACCCCTGTGGTTTAACGAAAACACATCACGCCATGAAGGTGAGCGTGCTTCATATTCATGTGCTTTGGTCAACATCCTCCTACACCGCGGTAGCCACGCCATGTGATCAGGCGAGGGACGATCGCCGGCAATCTGGTAAGCAGCACCTTGCCACTGGTCAGTGGTCAACAAAAGGCCGGATGTCGTCCATCGGCACGGATACTCGGTGACAAAGCAAGGTACATTGTACATAGACCTCTACAAAGTAAAGAGGTCTATGCAAGGTAATATCGTAAAATTATAGCCCTCCTCTTATTATAGTGACGTAACTTTGATCATCTGAACGAGAGCAGCGGCCGACCTTCGTGCCCCAGTCAGGGTCGACGTTAGCTTTCCGGGGGAAACGACACGGTTACGCTCGGTTGTTGCAGTCCAGGTGCACCAGTAACGATGCTAACGGACTAGTATCGTGGTACTGGTGCCACGTATCACGAACATCATATCTGAGCTCCAGTATCCCCTGAGTGACACCATCGTCTCACGAACAAACCAGATTCCACAGCATTACGGCAACACAAGGGACTCATAAACTTCATTACCGTACATCACACAGTTCGACCGGACGCCAGCGGCCCCTCTTCCCTCTCTCCCCGCCGCTCTCACCGGGGCTGAAGCCGTTGGCCGCGTGGTGGGTGAACTGGCCGGCCGGGAAGCTGTGCTGCTGCGGACTCTGGCCGTACGGACTGGCTCCGTTGGAGGCCGGTGCCGGCTGGTGGGGGCTGCCGAACGCCGCCCAGCCACCGCCGCTCGCCGGCTCGTGACCTGGCGGGGAGTGGACCAGTGTCAGCGCAGCTCCAGTTCGGTCAGACCAGACCGCACCGGTCGGCGCCGGACTCCGACCCGTCCCCCGGGACAGGGAGGGGCGGGGCGGGGCGGGGCGCCGGCCGAGCTTGTTAGCGCTCGGCCCGCCCGCTCAGCTGTTGATGGCAGGTGTTTGGCGCGCCCGCCGCCGCCCGCTCCGGTTACATGGCGCGAAATGTGAGACCGGGGCGGGGGAGGGGGGGGGGGCAGGGAACCCGTGATCGGCACGGCTGTGGAGAGGAAGGTCCTTGGAAAGGAAGACGGCTGCTGGACCGTCGCACGGCGAGGAGACAGTACGGTGTGGACCGCAGACAGACTCACACACTGCGGAAACGGAACGCGTGGACGGAACTCGTCAGGAGGAAACGGAGCATCCAGAGCCGTGGATTTGTCAATGAATGGTGAGGTCTGCGAGTATCCCTGATACTGACGCAGCAGAAATGGTAAATGAATGAACGTTTGTTATGCGTAAGGGTCGAGCATGACGAATGGAAAACATCACGCGGGTCATGGGCGTATTGGTATAATGTTTGTTGAACAGACAAACGTTTGTTGTTGGACTCAGGAACACAGGAAATAATGTTATGAAAATGCAAAATAATGACACACCAACGTCACATAGGTACTGCAAGAAGTACCCGGCTGCCGGTCACAGCACACCTAACGTTTTATGACTCTCAGCACCCTCCCCTCCTCACCCCCGGACCCCGTGCTCACTCACCCCTGGCGGCGCCGGCCGTCCAGTCGATCTTGGGTTCCACCTCGGACTTGAGCACCTCGTCGAGCTCCTTGAGCGCCGCGTACCGGTCGGCGGCCGACGAGGAGGTTGGAGCCGCGGCCGGGGCGGCGCTGGACGTGGCCAGAGGTACCGCCGACAGCGCCGCCGCCGGCGAGCCGAAGTTGGCAAACGAGCCGGGCGCCGTGCTGGTGGCTGGCCGCGCACCTGGGGGTGGGGGTGTTAGAAGAGAGTGAGTGACTCACGGCGGAAAGCTGCGTTAAAGGTCAGCTGGTAACTAGTAGTTAGTGAGCACTGAGCAAAGAGGGACATGGACTAGTAATTATTCAACAGCACATTCGGGATTATAGCCGGGACTTTGCTGTTGCGAAATAGGAATCCATCCGGCACAGCTGAACAATAAGGAAAACAATGGTCAATACAAAACACCTCATGCGATCGCATGACACATCGCGTCCAACTAGTCACAACACGGATCGCATTGAAAGGCTATGACTGTCAGTGTTGCTCATCCGTGCTGTCCGTTTTCACGGCGGTCCGCACGCCACCGACTGGTGAGCGGTGATTCGCCGGTCTGCGCCGGAGCGCAACAAACCGGTCTCAGTAGGGGGAACCCCGTGACGTTCCCCGGCGTCCGACCGCCCGCCGCGCAGACCGCACGTGCCCGGCGGGGGGGTCTGCCGCAGCGTGCCGGCCCACCATCGCACACCGGACAGACACCGGCCGCGGCAGGACAGCCGCGGCGGGACAGGGGACAGAGGACAAGACAGGAGAAAGGGACGTGACTGCAGAGTGCAGAGTACAGGGTGGTTGATCCATGCAACGCAAATAAACTTCTGAAATCATAAACGGGCGCAAAACTCAAATGTGAACGTATTTTCGCAAACGTGTCTGGAATGCGGCGAGAAGTTCACTATTTTATATAACTCTGGTTATTGAACGGAAAGTTATTGACCTGTTTATCCGGTGTTCTCGTCACAGCGGACGCAGACGGATCACGCATTAGAGACGGCGGCGCATTACCGCAGAGGCGGAGGTCTGGGGTTAATCCCCCCCCCCACACACACACACCGACACTGTCTGACGGATGTACCCGGCGGGGCAGAAACCTCTGCCTCTGTCTGCCCGTCTGCTACCCACAGCCGTGCGGCGTGATCCATAGACTCACCGCAGCGCCCTAACCGGGTAGGATAACCAACAGACCGAAACACACCCACGCGTCTCCTGCACGACGGAGCGCGACGCACGTATCACAACACGGCGCAAACCTAGGCAATCATCGCCGCACGTAGCGCCGGGCTGATCGATTTGCTGCGGCCCGAAATGGAACTGTAACCAGAGTCCGTTTGGACACAAACAGGCGTCTGCTTATATGGGACAGCCAAACGTCCGTGCTTTAATTGACAGCCGTTGATGACAGTCTGTCGCCTGGTAATTTGTATGGGCCAAACATTTGTGTATAAGCAGCCCGGATTATTGGTGATTAAAGGTTGACCAGTGTACGAACACATCACCACCTTACACAGTCGTACTCAGTAGTGGCACCACATTCAACGAGGAAGTCGCATAATCACTGACAACAGCGGTCATGTCTGTCTAATTGCATAGAAATCCCAAATCTATGTGACGACACACGTCATATGATATTGATACAGAACACGTGGGGATGGTGGTGGATACCACGTGGTTTCCGCACAGTACCAGTCAGTGCCAGTCAGCTGCGGGAGCCGGCGGGAATGACTCGACAGGACCGCGCCCGGCCGGGAGACAGAGGAAATCCGGCGGAGCGCCACACGCCCAGACAGGACGCGGCCCGGTGTATCGGCTCACGGCATCTGCACAGAGCGGCACCGCCGGCCGGCCAGTAACGGGCGCGGAGGTCACGTCTCCGGCGCGGCGACACCCAGCCGGCACACCGGGGTCACCGTAACCAGTCACCGAGAAACACGGAACCGGCGGAGCCAGCGGAACGGAATGCACGCGCCGCCCGGCAGGAAATGGTACAGCCCTCTGCAAACTGCGTGGTAGGTATTCTTTTTTCGACTAAAATGAGAATAATGCGCATACTATGCTATCGGTCATTCGCAAATCGTAACAGGAAGACTCGCGAGACTCCGCACCTTAGATTGGCATCATCACCGTATTCATTTTCCTTCTAGTTCGACAACAAAATCCAAAAGTTTATATTTGCCCCTAAAACAAACTTTTGCATTTTGTTGCCACACAAGGCGTATACTTCGTTTAGTGATACACCTAATCGAAGGAGTGGAGCATGGCGCATCTATTTGCAGTGAGTTCTGACTGACTGATAGCATAGCCTCTGAGTTATTACCGGTTTTGTCGAAAAAAGAATACCTACCACGCAGTCTGCTGAGGGCTGTACAACAGTGTAGGATGTCAAACATGATAATCGAGAACCGCATGAATTGTTTCCCGATGTAAAACATCCCGCAGGGCTCTAACATCTCCGTCGTAAGTTAGATGGTATCTAACGTCGTACGTTAGATGGTTTTTGCATTAGATGATATCTAACGTACGACCAGCAGGTGCCTGAGGTAAGCAGTTCTAATAGCCGGCATATCGCTCCAATCTGACCTCCGCACCCTGACCGCCCCCCCCGCACCTACCTGGCTGCGGAGCCGCCGCATTCAGCGCGTCAAAGTTGGCAAAGTTGGCGAAGTTGGCCGTCTGCGCTGTGGCGGCGGAGGCGGCGGCGCGCCCGGTAGGGGAGAAGGGGTCGCCCTGCGCGGCAGACGCGGCCGGGCTCAGGTCGGCCAGCAGGTCAATGTTTTTCCGCTCGGCCGGCCGACTGGTGGTGGTGATCGTCCCACTGCTCGTCGACTGCGGGCGATAGATTGATAGGTTAGATGTCGGACAAAGACGAACAGAGTCAGTCAGTCCCTACACCACTGTGTGCGTGACTTGTATATGTAGGGGGGGGGGGGGGGGGGGGGTAAGCCGGCCCGACATGGAAGTGACGTACGTGCTCACAGGGAAAACACGGACCGGCTGAGGTCAGCCGGGAGCAATGAGGAATGCGTTATGTAACCAACCGAGTCTTCAAACCACTGCGCTTGGACCGGACCGCCTCACACACAGAAGTTGGCGTATTATTTCCTAGGCTGGTAAAGGCTACGAAGAAGTGAGTATCCGAAAGCTACCAGTACTTTTTTGCATTTCACACCTTCCTGCTTCCACTATCACTACAAATAAATGACACCAATATTGTTACAGACCGCCAGCCCCAAGCCCCGTCAGTCCCTTACGTTCTGTCCGAGCACGATCGGTTTGACGTGTGCCCCCGCCAGTTTGGAGAGCGGTTTGATGGCGGGCGGTGGCTCGACGGCGGCCGGTGGCGACGGCTGGCTGCTGCCGCCCCCGCCGCCGCCCGACGGCTTGTCCTTAAACGCCACGCTCGGCTCCACGTAGTACCTGCGGCACGCGGCGGACGTACAGTGTGAGAGAGCCGTCCCTCCGTGATGACGTCACATTCGGTGACGTCACCGTGTTGCGGCCTCTGACGGCGCAGATGGCGGTGAAGTGGACCCACTGCGTAATAGGGTACACACTCAGCGAGATAACATTCCCGGAGGAATGTTGTTTATTTACGGTGCGACAGAGTTCTTGCTAACGAGAAAGAGTCGCAGAAAAAGTACTACGCCGGCCTTTCACTTACCGCTTCTTCTCGTATTTGAGTTCCATGAAGTCCTTTATTTGCGAGTCGTCTTTCATGTCGATTGTCGGATGTCGACTTGAATCGAACGAGCCTAGCCATACCGCTTTACACCACTGGAAACGTTCAGAGACGCGGACACGGCCAACGTTAGAACGGTGACGGTGACTCACTGTTCTCGGAAAGGGAGCATGTGAGATGACATAAAAACGCACAGTATACAATATAGAAAGCTAGTGACGTAGGTAAGGATACAGTTACACATCAGGTAATAATATACAATTGGGCAAAAGAAACAGCGCAGCAAGCATGTACATATTGTTCTATTTAATTTGACCTCCCTCCTAAATTGTTTACCGCTCCGCCTAACCCATCACCCAAAACAATGAGGTCAAGTGTACCCCTCCCTCCCCCCAAGACGGCCCACAGACGCCACCACAGCAGCTGTTACCCCCCCCCCCCCCCCGCCACACGTGTGGGCGTTACACCTCCCCTCCCAGGACGGTCCACCGTCCGTCTGTGGCGGCACGGGCACGGCTCAGCGGCCGACCTTGCCATCAGTTCTGCTCAATCTGCCGGCGGCGGCGGCGGGCGGTTCGACCTTCGGCCGGGCGGGGGCGGGGGCGGCGGCGGGGGCGGCGGAGGCTCACCTCGTTGCCTCGCTGTTTGATGAACTCGATCTCCTCGGCTGAGAAACTGGCCATCGAGATGGATTTGACGCGATGTGGCGGGGTCAGACCGCGGCTGTCGGCACGGCCCAACACCGATCGGTCAGGACCGTGGCACGGGAGACGGTACGAGCAAACATGTCATAACATGAGCATCAGTTATCATCCTCCCCATAAAAACGAACACATACAGAAATCTGAATGTTGTCACCATGTGGACCACATGGGCGAACGTGGACGACAAAAACGTAGACAACAAAGCGGAGTTCCACCTGCTGCCGCAGATGAAGACGAGACAGATATGAAGACAGAGACAGACAGCCACGTCACACGGCACAGCAGACAGAGACAGCCGCGTCACACGGCACAGGAGACAGAGACAGCCGCGTCACACGGCAGAGCAGACAGAGACAGCCGCGTCACACGGCACAGGAGACAGAGACAGCCGCGTCACACGGCAGAGCAGACAGAGACAGCCGCGTCACACGGCACAGCAGACAGAGACAGAGACAGCCGCGTCACACGGCACAGCAGACAGAGACAGCCGCGTTACACGTTACACCAGAGCGGCGCGCCGGTGCCGGCCTCCCCGGAGTCGCGGTGTCCCGAGCAATGTTTACCGTGCCACCAGGATCGGACACCAATCAGTGACGGCGACCGATCGGTCGGCGGCCGGTCCCGAGCACACGTACTCACTCAGTGTGGTTCTATGGTAGTGGGACCCCCGTCCCCAACCAGGGGGATATACCCTAGGGGGATATAAGATGATGCAGCTTGCAAGGGAAGAAGTGAATCTTATAAACTCGACAATTTAACCTTCCAGGCGGTGGGGGGGGGGGGCATTTTTTTGTCCCCCTTTAGTTTTTTCGATATATCTCGGGAACCGCTGCGCCGATCGTCACCAAACTTTCAGTACCCTCCCGGGAGTAGCTAGCGCACATGGTGACTAAAAATTTTTCCAAAGGCTATAATAGGTCGGCCGCTAATGACGTCAGAGTGACGTCATTTTTGCCATTTTCGACCCAAAAAAGGTTTCGCGGGAAGAGCTCTCAGGCCTACAGCTTTAGAGATACAGAAAAAATGTTCAAGACATAGAAGGTGTGAAATCAAGAAGGCTACAAAACTGCTATTTCGGTTTTTCGAATTTTTTGGATTTTGACCCCCAAAAATCAAAAAATATATTTTTTGAATATAATAGCCGAAAATCCAAGAAGTTTTTTGAATTTCGAAAAAAAAACGGAATATATGTGATAGTCCCTACCGCCTTCTATCTACATACCAAATTTGAGATCAATACCTCTTTTTTTGGCCAAGTTATAGCGAAAAAACTGTTCAAAATTGATGACGTCAAATTTTCAAACTCAATTTTTAGCAATTCTAGACCTCGTAGCGCAAAACAAAGACCACCATTAGACTCCCCGTGACGAGCTGCATCGAATCGATACCCATTTTATGCAAAAATATCAACTTTGAAATTTGACCTTTTTTGACCTGACCTTGACCTGACCTCCACCAGAAAGTGACCTAAACTGTACCTGATGGTCTTATAACCAATACCATTGAGTTGGAAATGAAAAACTGGCCATAAAACATGCATCGCACAACCTTAGTAAAGTTGGGTTCATGTGGTGACCCTTGGTGACCTTTGGTGACCTGACCTGTGACCTGACCTGGTATGACCAGTGACCTCTAATAGCAACATATGTACTAGACAACTGACGCCTTATCGCTGATTTTCGACAAAATGCGTTTTACTCGGTGTTATAGCGATTTCCCTAGAAGCCCCGTGAACGGTGAAACATTTTATCTTTGACCTGACCTGTGACGTCATCGGTGACCCCGAGGTCAATGAAATTTGGTTTCCTTCAACAAATTTGACAGGGCTATCGAACGCCGTTTGAATTTTCCGGATCCGTCCAGTAGTTTCGGAGATACGAGGGGGGGGGGGCAAAAAAATGCCCCCCCCCCACCGCGCGGAAGGTGGCTGGGAGGCCCACCGCCTGCCGGGTTAATTAATCTTCTCGGTAGGATGCACCGCACGTCCCCTAAGGTATGTTGGGGAGGAGAAAATATTTCGACCAATGCGATGTCGGAGTCGAATCAAACAGGTTGGAAGCCACTGTTACGCAGGAACTGGATCAATCAAGTGGCATGTAGCTGACAACCCACGATAACGCAGTGATTCACAGAACGGTACGCTGGCTATGCGACAGGTGACTAAGACTCGGAAATGCTCAGATCGTGGTCACATAATCAGGTACCGGTTCCGGTTGTAAAATGATGCTTTGTAAGCAATCTTTTTGCAAAAAAAAAACAGTAAGACACTAATAAAAACCGCTTATACCTAGCCCGTGCTGTATCCATAGCATAAACACCGTAACCCTCTCCCACCGCAGATCCCGTGCGTCACTCAGTTTTAACCTCAGCCTGCCGTAAAAGAAGGTACCCCTCCCCCTCCCGACACAGCCCCGTAGATCACTCACAGTCTGCCCGAGCACGATGTGCAGACGAACGAGCCGATGGTCATGTTGACGTAGGTGGGGCCGCGCTGTCCGCAGTCGAGGCACTGTTTGTTGGGCGCCAGCGCCGCCTGCTCGCGCAGCAGCTGCAGGTTCTTCTCCTCCTGCTTCCGTCGCGACGACATGGCTCACGGGAGGGGTGGGAGGGGAGTGGGGAGAGGGACGGAGCTGAGGGCAGGGAGGGGACCGCCGGGAGGGAGGAGGGGAGCGGCAGCTGGGGGTGGGGTGGGTGGGAGGAGATGTCTGTGAGGATGTGATGGTCCGTTCACTCAGTGGAGAGGCTGTGGGAGCGTCCAAGGGGCGTGGTTAGGACGGCCCGGGGGGCGGTGCGAGGGGTCAGAGGGTCCGCCGGAGCCTGGCACCGACTGGAGCCGTCGGCTGAGCACGTGGACTGCGGCTGCACCGAGCGGCGGCACGACACGCGGCCTGGAACGGACGGATGACGTCACGTCACACACGGCACCTACGTCACACACGGCCTGGAACTGACAGATGACGTCACATCAGAAGCTACGTCACACACGGCCTGGAACCGACAGATGACGTCACGCACGGCGCTACATCACACACGCCCGCGCCTGGAACGAACAGACACCACACACGGCGCGGAAAATCGCATCGTCTCGCGGTGCGTTTATATCGGAAGTACAAGATTGAAGATACTAGAGATACCAGAAGAGTGTTAACCCTCGCCGGCACAGGCCATTTTGAGTCCTTCGACGGCACAAGGGGGGGGGGTGGTACGACCCCCCCTCGCGTTTGGCCCCTGATCGAGCTAGAGCTTCGCGGAAAAAACGAGCGTGTTGCCCGTCACGAGACGAAGCCGATGATACCCAATTTTAAGGTCCTAGGTCATCGGGTGACCTTCCAGGTCAGGTCAATGACCCGAAAACCGGGAAAATCGGGACCTGTTAGAAAGTCTACAAGTGTGGCTGCTATGTGGTTTTCCGGGGTGCTGATCACGAATATCGTGTTAGTTTTGATCAGAGATGATGTCTTTAAGCATTTAGACCAGGTCGGGTCAGGTCAGGTCAGGTCAACCGGTAGGGGTTGTGACGGGTATTCGTAATACGTGTCAACCGCCTCGGACAGCTTCGTAACATGTTATGAAGGCACCAAAACTACTTCGTAAATGTTCAAATGGTTGCTAAATTCGAATTCAGCTCCAAAAACTAGCCTAGAAACATGTAAAACTCGAAAAAGTGAACCGAGGTCACCCGAGGTCACCAAAGGTCAATGACCTGACCTGACCTTCAGGTGACCTTGACACCCACCCTAATGCATGGGAGCAACATCAAATCACATGTTTGAACGTTTGAAACCACGAAAAGCTTACAAACGCGCGGCTAATGCGAGCCGACATGCGCCGAGCCGCGATTTCGGCCAAACATGGTCACAGAAAAGAGGTCACAGGTCAAAGGTCATTGGGGTCAGGGTCATGAAATTTTCAGGGTAGGTGTAAAATTGATCAATGCGAGGGTACTGAAAGTTTCGTCGCGATCGGCCGCTTTTTACGCGAGTTATTCGCGAAAAACCTTAGGGGGGGTTGCATCAACCCCCCCCCCTGTGCCGGCGAGGGTTAACCCTCGCCCATGTAGGGGGGGGGGGTTGGTGCAACCCCCCCCCTGAGGTTTTTCGGGAATAGTGCAAAAACGGCGGCGCGCAGCGCCGCCAAATTTTGGGTACCTTATGGGGCAAACCTTGCGCATCTTTTGATAAAAAAAATTTGACCGGGTCATGTCAGGTCACGGAGTTATGACGTCACAAAGGGAACAGCCTCCGGCCGGATTTTCACAAACTGAGTGCCAACGCCCGAGGTTTCCTGCCGGTGGTACGGACATCGGTTGATGGATCGTGATGAAACTTCCCATGCATGTTGGGGCAAGTATTGGCTATCATATGGTATAAGAAACTTGACCGGGTCAGGTCAGGTCACGGAGCTATGACGTCACAAGAGGAACAGCGTCCGGTACTATTTTTGAAAAGCGCCCGAACCACTATTTTGCTAATTCTTGTCACCTCAATGGGAATATGCAGCAATATTAGCTTCTATAGGGAGCAAATGGACCTTCCAAATCCAAAAATACAATCAGATTTCAAAAATTTAAATTTTGATTTTTCGAATTTCTGCCGCCGACTGTGACCTTGCCAACTTCCGGCGCTCCCAACGCGCCATTTTTAGAGCTAGGGAAACGAAATACATACCAAACGATAGAGAATTGATCAAGGAACACGATAGTGAAGGTTTCAAGTCGATATCTCCCACCGTTTTGCCGCAATCGCCGCGGAAAGTTGAAAAAAGTCTATTTTTCGGAAAATTTGACCTTTGACCGGTCAAAAGTAGGTCAAATGTTGACCTAGGACCAAAAAATATACCACCAATCGCGAGATCTCGGCGAGAGCAATCCGTTGGTCTTTTCCGCTAAGCTCTACGACGCTCCGTTTTCAAACGCCAAGGGGGGGGGGGGTCGCACCAACCCCCCCCCCTGCATGGGCGAAGGTGGCAGATCGCCGTTTACGGGCGAGGGTTAAGGTGTTCACGTCGTACTGCCCTACTCGGTATTTCCTACTGCTTCCCAAACCAAGAAAATTAGCACTCGCGTGATGCCAGCTCCTCAATGGTTGTCAGTGGGTAACTCCTGAGGGCCGTTCAGTACGTCACTGGTTCTCATTCTCCTCACTCCATCCCTCTCCTCACCTCTCCCACACCCTGAGCCCACAATGGACTGTGATTGGTCAGCCGTTTTAGCAGCAGCACTCATCAGCTGCGGCAGAACGTCATGAACATTGAACAGCCCTCGGTGCCATACGATGTTTGCGCTTCGGTCGGGCAAACCTAAGGAATCCGTCCGTCTAGCATATTTAGCTTATACATGACACAATTGTGCCAAGTAAATCACTAACACAGCGAAGCACGCCGCTCGGTGAAGCTGCATGCACGTTGACGGCAGCGCAGCCAGGGGACGCAGTAAACAATGCTACGGAAAAGCCGCCAGAGGTTCCCGGGAAGAGCCTGGGACGGGCGATTCCATGAATCCATCCAGGCGCACAAACCCCGAGGGGCGTGAACATAAACCCCTGATCCGAACAAAAAGTCACTTCGTATGCTCACAAAACATGCTAACTGTCCTTATCAGTCACCCAGCTAACACCGAACAGCGTGAGACGCTGTTGCTATGGCACAGTGACAAATGCCAAGAGATTATACAAAATACATGGTACACGAGCTTTGACTTTTTGAAACTTCCTGTGTCCAGCCTCGTGGGGAAATCATACCTCCTGACTGATATAGCGTGACAATCGTATTATGCCTTTTGTAATGTGTTCAAGCTATATGGTCTAACCACTCCATAGTTGAAGTAAGCACTTGCTAGGTCCAATCGACTCCAAAAGAGCCCAAAGACAGAAAAGGAGAGAAAGAGAGAGGTAAGAGAGAGAGAGAGAGAGAGAGAGAGAGAGAGAGAGAGAGAGAGAGAGAGAGAGAGAGAGAGAGAGAAATAGAAAGAAAGAGAGGGGGAGAGAGAGCGAAAGAGCGTGCGAGCGAAAGAGCGTGCGAGCGTGCGAGCGAGAGCTAGAGAAAGAGAAAGAGAAAGAGAAAGAGAAAGAGAAAGAGAAAGAGAAAGAGAAAGAGAGACAGACAGAGAGAGACAGAGAGAGACAGAGAGAGAGACAGAGAGGGACAGAGAGAGAGACAGAGAGAGAGAGAGAAAGAGAAAGAGAAAGAGAAAGAGAAAGAGAGAGAGAGAGAGAGAGAGAGAGAGAGAGAGAGAGAGAGAGAGAGAGAGAGAGAGAGAGAGAGAGAGAGAGAGAGAGAGACAGAGACAGAGACAGAGACAGAGACAGAGACAGAGACAGAGACAGAGACAGAGACAGAGACAGAGACAGAGACAGAGACAGAGACAGAGACAGAGACAGAGACAGAGACAGAGACAGAGACAGAGACAGAGACAGAGACAGAGACAGAGACAGAGACAGAGACAGAGACAGAGACAGAGACAGAGACAGAGACAGAGACAGAGACAGAGACAGAGACAGAGACAGAGACAGAGACAGAGACAGAGACAGAGACAGAGACAGAGACAGAGACAGAGACAGAGACAGAGACAGAGACAGAGACAGAGACAGAGAGAGAGAGAGAGAGAGAGAGAGAGAGAGAGAGAGAGAGAGAGAGAGAGAGAGAGAGAGAGAGAGAGAGAGAGAGAGAGAGAGAGAGAGAGAGAGAGAGAGAGAGAGAGAGAGAGAGAGAGAGAGAGAGAGAGAGAGAGAAGAGAGAGAGAAAGTTTGAAGTAAGAGGTAATGTTTGAAATATCTTAAAAGTGATTTAATTTTACTCCATGAACCATTAGCTGGCCTTAAATGAAGAACCTGTATAATGTAGAACAGCTAGAGACAAATCATAATTAAAATTGTACAACTATCCAGCATCTAAGTGTAAAACATGCATTGTTTAACAGCAAATCATATCATTACCATAGGATATACCTCTGGATATACATAATTCACCTTCCATAATATTTGTTCAAATAGCAGGTAAACCTGGGCAATGGGCATGATCAATTATCAAACACCAGTATCATCTAATGATATCCAGTGGGTGGCACCACAGGAACCAATCAGCTGTGTCAGTCAGCAATGTCTGACTCTGTGTCAACCTGCATCCAAATTCCTAGGTGAACCATTAATGAGGACAATGATGCTGTACAGAACCAGACTGGAGCACAAAGAAAAAGCAGTGGCTGTCAACCTTCAAGGGCGATTCCATTGTTGTTTATTCATTTTAAGGTACCATCACAGCACAAATGTTAAACAGGCCTTGAAGGTAGGTGGTAGTGACTGCCACCTACAGTGATGGAACGGTGAGTGCAGCCTCAAGCACCAGCTCAAACAACATTTGTACAAGGCCCTGTTTAAGTGTCTGCAGCCCCTGTGGCTCCCCTTGGTAAAAAGGTGGGCTTAGCTGGCACTTGGCAGCCAATCAGGCAAGGGCAGCTTTCTTGGTGCTTTCCTCCTTTTGAACCCTTTAAAAACTGAAGAAATTCACAAAGCAAGGACATGAATAGAAGGAACACATCCTTTTTAGGTTGAAAAGTGAAACCACACATTGATACATACTTTTACACAAAGCATTTATAAGTTAGGTACACCCAACCACATGCTGAGTCAGGTATGGCTATGTTGCGCTGGGTAAAGTTCAGTCAGGTTGGGTGAGGTTTTGATATTTCTGCTTGTCGTGTAGATACCTGATTTTTAAAAGCATTAAATGATTGTGAAAAAATTCTGGATTGATATAAGGTTTGTGACAACATGGTGTGGTTTTTATTCAATGATTTTGCGCCTAGGGTGCAAAAGGAGGACCATAATTAGACTCTGCCTCCTCCCACAGGAACCGAGATGGCCACAGAGCACTTGAACAGGGCCCAGTCAGAGGGCTGTTCACAAGCACCATAAACTGCTGAGTGCAGTCCATGCGGTGTGTGCAGCAGGCATGGGGGTAGGAAATGGGTAGACGGTATGACATCTCACGGCTGTGTGTTCATGCTGTGGCTGGTCCCTGGGCCTGGTCCCGACCATCCACAGAGGCTGCTGTGTGCGGTGACGGAAGGATGACATAGAGAGGCAGTGGGACAAGTTTAGAGCCTGCGTGCCGTCCTATCACACACGGGGCCCGTGAACATCAGTCATCAACAGCCCTCAGGCTTACCAGCATTGTCAGCGAAATGAAGTGATATACATTTGAGTCTGCAGTAAGAGCCATCAACCACCAAACCATCCACAGAGGCTGCTGTGTGCGGTGACGAAAGGATGACATAGAGAGGCAGTGGGACAAGTTTAGAGCCTGCGTGCCGTCCTATCACACACAGGGCCCGTGAACATCAGTCATCAACAGCCCTCAGGCTTACCAGCATTGTCAGCGAAATGAAGTGATATACATTTGAGTCTGCAGTAAGAGCCATCAACCACCAAACCATCCACAGAGGCTGCTGTGTGCGGTGACGAAAGGATGACATAGAGAGGCAGTGGGACAAGTTTAGAGCCTGCGTGCCGTCCTATCACACACGGGGCCCGTGAACATCAGTCATCAACAGCCCTCAGGCTTACCAGCATTGTCAGCGAAATGAAGTGATATACATTTGAGTCTGCAGTAAGAGCCATCAACCACCAAACCATCCACAGAGGCTGCTGTGTGCGGTGACGAAAGGATGACATAGAGAGGCAGTGGGACAAGTTTAGAGCCTGTGTGCCGTCCTATCACACACAGGGCCCGTGAACATCAGTCATCAACAGCCCTCAGGCTTACCAGCATTGTCAGCGAAATGAAGTGATATACATTTGAGTCTGCAGTAAGAGCCATCAACCACCAAACCATCCACAGAGGCTGCTGTGTGCGGTGACGAAAGGATGACATAGAGAGGCAGTGGGACAAGTTTAGAGCCTGCGTGCCGTCCTATCACACACAGGGCCCGTGAACATCAGTCATCAACAGCCCTCAGGCTTACCAGCATTGTCAGCGAAATGAAGTGATATACATTTGAGTCTGCAGTAAGAGCCATCAACCACCAAACCATCCACAGAGGCTGCTGTGTGCGGTGACGAAAGGATGACATAGAGAGGCAGTGGGACAAGTTTAGAGCCTGCGTGCCGTCCTATCACACACGGGGCCCGTGAACATCAGTCATCAACAGCCCTCAGGCTTACCAGCATTGTCAGCGAAATGAAGTGATATACATTTGAGTCTGCAGTAAGAGCCATCAACCACCAAACCATCCACAGAGGCTGCTGTGTGCGGTGACGAAAGGATGACATAGAGAGGCAGTGGGACAAGTTTAGAGCCTGCGTGCCGTCCTATCACACACGGGGCCCGTGAACATCAGTCATCAACAGCCCTCAGGCTTACCAGCATTGTCAGCGAAATGAAGTGATATACATTTGAGTCTGCAGTAAGAGCCATCAACCACCAAACCATCCACAGAGGCTGCTGTGTGCGGTGACGAAAGGATGACATAGAGAGGCAGTGGGACAAGTTTAGAGCCTGCGTGCCGTCCTATCACACACAGGGCCCGTGAACATCAGTCATCAACAGCCCTCAGGCTTACCAGCATTGTCAGCGAAATGAAGTGATATACATTTGAGTCTGCAGTAAGAGCCATCAACCACCAAACCATCCACAGAGGCTGCTGTGTGCGGTGACGAAAGGATGACATAGAGAGGCAGTGGGACAAGTTTAGAGCCTGCGTGCCGTCCTATCACACACAGGGCCCGTGAACATCAGTCATCAACAGCCCTCAGGCTTACCAGCATTGTCAGCGAAATGAAGTGATATACATTTGAGTCTGCAGTAAGAGCCATCATGATCAACCACCAAAACTCACAGCAATGCTAAAAAAGGACAATAATTAATCCATACCTTGACCTTGTTTTTGCGCTTGCCGTCTTCTCACTTGACAGGCTTGACAGCGGTGAAGGCTGAAAAATGCCAGTGGAAAATGACTGGAAAATGGAACTACAGGAACACCACAGAAAATTTTCCCTTTCAAGGGAAACAGCAAAGCTCAATAAAATCTACCCAGAATTTCCAAAAATGCGAACGTCAAACCGACGAAACCCAACCCTCCTCCGCGCATCCGTCGTTTGGTTTTTCTCCCCGTCTCGAAACTCCATCATTTCATGACGATGCAATGATGTAAATTAAAAGTTTCTGATATCTATCGTCGTTCTCGTGACGTAGTATACCATTTGTTTACAGAGGTTCCGGTTGAAAGACACCTTTGAGTCTTTATGTGTATTCCTTTGAGGAGCATGCAAATCAAGTGCTACTTTGAAATATTGAAAGGTGAGATTTAATGATAATTGATCAATAACTAACATACTTTTCCCCAAAGATGAAATTGAATGCTTTGATAATTTTGTTTTATGACGTCATTAAAACCATATTTTTTATTGAAAACACTATCTTCCCTCTGAGACGATACTGGCACAACTGCTTCTAACAATGCGCAGCACAAAGTTGGTTAGAAATTTTAATGAAGTATTACTAGAAATGCCCGAAGAAATTTGAATTTTGGTAGAGCAAAGTCAAAATCACAGTAATGCAGCTTTTTGACCGACATTAAACATTTTTAGCATAAGCAAGGACAAAACTTTTAAGACTTGAGTCTGGAGTTGTACTTTTGTAAGAAAAATTATTCTGTTATCTGCAATAATCCTTTATAGACCTTTTATCTTTTAATACAATTAAAATAAATTTGTGTGTTTTGCATTTTATATTTTTGTCTAAAATGTGCTGGTAGAAATTTGCTAAAATCATTCTAACTCAATGAAGATTCATAGCATATATTTATTTTTAGTCTAACACCTGTTTTGTGTACATCACTGAATTTGCCGTAGCAGCACAGCAACTACGACTACGAGACGTTCACAGGCTCTCTCTATCGTCTGGAGGTTTCGAAAGATGCTCTCCAGAGATGGCGCTAGTAAGTTTGGCTGACATGACGTCATGCTTAAAAGTGATGGGTTTTGTGAGAGCAAATGTAATAATAGTTGAAAATTTTGTAGTTTTGCTTAATTGAGAAAAAATAAATATACAATTGTTCAAAACAGCGTTTTCCTCATTCATCTTTCATTGTTTTAAGAGGAATATAGACAGTTTAAATCTTTTTTCTTGACCGCAATTCGCACACGCACTAAATTAAAAGCTGGAGTTTTGTGCGTTCGTAAATTGTGATTTGAGAAAATAAATTGACAATAATCTTTTGCATTTTTGCTTTACAATCATTTTTCAATGCAGATAAATGCATAAATTATTCGAAAATAGGCATATCTTTGAAATATTATGATTTTCCACAAGCCAATTTTTCCAAAAACTTGAACTACCTACAACTGGCGAGCGCATCCAATAATCTGGATGTCTTAGGATGAGTTCGTCATTTTTTCCCAAGGAAATACGATACAGTTTAAGCTACATTACCGAGTTATTAGTGTACTTTTGCCAATGAATTAATAAATAAATGACAACAATTAATCTAATTATCAACCATACTCGGAAGAATTTTCTTCGCATAAGCGCGAACACATCCGCGCTTTCATGAAAAGTAACGCCTGTAGATGTCAGGACCGCTGCTTTATGTTTCGCAAGGTGGCGCAGCGCGCAGGGTACCGACTACCGAGGCTGAGGTCTCCAGACTCTCCACCACGATTTAGCTTGGAAATGGCCAATGGGGAAGGTCTAACCCAAAAAACGGACGCCCTTTTACACGGCTGCATAACGAGAATGAATTATTGGCATAGCTGACCATACGTCCCCTCCCCCTCAGCTCAATTGGAAATATCGCCTATTTTCCTTAGCCAGTTATATTCTGACTAATTTCTCACTCTTCCCAGTAAACCTTAACATGCATGATGCAGATGTCCACTGCGTAAGTCGTGTGCTTGCAAGTGTGCCAACTATATAGTGCTGCCTACACTCTACAGTGCCACTGCTTCCACCATTGTTGTTATAATTGGTGATTCTCAGGTCAAAAGTTACACAGTGGTCTCAGAGAACAATCGTTTCAACAAATTAACGATTCAAACCGTTGCATTCTACTTATATTCCGGTCAGTTCTGCTACTAAACGATTCCGGCAAAACACTCTTTAGGTTATGTATTAGCGAACCACCACACAAAATTCGCCCAATCAATGGTCAGTTATTACTGCTGGGCTGAACCGTCATACGCTATATAGCCTATTGCAGTCAATATTTTCAGAACGATACCGACTGACGAAACACAACGTATTCGCGGATTCGCACAAACGTTGGCACCCAGGTGGCCTGTCAGCAGCCGCACAAATTGAGATGGTACACCGTGAAGCATGCCTTTCCACAAAGGCACAAGCACAGGGACACAAATTCTCAAAAGCTAAACTTATTCCAATACTGGTCAAATACTAATAGGCATAAAGTTTTGAGGATTTCTCATGTTCATTCTTCTTTCAACACACGCGGCAGACTGCAGCAGAACATCTCACAGAGCTGCGCTGGATGCAGTCATGAGCTGGGACACGGTTTGTGACCAATGACCGATCGGGGGTGCCAGCCTCCTCCCGGCACGCGATGCACTGGCCGCCGCGCAGTCGATGTCGGGGCACCGCCGGCATTCGCCGACAGGGTTTCATCCGATTCGGTGTATTGGTGGCAGCCCGAACAGTGACCCACGCGAAGCTGGTGGACGTCGATGGCCGATGAGCGATGCCCTTCCGCGACCGGCGGTGGCAGTCGGTCCCACATCAAGAACAGATACCAGTCATGCGGTCAGTCGGCGACGGCGCGGTCGCGAGCCGATCTGATGGTCGCGCGGTGGGCGTTGCCGACGTCCACCGGGACCGTCGACTGGGGGAGCGCGGCCGCCTCTTGGCCGCCGCCTCTGGTCGGCGCGCTCGTTGCGCTGTGGGACGGCATCCACTGCAAGTCGTTCACTGTGAAGCGGTCGTTTGACCGGACCTGGCAGGCGGGGAAAGGGGGCCTCAGATGAAGTAAAACCATCCCTCAGGCCAGCTTGAGCTGGCTCTCCACCTCACCATGTTAGATAAGCGGACACCCTCGTGATCATCGCAGCGATGATTGCCAATTGGTGTGTCATTATGGGAGGGGATGCCAGCCTCCTTTGCAAGATAGTCTGCCTTCAATATAGTGCAGCCCGACCCATTGCCTGTGGCAGCAGACTGGGCTTGATAATGCAGTGCACCAAATGTAAGCGGCCATCTGTACCCCCTGTGCAGTAGGGCTGACTCAAGAGCCCAGAGTTGCCCTCCCCCCACCATTCTGTGCACGTGATCAGGGCGCCTCTCACACTGCAGCACACTCAACGACTGAGGCACCATCTCATCACTTCAAGGTGGTTCTTGCCAGGAGCAATGCCAGCCACGCACATCAGGTGATAACAGCAGTGTACAACTGCAATCTACAAGCATCCATGTTCTTTCTGGTTTTCTCCTGTTGAGATCCACTGCCAGGGCTGCGGAGTCGATGGATTTTCGGCGACTCCGACTCCGGCTTTCAAAAACCAGCTCCAACTCCGACTCTGACTCCGGGCAGAATTGTCGACTCCCACCGACTCCAACTCCCGACTCCGACTCCGCAGACATAGCAGGGCTGCGGAGTCGACAGATTTTCAGTGACTCCGACTCCGACTCCGGCTCGGGTTTCTAAAATCGACTCCGACTCCGACTCCGGTCACAACTGTCGACTCCGACCGACTCCGACTCCGCAGCCCTGTCCACTGCCATGCATGAACTTGATGGGCTTTTGTTGCGCTCCTCCCATGTGCAGACAGGTTTCTGCTGAAACAAAGCAAAGCAAATGTGATTAATAATGGCCCTGTTTCACTGGTGAAATGTCTGGATGACCATTCTCTGGATGGTCATCCGGACACTGTGTGCACTGGTAGCTACGGCATACCATAGCATCACTCAAATGACGTTGCATGTGATCTCTTAGTTTATGATGAATAGCGTTTGGAACAGAGTGAGAGGTTCTGAAAAACCGTACCAAGAACAGAGGTTTGAGTTCAAATACTGCTAGCATGCTGCTGGTGCTGGTACCACAGCGTGCTAGCGTTCTGGGATGCTGTCATAGCTTAGCGTCACAGTGAAGTTTATTGACACTGCCATGGAAACCCAATGCTGACACACGCGGCGCACTGCAGTGCTCTGCCGTGCAACACCACCCATGAACGTTGGTTGCATGACCAGGATCGGAGCAGTGTGGCAGACAGTGATGTTAATTTTAATTGCACTTCCTAGAGATTAAGAAGTTGTTGGTGAAATTGCTCTTCATTATTCCTATTACCATTGTCTAAATTTCACATTTCAAGACAGCATCAGCATTGACATGTTATTTAAAATAAGGTTTAGACTTCAGGTGGTCCCGGGTTCAGCTATTAAGAAGAACAAGGGCAAAAAATTGTCAAAAAAAATATTTTAAAAATATACCTGCCTTCATCAACACCTCATCTAATCACATATCTCAATACAATCAAACAAAGATGGGTTAAACAACAAGGCCCTAAAAGCAAAAACCGTTTGAATAACAATGTAATATTTTGCAACCGCTGCACCATTACTGTCACGTACGCTATCCCTAGATTGGTTGCTGGTAAGTAGTGGTTGTCGTCATCAACTCGTCATGCAGCAGCTGATTGGGATGGGCGGGGCCTATTTTTATCCAGACGATAGAGAGAGCCCGTTCACAGAGAAGGGGGGATGGCCTGTGGTGTAGGATCCGATGATCGCATTTTGTTGGTGATATCAATTTGTTGAATTTCAAGTCAATTACTGGCATTATGTCTGGAATTTTCGCTTAATTTCTCTTGTAAAATTTCATAATTTGTTAAACTTTTCAGGGAAAAGGCTGCTAATCCTAGAGCGCCGGAATGGTCTGATTTTTGTGTTTACACTTTTTGATTAGAAGTTTTTGGATCCATTCAAGTTTGAGGAAAACATGACCATGGGGGATGATTCACCTGTATCTTCCCTGGTGCTGCCAGTTTTGATAAGACCAGTTCTTTCTCAGGTAAGAAATGTCGGCATTAGTAGAGCAGACGTCACACAAAGGTTTTCCGGTAAAAGTATACATGAAGTCCGAGTGACTGTTTAAAGATAAAGTTTTCATATTCTTACATTATTTGACATCCTGAATCCAAAAATGATACTTATATGTCCTGGAAATAAAAGAAAAAACATAATCAAACCTTACCTTACCTTACCTTACCTACACTTATCGGGATTTAGAAAGGCACAACGCCTGAAGGTCCCGATCTCGTCGAGTAGGTTCTGGATACACTAGGTTAAATCTTGGGTTGGCACTGAGTAATGGATGGTCTGCCAGTGCTGGTCGAGTCGGGATTTGAACTGGGTTAGGGTCTCAGCGAGGACCACATGACGAGGAAGGGCGTTCCAGTCATTGATGGCTCGTACGCAGAGTGCGTTCCTCCGCACACGAGACGCTGCTTGAGGTTTCGCCAGCTTCCAGCCGTGCCCTCGAGTTGTAGTCATTGAGCTCCTCGCCAAAAAGTCATCAGGGTCCAGGTCGACTCCCGCGTGTAGCAGCTGGTAGATCGTTAGCATGTCTCCGCGCCGTCTTCTGTAGTAGAGCGAAGGTAACTTGAGTTTCTGGAGACGCTGAGGATATGGCAGGTTCCTGATACCTGACACCAGCTTGGTTGCTCGTCTCTGGATGCGTTCTAACAGCCTCTGATCGTGTCTGTTGAACGGTCCCCATAAAACGTTGCCATACTCGAGGAGTGGACGTACAAGAGACTTGTAGAGCAGCGTCAGTGTCTGTTCATCAAGGTGAGCGAACGACCTCCGAATCACGGCCAGGACCTGGGTGGCCTTGGAAGCTGCAGATGCTGCCTGTTTTCTAAACTTGAGGGATGAGTCGATAAAGACACCCAGATCTTTCTCTTCACTGGCAGATTCGAGACGGTTACCTCTGATTGTGTAGTGGTGCTCCTGGTTATTTGGGCCGATGTGCAAACCTGACCTAACCTTATGTGCAAACCTGACCTAACCTTACCTATTTACCTACAACCTACTTACCTACAACCTACAAACCTACAAACCTACAACCTAACCTAACCTAAAACCTACAAACCTACAACCTAACCTAACCTAAAACCTACATTTTTTGCTGTTACATATTTGTATCAACAGCGTCACAATTGTCCACTCGGACCTAATATATACTAATACCGGTTTTCCAACCGAGGAGGGGCGCTGTAGGTTGTAGGGTAGGTTTGTAGGTTGTAGGTTGTAGGTTTTTAGTTTGTAGATTTGTAGGTTGTAGGTTAGGTCAGGTTAAGGTAAGGTTAGGTTTGTTAAGGTTTTCCTAGAAAGGAGCACCCACATTTTTTTTTGTGTTGTCATTTGAGGTGTCTTACTGGGTTTATATATGAAGGGGAACTGGGCCCAGAGCGCCGTTCAGTGTCATTTTTATCAGCATGCTTGTTGGTTTTCCCACGTGTAGAAGCTCTTTCTGGCATTTCTTGGTCTCTCATTGGTGAACCGCACACACCAACTGAATTCGACCAATGAGAAGTAAAAAGCCAGCAAATCGACACCCTGCTGCTAAACAAACGGCGACTGAACAGCTCCCACTGATTCCTAGAGTACACAGCTTTTGACGTTTCTTGCAAAATTGCATGTGCCTTTCACCTGATAGTTCAAAGGATCGTCGTGAGATCTTGCTTTGAGTTACACAACAATCGATAATGTACAGAGTGTGCTATAGCTAACATACTAGCATTATAACATAGCATAGCCAGGATTTAGTTCAATCACGTCCAGGAAAGTCACGAATGAATGTGTCAGAACTGACTCATGTGACCTGGAAGTGTTAAAACAAGGTGACCCTGACCACTGTTTTCCCTGCGAGTTGCGTCGCGCCCGGTGACATTGCACGTTTATCACCGTCCGCCGGCAGCTGGACAAGGAGGATGTGGCGGCCAGCCAGACGCTGCGCGCCGCCCTCACCAAGGTGGAGGCTGCCAACCCGGGCTTCACGTACGACCTCGTCATGGGTCTGGTGCGCAAGGCAGACGTCAGTGTCAACATGCACGAGAGTCTGCTCCGCCTGCAGGGATCGGCCGGCGACAACGACGGTACGTGACGGTCGGAGGGGAGGGGGGGAGGTGGCTTTGTGATAGCTTCCGCGACGTCTTTGAGGGAATGGGCGGCTGTTTTATTTTTAATGTTGAAATTAATATGTTGCAATTGCTGTCATATTTTACGATATTTTGATATCACTGCTGCTGCGCAGTGTCTATAAGGGTAGTTCTCATTCTATAGCTAAGATGCATTGAACAAGCTAACTATTCCAATTTCGTGATTCAGTGCCGTGACGAGATGTTTGCGAGATGTTTACGAGATGTTACGAATACGAGATGTTTGCGAATCATGCCGTTCATGCGTCTTTAGGCTGCTACTGTTGATTCTGTTTGTGATGTGCGTTTGGACATGGGTGTTCGGCTGCTGACTTATTTCTCTGTTGTTACAGCCGAGTACCGGCTCAGTCGCACGGAGGAGCCCTTCCAGGAGCTCAACAAAAAGTCTGCCAGTCTGAAACGCATCCTCAGTCGGATCCCGGACGAAATCACCGACCGCAAAACATTCCTCGAGACCATCAAGTGAGTCAACATTCGCCGTATGACAGAAATGAGCGGACTCGGAACCTTCTTTGTTTTGAATATACAAAAAGCTTGTCATTGCATTGATTTGTAGTCACTAATCTTATTATGATTCAAACACTTAAGAGCAAATTTCGAGCCTGATCTTACAATGTTAGCTTAGTAATGACGCATGGCAACAATAATAGCAGAAGGCATAACTTTTCATCGATTTAACGGGAGCTGCATTTCCGGAGTGAGAAGTACATGAGACAAAACGACTGTCGCTGACTGGTGGAGTACCATCTGCCGTCTGTTGGTTTCGCCCTCCCTTCACCGTGACTGGACTAATGAGTGATGATTGTCGCACAGGAGAACATTGTCACCTCCGGCTGCTCGGGGGGGGGGGGAGGGAGGGGGGTCGCCGTATGGGGTGTTGCACTGTCATTTTTGGAAACGTGCTTCTTATGGTCTCAGCAAAGTTTCGTACAAGTATCGATATCAACCAGGATAATAAGCCCAGAATATCGTTCGTCGAGCTACCGTGATGTGTGCACGAGCCATGAACGATGATCCCTTATTGTGAGTCACTGATAACGAACGTTTCAGAGGTTCCCTGTCCTGTCCCGTTTACTCCGAATTGACGGACTGCTGGGAGCGGGCCAGGTCGAGAGAGTCCGGCTGACCCTAACAGCACGGGTTGCGCTGCGCGATCGGCCGGTGTCCGCTCACACACTCGGCTGGGCCGCGGTGCTACTCAGTTGTACCGTCCGGGACTACTTCACACTCAGTCAGGCGCATTGCGGCCCAGTACCGTTCCCTGGCCCGGCGGCACACCTAGAACGGTCCGGCGTGGTGGACGCTGCTTGGCTGATCACCTATGACACATTCTCACCGCCGGGAATCTGTGCCGCATTGCGTTATCCTGCAGTGAACGGTGGTTGCAGTAGTGTGAGTCGGTCAATTATGAATATTATTTGTGTGGAGTGTGAGGCCTAGCGCTCTGACGTTGTTCAGCCGAGGACGGAGCAGTACCGCCGTGCGCAGAATCCCAGACGCGTCATCAGGTCACGGCGCTATCTAATCCCGCCTCCGTCGCTGTCACCGTTATCATCTGCCCGGCGCGGCGGCGCGGCCAACCGGCACTGATGGCCCTGTGCGCGTCCGCCGGTCGGCCAGGGTCGCGACGAGCGGCCAGCGGCCCTCTCAGCTGAGCTCTCAGCCGGCCACGGCATCGAGCCGCTGATACAGACTCCGGGGTTATCGCGGGACTGTTCCCACGATAGGGTCATATCTGCGCCTGTTTGGGCTACTGCTGAGTAGTTGGGCCACTGGGTTGATGAGTAAGGAGGACGATTTGGAGGTGTGAATGGTCGAAGGCAGGATTCACCGTATGGGATGCAGCGGTTTCCTCCATCCCACATGGCCACCGGCGCGGGCACCGGCACCGGACCGGTAGCTCGGCGCTCGGCAATCCGTGTGCAATGTCACGGCGCGGTTTCACCGGACAGCCGGCGTTTCACAGGCCGGCGGCCGACTGCCGGTCCGGCCTGCTCGCCGCTGCCGTCGGAAAGTGAGAGTGGCACTGTGTGCCGCCGAACCGCGCCCAAAGCGCCGCCCGGCGCCGGTGGGTAGGCCGACCGGCCGCTCCCAGACGCGTTCACACGGACGTCAGCCGTGACGGGCCGCCGCCGCCGTCCGGTCACCGCCGCGGGGCGAGTGCAGGGGTGAGCCAGATAGGCGAGAACGCTGGGATTACTCAGAGCGGCAGTGGGTGAAGTGCAAGGACGCTGGTTTGATGACCTCCGTGATCTCGGCGATAATATTGGCTCTGCGAGCCAATGATAACCATTGTCTTTGATATATCTTGGGTAGGTGCTCGGCGAAAGTGGATTCAGTACCTGAATGGGACAATCTGTGATGTGTAGATAGCATGCTAAAAAATAAAGGATCTGAATTTTTAGCCGGAAATTTATTGGGCTAGACAGTAGAAACAGCGGCTAAAATAAGTGGAGGGATTCTATGCAATGTAGATACAATGATGGTCGGTATGTAATCCGAGTTACGGCTATATTCACGATAGTGGACTGAATGAAGGTAAACACTGGGCTTTGCAATGCCCTAAAATATAGGGCTTTTTATGTCGACTGGCCATTCAGACCGGGAACGTGCACTTATACACTGGCGGGTGATTGAGTGGGTTACTGGGCTCCTACAGTAAGCGGCGCCTGAGTGGAGCGAATAGATTCGTGAGTCGTGATGTAGGCGGGATCCACTCCGTGGCGAGGGTAGCCAATGGCCATGGCGCACGCTGTATTCTGCTGGACGATCGAAATAACCCGACGGGGTCGGTATCTTACAACGATGAAGGATACATTAGTTAGGTAACCCACTGACATGATCGCTGACCTCTAGCGAGGGTCATGTTAAATGACGTCATTTCATCTGCTTCTAAACGAAGTCTTCAAATGAGCGATGGTTGTAGTGGCGTGAGACGTCGCAGTTACATACATCACGTTTATCTTCCGATGACTCGCGTGTCTCCCCGTCTCTCTTATGTCGGTGTCAGTGTCAGTGTCGGCTCCACCCCTGTGACACCCGCCCCGTCCGCCGCCCTCAGGGAGATCGCCAGTGCCATCAAGAAGCTGCTGGATGCCGTGCAGGGTGTGTCGGCCTACATCCCCGGCTCGCACGGAAAACAGGCGCTCGACCACCGGCGCCGAGACTTCGTCAAGTACTCCAAAAAGTTCAGCAACACGCTCAAGGAGTACTTCAAGGAGGGACAGTGAGTGTGACACGGAGGGAAATGGGCGTATGGTGTGTTTGATGTGTTATTCCCGCCGATCTCTTGTGGGGTCATAGACTCATAGCGCATGTCTCAACGCTTGATGCGATTGGTGTAAGGTGACTCAGTAGGGGCATTGCTTGTTCATTCCGCACTTGTTTTTCCTTCTCTTTTTTTGGTTTTTTTTTTTGCATCAGCGTAACGCTGAGATGTCTTGCCTTAGATGTTACTTGACTCATCACTTCTTTTTATTGGATGCCAATGATTTTCGGACGCAGTTGATTCTATTTCATTGCGGTCCATTTAAAGTTTCTTCGCACTACCAGACATTTAGTCTAACGCACCGTCCCCTTTCTCTCAGGGCCAGCGCGGTGTTCGTCTCGGCCACGTACCTGATCTACTACACCAACATGATCATGAGCACCGTGAAGAGCAAGTGCGAGTAACTCCGTCGGTGGGCCGCCAGGGGCGCGCCAGTCGCCCGCGCGTCTTCCCGGGCCGCCTGGCCCCGTTGTTGATCCGTTGCGCCCGGGCCGGCCGCGATAGGGTGGCCGTTGTTTCTGTGTCCGTGTTTGTGTCCGTGTGTCTGTGTTGTTCCGCCGTCCATCTAATGCCGGCGGATCCGCCGCCCGCCAGTCGCGATATCGCCAACTGCGCGCGCCGCCCGCCCGCGGCCGACGCCCCACATATGAGATACTTAAATCATTTATTTTTACCACGCGCCGGTGTGGCCAACGTAAAGTCACGAGTAGCCTAGGGATCAAGTGTATTAGCTGTAAGACCAATGTATATACATAAAACGGCTAGCGCGTAATACACGCGCATCTGCCCGCCCGCCAGCGTTTGGTTCGGTCGCCGGCACAGCGATATCACGTCACAGGAACCCAGCTCTCACAGATCAAAGGGTAGCCTCCCGCCCACGTCCCGTCCCGCCCCTCCCCGCCCGGCGCGGCCGGCGCTACTGGGCGGCAGCCGGCGGCGTCACCAGCGCCTCGTGCAGTGCCTCGCGCTGCTGGTCGCTCAGTTGGCTCAGACACGCCGTGAAGAGCTCCGTGTTACCCTGTGCGGGGAGGGGAGGGGAGGGTGTCAGACCGGCAGGGAGGGGCGCGGGGGAGCGGCCGCGGCCGGACCGTCAGATATTGGCTTCTCGGGAGGTCGGCACAGGCGGGAGCGGCGCTCGACCGGCCCTCGGATTTGGCTAACTTCATCACTGATCGAGGAAATGAAAACCCACAAAACGTAAACGAAACAGAACACGAAACTACATAATCAGTAATCACATATTGCTTGCAGAAACTATCATGACTTTCGACTTTATAGCATTTATCACTAGCAGGCACAGTTCCTATCCGCTGCACAATCATAGCACGAGTCACAGTGAACCTGTCTTAGACACTGGAGCACGATGAGATCACAAACCTCCACGCCCGATCGCCTGTGCTCGCCGCGTCGGCAGCAATTACTCACCTGGATCTGTTTGACGAGGTTGAGCAGCCGCACGCCGGTCGGGTCGCCGGCCTCTACGGCGTTGCGCGCGAACGCCTCGGCAATGACGGCGATGATGCGCGGCAGGTTCATGTTGTTGGGTCCGAGCACGGCCGGCTGATTGGCCTCGACCAGGTCGCACAGGTAGTTGTAGACGTAGGGCACCTCGTCCGAGTCCTGCCACACGGGCAGCCTGGGGGGCGACAGGGACGGCGGGGTCAGCGGGCGGGAGAGACGGGGATTGAAGGGGAGTGAGGAAGGAGCGCAAGACGCTGTGCATAAAATTAGCGTTATAAAATTAGCGTTTCCTTGATTTCACGAAGAGTAATTGCGAGAGTACCAAACATTATTACTATCGTTTACGGCATAACGCCGATACCTTTCCGCAATGGACAGGAAGTATTTTATAGAAAAACGTGTAAGGAAGAGCACAAACCAAGTGAACAGAAAGTGACGATGCAGAATTCCCCGGTCATCCTTCCCCGACGCAGCCCCAGAACTGTAGAGTGTAGACTCCCACCCGCTGCACTCACCAGCTAAACCACACGGGTATCACGTCGGCCACGTTGATGTCGGCCGCGTTGTATTTGAGGATCTTGGTGACGGCCGAGATGGCGTTCTCGGTGGGGCTGATCCACTCTGGCGAGCGGCTGTCTGGCCGCTGGATGGCCTCCACGAGCCGCGGGATGGCCTCGGCGCACACCTTGCTGTACTCGGGCCCGCCGCACTGGCCCAGCACGCCGCAGCCGTACGCCGCCGCCTGGCACACCTCCGGCTGACTGCAGAGCGGGGGGGGGGGGTCAGGTCAGGTCACACACCTTCGACTGACTACAGAAACGGGACCGGGAGGGCAGGTCAGGTCAAGTAATAGCCCAGCACGCCGCGCCCGTCCTTTCAGGGGCTATGCTGGATCACTGACGTTGAGGTTTGGGGAAAATAAGTGAGGAAAGGCATAAGAGAGCAGCAGCACGACTTATCCATACGAGGACAAAATTACAATGAATATCTTTCAATAAAAGCTCATCTATCAAAACATTGCACGCATGAAAAAAAAAACTCGCACCACCCCACTAGCGGATGCCGTCCTATAGGTACGGGTACTATGAGCGCAGCAACTTCAATCTTACAATTCCCACTCCAAAATACATGCGCACGAGGCGCGCTACTCACGGATCAGTGATGTACTGGACCATGGGCTGCAGGAAGTACTGCGAGTACTTGATCGAGGCGGGACTGCAGAACTCTATGACGTCATCCCAGATGCACAGCGACCACTGGCGCTCCGTCCACGCCCGCTCCGGGCCCTGGAATACGGGTCACAATGACGTCATACACAGCGACCACTGGCGCTCCGTCCACGCCCGCTCCGGGCCCTGGAATACGGGTCACAATGACGTCATACACAGCGACCACTGGCGCTCCGTCCATGCCCGCTCCGGGCCCTGAAATACGGGTAACAATGACGTCATACACAGCGACCACTGGCGCTCCGTCCACGCCCGCTCCGGACCCTGAAAAGGGTACCATTGACCAAAATGACGTCATTTCACCGAGTTGATGGACCACAGCCTAATAGAGAACGATTCAGTGCGTCTGAAAGAAGACAATCGGAAAAATATCAGTTCAGAAATATCTATCCAAGTCACTGGCCTCGTATCTTTGTACTCTGAGAAGGAACATTTTCTAAAAAGCTCCTGCCATGAGTTGAGCAACGATCGTATCATGGCACGGCAGCGAAAAATGTTAGAGCGCTGAGCGCGTATGACGTTTAGTCGTTTGCTAATTCAAGGTCAACCAGAGGTCAACCAACTAGATGCGGAGTACTCTGCCCACCATACAATGAGTTACACTACTGACCATGAGTTTGACGATATGAGTCCGATTACTGACCATGAGTTTGACGAGGTGCGGCACGATGCTGTCGAAGAGCGGGAACAGCTGGTCGCGGTAGACGGAGAACAGCGAGTGCAGGACGTCGGCGATCCTGGAAATGATGAACGTGTACTCATCGTCCTCGTCAATCAGCTCCTCCTCTACCTCCTGAGGGAGAGCGGCGGGGGACGGGCGGGTCAGACACGAGCGGCTTCGTCAGGGACGGGCTGACATTGAGGCCCGTCACTCAAATATCAAGTATCTCTTAAGTCAAATGTTGAGCATTGGCGACCAGCACTGAGTGTCGGTCGCAAATAGTTGGCCACCGCGTTGGCCAATGAAACACGAGTATCAAGCCTTCCTTAAAACGTACCTACACAGCAAAGCACGTATCCATACCGGGCCGAATGACTTAGCTGGGCCCTAGAAACTATAGCAAGACATATGCGCTTGTCAGTGTCACTGAGCGTAACAGGCCCTCTGTTTCCTTGCTGACCAGCTTTGAGGGTGCGTCAACAGGTAGAACCTTTTCGACCCATCGGGCAACACCTACACACAGACCGGACACGACTAAACTTAAGCGATACAAATCAATAACAGATGGATTGGAAACTGCAGCCATCCCGGCTGCCGGTCGACCTGTCATCGCCAGTCAGTCGCCTGAACCCACCTCGTCGTAATCCTCGTCTCTCCTCTTTTCGTCCCGCTCAGACGACTTCTCAAAGTGTTTCTCAAACTGTTCGTTGAAGATGGTGAATAGTTCGCGCATCTGTTCGTCCGTGAGACAGGGACAGTTGAGCGTCTCTATACACTGCCGATGGGAGACGAAGAACAGTCTCAAACAGGGAAACAGCCAACTGCATACCATACAGCAAATGAACAAGAAAACACCGAACCATCCGATACGCGACATTACCATACCCTCAACATTACAAAACACTTGGCCCAGCAGCGGCCATCGGTCCCCTAGTATAGCTCTGGCGCCAGCGGCCAGCAGGCGCTCTCTCACCCCAGGCTCTCACAGTCCGGCCTCTCACATTTCTGGCACTCACAGCTCAGGCTCCCACAGCCCGGCCTCTCTCAGCTCAGGCTCTCACAGTCCGGCCTCTCACAGCCCTGGCTTTGACAGTCCAAACGCTCACAGCCCAGCCTCTCGCCTCTCCTCTCACCGCTCACCTTAGCCAGCGACTGCATGTGCTCGGGGATGACGGAGACGTTCGGCTCCAGTTTGAGTGCCTGCAGCAGCTCGGGAACGATGAACGACCACATCTGCTGCACGTACTCGGTGCCTGTGGATCGGGACGGATAGGCGGGCGGGTGATGCACGGGTACTTTAAACAACTGGTGGGCGACTGATCCAGACTTGGTAGATGCTCTGCACAGGCACTGCTGGGGTCTATGTTCTGATGGTGTTCATAGGGAGCACGCCGAGAATGTGCGTATTGCAATATGAATAGAAAGAGATAAGACCGCACATCTCAGCATTCTCTACGCAGACCCTTTCCTGAATCCTCCTCAGACAAAACCTTTAAACGGCTAACCATTCAGTACCTCCTAATAATTCATATCCAAACCCTCCGCAGTCCGCACCCTCCCTCGCACCCCACCAGCCCCCGGCCTCCCCCCCCCCGCACGCACCTTTGGCGGCGCCGCTCTGCAGCAGGAAGGGCATGATCTCGGCGGCCGACACCCGCACGCCCTCGTGGAAGTAGAACTTGAGCAGCCTGGTCATCAGCTCGGCCACCTGCTGGGTGTACTCGGCAAACTCCTCGTCCAGCTCGCGGGCGTAGCACACCAGCATGGCGCACGCCGTGCTCTTGTCCTCCAGAACTGCGGCGGGGAGCGAGGGTCACAGAGCGTACCGCGGGATGGGTGCCTGAAGAGCTGCAGAGGAGAGCGAGGGTCAGAGCGTGCGGGGTGTCAGAGGGTACTGGGGGCGTTGTTCAACAGAGCTGCGGCCAGGAGGGAGGGTCATAGTGTGGCAAGGGAGATTAGAAGCGCCTACAAAACTTCGAGGGGAGGGAGCCCGGAGGACGGCGGAAGACAGAATGACCGCATGTCAAAAGAAGGATTGGAGGATATAGTAAGTGGAAGAGGGAAGAGACTGGCACTGCACTCATCTGGAATACAACTCACAGGGTGCTTTCAAGAGTTCCCTCCCTCTCCCCTCAAACACAGCCACTGAGCTCCCCCCGCCGGCTCACCGGACGTTCGGACGGCGAAGTTCTGGTTCTCGCCAAAGTTGTGCAGTTCCCACTCCTGGTCTCCGTTGAGAACCTCGCGGTCCTCGTCCGAGAGCAGCGCCCACTCGGGTTTGGCAGAGGCCATCTGCATCACCGGTCCCATCACCAGAGGCAGGTACACGGCAAACTGTTTGCCTACGGACGGACACACAGACACACCACGCGGTCAAAACCCGGCCGGCGGCTAATAGCATAGGAGAGTGGCAGTCAATGCGGTAACGATAGGACTATTCAGATAATTAACCCGGCAGTTGCTGGGGTATTTCGCCACCCACCGTTTGCTGGGGGGGGGGGGGGGGGCGTCAAACGCCCCCAGCCGATAACTCGAGAACCAATAGGCGCAGCGAAACGCACGAGGCGGCAAACGAAAGAACGCGACGAGACGATTCAGATGAGTACTTTAAAATTGAATTTTGAGGTCACAGGTCGGGTCAAGGTCAGGTCAAACACCTGAAATTGGGCTTTCAGTAGCATGGACTTCAGGACCTCGCAATGGGCGCCTCTCGTCACAAACTCTGTCAAAACGGTGCACAATCCATCATATAAGGCCTAAAGAGTGTCAGCTCCATGTAGGGGTCAGTCAAGCATAGGTCAGGGTCAAGGGCAGGTCAACCGGGTAGGCACATATCCCCGAAAATCAAAACTGATATTTGCAGCCTGTGACACATGTTTTATGGGTAATTTGGGGCGCAGAACACGATGGTTACATTCATTTTATCATATGTGTACTTGTTTGGCTCAAAAAGTTCAATTTAAGAAATGCATGTATCATGGTCGTGAGGTAGTCACGAGAAATTGCCAAGATTTAGTTCAAGATTTTGGAAAATGCGGAACGATAATCAATAATCGAAGAAAGCCATTTGAATGTTCATGGTATTGGCAGTCTAATGGCGTTTACGGCATGTCTGTATGTCTATTCTGTGATTTTATATGATTTTTTGAACATATGCCGTTTTTGGTCGAAAACTCAGAAATCATGACGTCACTAAAACCTCGATATCTCAAAAAATTTCGGACCGATTTTTTTGAAACTTTGTCACAATAAACTTCAATCAATTCCCTACAGGTACCCAAAAATTGGCGCGCCGCAGTTTTTATGCTATGGCCCGGCGAAAAAAGTGGGGGCGTTAAACGCCCCCCGCCCAGCAACTCGCGGGTTAATGGAGCCCCGCTGGTGCTTTTATATACACACCACACTCGTATACATCCACCTCGACCCAGTTATCACCACCCGGCCTTAGCTGCTCCCTATAACACCCCTCCCAACTGAGCTAGTTTCGACTAGATACCGGGCTCAATCATCAGTCATATGACAACTCGCGCAGTGCCGACGGCTTACGCTTCCCCCCCGAGCCGATCGGCTACCCCTCTGGAACCAGAAGGAACAAACATCTGCTCCCCTGCCCCCTCTCCAGACCGGTGCGTCGCGCCGCCACTCACCCATGATGGTGCACATACGAGCCCAGGCGGAGACCAGGTAGGGCACCTGGGGGTCGTCGGTGGCGAACTCCTCTCCACTGGTCTGCGCCTTGAGCAGCAGGTCCATCACACTGGCCGCGTCCGGAAGGAACTGGCGGCAACGCAGAGCAAACGTCAGCGTACTGGTCACAGAACGATACAAAACACACACACATCATCGGCTACAAACTGCCGGCTGCATACGGCGGGCAGATCCAGCCACAAACCATTTACATCCCACTAAAAATGATATTGTTAGTTCAGCTGCCGGTCACTCAGTGGTCCGCATAACTATAACGCCCGAACAAACCGACAGTTCCTCCGCACTCGACTCCGTGCTCACACGCAGCCCCTAGCGCCCCCATCGTTCCGTACCTTTTCTTTTCCGACGGCCAGGCCGATGAGACTGACGCACTCGATAGCCTTCCCCCGCAGCAGGCGCAGCTCCTGAGTGGTGGCGTTCTCAATGATGTACTTCAGACAGGGCATAAACCTGACGGGCGGGAGCACGGCGGTTAGTGAGTGGGAGTGACGGCGGGGCGTTAGAGGAGAGGTAAATCAACAGCCAGCCTTACAGATAAGTAGAATAAGTAAAGTGAACAGCGATCAGCGATCGGAAGGACGTAGCTGCTGGTAGAATAATAAAAAAACGAGGGATATTAGACCGTTCTTAAATTCTGAACGTGATCGACGTTCTCGACAAATTAATGCACCTATCATATAGCACACACAAATTACTCATGAGGCCGACCACGGGAGCCCGTTACCCGAAATGCACCCTCTGACCCGCCGGCCCCACCCCTGACCGGTCGTCCCATGACCCACCTGTTGTAGTAGACGAGGAACTTTTCCTCGGCGGTGCCGGCCACCGAGGCGATGGTAGTGATGACGTTCTCCAGCACCATCTTGGTGCCCTTCTCCACCAGCTGGGGGACGAGGGGGGGGGGGAGTCAGCACCACAACAGGACAACGCCGGCAACAACGTGGCGTTAATTCCCATAAATGTAACTTAACACCTAAGTAACTGGCTGATTTAGCAATTACACCATGTACGTAATGTTCAATATCGATATCCTATTGTTACATTCTTAGAAAGTACTTCCTCACTTTATGCTGGCGAACACTGCATGCTGAGAAACGGCAAAAAAAAGACGATTCCTTCAGAATTCAGGAAGCAATAGGGGAGAGTGGGGTAAGATGCCCAGGGTGGGAAAGACGCCCCACCCCCTCTAGCGGCGAAACAAAGAATCGAACCTGGAAATTAAGGTTCTTAGCGTAAAGGGGAAGCCTGCCTTGTTAACTGCACAAAAATTTGCGAAGCTCAGTTGGGCAACGGCTGGCTGATGATTGCATGTTTTTTATTTGCTACTTTCAAAAAATATGTTGGTGTCAAAACATTGTAAATATCAAAGAAGGTAGATCATTTTTGAGTCCCTTGCTATAGTCGTGATACATTAACATGCGTGTACTGTGTCCCGAACAGTTTGTTTCAGGGTGTAGTTTTATGGCCAACAAATTGTACTGATTTAATGTTGCTTCGGTACCTTGGGGTAAGATGCCCCCTGTCCTGATGGGGAAAGACGCCCCCCTAAATCCGTAGGCTGTCCTTCAAGCAGCCCGTCAAATCATTTATTACATACTTGTGATGAGAGACAAAAGCCGATCTGGGACTATTGAGAGCCCAGTACGGTCGGGTGCTCCCCATGCCGGTCTCTCGGCACACACAGCGACCTTTTGGGCGGCATCTGACTCTGAGAGCCCTCACGACGGCCTCTGTGGGCCCCATTATTGGCTCCAGGGCCCCTCACAACATCCTTTGAGGGCTCTCACGTTGGCTCCATGGGCCGCGCTGGCATCTGAGGTCCCCACGATGGGCTCGAGGGCCCTCAAGCATCATGAAGACCTATAAGGACCCCACAGTGGTCTCCGAACGCCACCACGGAGGCTTGTTTGGCCGCGCTGGACTATGATGGTCTTAACGATGACCTCTGAAGCCCCTTACAACTACTTTTGAGGGCCCTTACGATGACGTTTGGTGTCTACTGCAGTCTCGAAGGGACTACTGATTCGTTCAGGCGATTCACGTGCCCATTTATGCCACTTATAGTGCAGGGGGCATCTTCCCCAACGCCAGGGGGCGTCTTTCCCACCCTGTGGGGTAAGATGCCCCCTTTCACTTCTTCAGGAAAATGCTTAATAGCAAAAAAAGTTATCATATTTCAGGCACGAAAGTGTCATATTTTTAGAGAAAAATGATGTCGGCTTCCGTTGAAACTCCAACTTTTTGCTTTCCGATCGTTATTTTCGAATAATATAAGACATAGTAAAACCCTGGGCGTCTTTCCCCACTCTCCCCTACATGGCACATAGCTCACAAAGGAAAAACACAAAGCCTCACCTCCTTCAGTTTCGCTTGCATAATTCGTTCAAGAATGGGGAAAATAGCATCTAAGTAGGTAATGAGGATGGCCTTTGGACACTTGCCACTGAAGTTGATGAGCGCCAGTGCTGCAACAGACAAAAAAAAATCATGAAAAGCTACACTTAACAGTTGAACGATGACTTAAGTGTGAAAGAACTCCGTAGAGCCATGCCACACTCTGTAATTACCATAACAATAATTACCATAATAGTAGCTACCTCATAGACCCATTACACACTGGCGGCGATGATATTGTGCATTGTGGGGACTCGGGGACCCGACAGGAGCCAGCTGCCGCTCTCCTCCCAGCCAGGTGGACGCACGTGTCGTGTCACCGTCTGTCCTGGCGCTGTCCCCACTGCACGACCGGGCGGTGTTTATATAAACACGCCGCCGCATTCGCCATAAATTACGGCAGAAGATTGACGGCGACCTCACGCAGCTTTTCAGGGAACCGGCACTGGGTGCACTGGACCGAACTAACTATAGAACAAGAAGTCTGACGCATCTCGGCTTACCGAATTAATAACAAAAGTTTTGGGTAATCTGTACTAAACGGACTCTAAAATGCTACCGACAGCGTCCCAGTTCTTCTCCATTCCAGCTTTATATCTCAGCATCAGACTCAATATCCACACACTTGACTCTGCGGTTCTGGGACACCAGGCGACTCACCGGCCTGGGCCTGGACGCGCGGGTTACTCGAGTCCTCGAGGGCGCAGAGCAGTCCCGGCACCACCTGGGCGTGGAATTTGCGCTGGAACGCCGGGCCGAAGTCTTCTGACATCTGGCCTAGGCAGGTGCAGGCCGCGTGCCGTACGCGGGGGTGCTGAAACAGGCGGAGCAGAGGGAGTCAGGGGTAAGAGAGAGTGCGAGGGTGCTGACACCGACAGACGGGAAGTCGGAGAATGGGTGGGGGTGAAGAGAACGAGCTGGTAGGTGGAGTGTCCAGCATCGGCCGAGTAAATCTCTGTCGTCAATCGTGTCAGTCTGTTTATGCTTTGTTTGACCTTTCAATTTTCCATTTATGTTTCCGGGATTGCTTGTATGTGCCTAGATCGGACTATTTGAAACTATGTAATGCATGACATGTATAACAGCTATTTAAGGGTGTTTTGACAAATAAACCCGACATCCAACCGTGCCACAATATTCAATGACCTTCGCTCACCGACTACTCAAAGGATATGAAACCCACTGTTCTATCAGTGGTCTCTGCACGCCGTCGACAGCACAGCGGGCAGCTACTAGCGATCGCGCTGCCCAGACTGCCGGCTCTGTTCTCCCCCTTTCAGCCCCTCTACTGACCACGTCCTTGAGGAAGTTGACCACGCCAGAAATGATGGGAGGCAGCAGAGGCTCCATCTGCTTCCGACAGCCCTCGCCGATGGTGGAGACGGCCGACAGCGCCGCGTGCCTGGCGACACGGCGGGGAGGCGAGTTACCAGAGGGAAACAGTGCACGACAGAGCCGCGTGTCTGACGAGACATGGGGGGGGGGGGAGGACGCAAGTTAACACAGAGGGGAGCAGTGACCACACGGCAGACAGAGCCGCGTGCCTGACGAACAGCGGGAGACGCGTCCTCTGAGAGACGTCAACGAGAGTGGGCACTGGGCAGTATGCCCCAACAGCATAATAAGGAAAAGGGGAAACGACGCTCACGACGTAACCAACAGAAAAAGTGCAGATTTCGCATAAAGAGGAGCGGCAACACTGGCGTAAATCGAGAGGCAGCAGATCCGAATCCAGCTTTTAAGTTGGTCCACCTTCACTTGTCGACAGTCAGCCAATACAAAAACACTGATAGACCGTTTAGTGCAGGGTATCACGCTCATTATCTGAGCATCCCCCCCCCCCCCACACACACCGGTTCATTCCCATTTCTGCTCGTTCACCCAGACACATACGTGCACGGGCAGCGGTCCACCCACCTGTGTTTCCAGTCGGCAGAGACGAGTAGCTGCTGGACGTTGCTCAGGATCAGGTTTGTCATCACCTTGCCGCCCAGGCCGAACGCCAGCCGGTCCAGATCCGACTCGGCCACGATATAGTTACTGAAACAAAGTCAGAGATGGGATGTCATGATTCGCTCACGGTGCACGGGTATGTTCGACGGTTGGCATATTGCTGGCGAACGATGTATATTGTATAATGTATATGGCTTACCTCAAATCGTTTATTGAAGGCACGAAATGGCATTAGACAACGAGAATGGGAGACGTTTCGCCTCACTGAAAATTCCACTGACGCATACAAGGCCCTATATACCGGGAGTTTGCGGGGCGCATATACGTCCCGCAAACTCACACAGCTCCTCTAAATCTCGTGCGCTCTACGGAAACCGTAGCAGCGTTCCGGAATGCTGCTAGTGGATAATACGCCAATGACTTATGACTCCTGGGTACACATATCTAGTTACACTAACAGATTGCATAACGGCATCATTGGTTGAAAACCAGACTCGATATATATATATAAGAGACCCATTAAGACATCACTCCATTTGCTGAGTTGTCTCTGTCGTTTTTATATTGTTGTCCTGTTGTTTCTATGGTTCGACTTTTTATTGGGGTATTGACTAATCGCAGATAAGACTCCTATTTTCAGATTAGTATCTCACACAAATAATTGAGTAAATAAGCCTTGAAAAGATGATCGGCAGAGCAGCCCCAGTCTCACGCCCGTATTGTGTGGCGCCATCCATGAGAAGTCATGGGCAGCGTTGATCCTGGCAGCCGTCCCAGCACAACTCGCTGGGAATGTTATCACTCAGCTATCACAGGCGGGGCGGCCACCTGTGCCCAGCCGGGGCGGGGGCGGGGGCGGGGGCGGGGGCGGGGGCGGCGGACCGTATCGCCGACCCCGTCCCCCGCTATCGCCGCTATCGTCACCCGGTATCAGGTCCCGGGCGCGGCGGGGGCGATTCTACAGGGACATAAGTGGTCGGCAGGCGCACATTTTCTAACATTTCCGGTTGAGATAGGCATCATACGCAGCCAACAAACGTCAGGGATGATTACTCCGCCATTGGTGACAGGTCAGCCATCCAGTTCCAGTAAGCACATCCACTCCGCTCCTATCCCCACCACCCAGTACCATACCAGCCGGCCGCCAGTCCCCGCAGCACCAGCCACGCTCTCGCCTCTCAGTTGCCCGGCAATATCAGTCACCCCCGCAGATTTGTCCCGCCATGTGTATCTCCCACCCTCCCACTGCCACGATTAGTGATCTATCTCCAACCCGGAGCGGTGATCAGTTCCGGAGATTTCCGCCACTCCCCGAACCCTTCTGGCGATCAGTGACATCAAGGTGACGTAGCCGTGACGTCACATGGATGCCCCGGGCACCGCGAAAAGCTCGCAGTGCCAATGATTCTCGGCGACACCGACTGTCCCGGGTGTAATAGATCACCGACAGAGTGACAGAGTCCACTTCTCGGTAGCGGGCGGGTCAGAAACCACTCAATATGCACCCCCGTCGCAATCACCGCTGTCGTGCCTATGATGTCATCCGATCCAGACGCCCCTGATGTCGAGTGGCACCCTGAGAATGCAACACTCCGCGGGTCACATACAGCCAGCGGCGGCGCCAGGGTTAGGCCACGGTGTACAGATGACGAGTTTGTTTGTCTTGCGAGTCCATAATTACGCATCCGTCCAACGTTCCCAGTCGTCACGGCGCCGTATCGAAGAGAACACGTCACCGCCCTGCTCGCCCCGGTCCGGCCCATGTAGCCGGCCCAGCAGAGCATGCAGAGCAGGCCCAACATGGTCACCGATCAGCCATGAATAAGCCATGCGTCTAGGGAGCGCAGCGGCACGGACGGTTTGCGAACTGAAGGGCAACGGGAGAGAATGACAGCGTGCGGGTTACCGACACAGTACGACAGCCACCAGAAAATGACACATGACAGAGGGCAAGTAAACGGCACAGACAGCCATCGGTGGCTTTGTCAAATGGACGAACTGAGCGCACACTCACAGGGTGGAGTATTGAGCGAAATATCAACATTAGGCGGAGCCAGGTGAGGGTCGCAGAAGCGCCGTCAGACCAGGGAATGTGTAGAGAGATGATCGTGGCAGGAAAACACGCCATTACCCGCCGATACGACACAAATCGGCGAAATGGTACCTTCGTCAAACACGGTCGTTCGTAGTTCATACGAGAGGACTTGAATAAGTTTTGGACAGTAGCTCATCGAACTATGGTATTGGTGACTTATCTACTTCAGCATTCTGATAAGGAACATGAACAATGGACAATGAGCCACTGGCTGTTGAGTGTTGAGCCCAATTAGCGGTGGTAATCATCACCACCGCTTGAGCTCAACATGTGGTGTGTGGTGATTTGGTGTGTTTGCAGAGGTCTGCTGATTCGATATGATGCGCCGGGAGTCTATCACTGAATACGCGTCCGAGATTAATAATTGCACCCATACAGCAGCAGTCCTTACTGTTTACCATGGGGGTCTGATCGGTCGGCTGTTTGGGCATGGGTTATCTTGGCTGCTCCAGCTGATCATCAAAAGATCGTGCTTACTTGGAAAAAACGCACGATGTTGAAAATAACGCAATAACTTGCGTTGAGATCCCCTCGATTCGTGAAACCTTCCGCCGGTCAATCTGTTTTAGATTCACCGCCACGGTACCGGTCTTGACCTGCTGCTTTTCGAGCGGGACAAACCTGTCCTGTCGCCGTCACTTCCGTCTCCCTCCTGACCCGTCACCGTCTCTCGTCTATCACGTGACTATCCGTCTCCCCTCCCGTCACTGTTTCTCCTGTCACGTGACTCTCCCGTCACCGTCTCTCGTCTATCACGTGACTATCCGTCAGCTCCCCTCCCGTCACTGTTTCTCCTGTCACGCGACTCTCCCGCCACCGTCTATCGCCTGTCACGCGACTCTCCCGTCACTGTCTCTCTCCTATCACGTGACTCACCTGTCGCTGTATATCTCCTGTCACGCGACTCTCCCGCCACCGTCTATCGCCTGTCACGCGACTCTCCCGCCACCGTCTATCGCCTGTCACGTGACTCACCTGTCACCGTCTCTCTCCTATCACGTGACTCACCTGTCACCGCCTCCCTCCTGTCACGTGACTCTCCCGTCACTGTCTATCGCCTACCACGTGACTGACCTATCTCTCGCTCGCCTATCACGTGACTCACCTGTCACCGTCTCTCTCCTGCCACGTGACTCACCTGTCACCGTCTCTCTCCTGCCACGTGACTCTCCCGTCACTATCCCTCCCCTATCACGTGACTCACCTGTCACCGTCTATCGCCTACCACGTGACTCACCTGTCACCGTCTCTCTCCTATCACGTGACTCACCTGTCGCTGTCATCGTCGGCGCTGTCGTCGTTGGTGGCCCAATCGTCGTCTTCCTCGATCTCTGACATCATCTTCAGCATCTCGGGCACCAACAGCTGCGGCGGAATGAAGGACCTTCAAGACGCGACTCACGGCCCACAGTCAACCACCCCTGACACTAGTGGATTAATAAAGGGACTACATAGCATCTGACGACGACGTTACACAGCTGGATACCAATGCCAAAGTCCTGGTCTGTCCGTGCCGGGTAGTCCGTTGAGCCAGGTCTACGTGTTAGCCCGTCCACACGTATGTACCTATGCCAGGCAGGCAAGATGGGGCAGTACGCAGCACATTGTATCGAGTGACATTCTACACATATTGACTGCAATGGCCTGAGATCGTGAAAACAAACGTGAAACGAGCTCTCACGTGGGGTTCAGGGTTTCCGCCCGCTGCTATATAAAGCGCAGACGCAGGTACGTTATAGGGGAGGGAAGTGATTTGGTCCACCAATAGTGTACACGGATCTGTAGCGCAGCAAATATACATACATACTCAAGAAGGCGATACTAGGATGATACAGCTAAACAAACACTACATGACATTTTTGTCTAGCGGCTCGCTGGTCGCTGATGTTGCAAGGTTGATTTGCAAATCATTAATAAACAAAAACGACGAAGAACGGGACATGAGTGATGCACCATTCTGCACACAATATGCTTATCAGCGACACGTCAAGCCGACAGAAAAACGAAACCAAACAAATGACGCTTATAATAGCTACCAAAGGCAGCTATTAATGCGACAAGGAACGACAAAGCTCGCGTAACATTAGAATTGCAGACACAAATACAACTACTCTAAACTGATATTTCACCACTGCGTATCATTCACATCTCGTTACGTATCAGGTGTCTTGTCTAAGAACGGGAGGTTTCAGTCACAGGGAAAGTCACGGCAGTCTCTCCCACCGGGAGCTCACGGTCACAGCAGACAGCAGTCTCCGACAGGGAGGTCACAGTCACGGGAGTCACAGGAGACTCTCTCACCGGGAGGTCACAGGGGACGGCAAGGCAGTCTCTCTGACCGGGAGGTTTCAGTCACAGGGAGAGTCACGACAGCCTCTCTCACCGGGAGGTATCCGGCGCAGTGTTTGCGGAACATGGCGGACGCCTCCTCGGCCAGTGTGACGATGATCTCCATTCCGAGCTGGCGCCAGTCATCCTCCTGGTTCGGGTCGCTCATCAGCTGTCGGCAGGACACCGAGAGGTCAGAGCAACAGAACAGCAGGTCAGGCAGCCCATACGGGCACGTCAGACCTTGATACGGAAAGTATTCTCCGTAAAAAAAAAAACTAGGGGAAGGAGTTGGTTCGCGGTTTATCTGCACTGCGGGTGGATAGCTGACGATAACAAACGGAACGATTGGCGCATTTAGCAGGTTTCTGTTGCAGTTCGAACAACGACTCCTAGCGTATCGATGCACAATTTGCCATTATCCCGTATTCATGAGAACGAGGAGAGGTCTCCAGGAATCACAATCAGTGTAGCTTTGATTATTTCACCAAACACAGCCATCTCGTGTTTGAACGCCACATCACCGTGTCATCCACGATAAAAAGACTGATAGCACGCCAACGGGGGTGGAGCGCAGCCCCTTCAAACAGTGCCGCGGCGACCGACGGGAAAACACCGGGGAGACACGGGTCGGCGGACGGCCAGCCGGTGTGACACACCGCATTCTGACCCGTCACCAGTCTCAATCGGCGCGCTGGGAACCCCGGGGACGCCAGTCGGATCGTCTGACATCTCCAAACACCCATGGGACAGCAAGCTCAGGAGTCATGACACACGGGCCCTATCACGGACTCCCGCAGTGGCAGCGAGGGCTATGAACGACGCAGACACATCAGGTAACTTTACAACGCAGCGAAAAAGTCGCGGTACCCATAAGACATGTGAAAAAATTAGGCTACCTGCAACGATATATTAAGTATGGATCAAGCACTTTTTTACAGCAACCAGTGTATATACAAGTGTATAACAACAACCAGTGTATATACAAGCACCCTGGGTAGTAGACTGCTATAACTGTAGGACACAAATGATACGAGAAGCATCTACTGGCCACACCGTCTATCCAGTGTCCATACAGCCGAAAACAGCGAATACTTTATCGCAAGTGAAATAGCAGGTCCTTACAAGGCGTTCAGATGAGATAGGTCCGGAAAGTTGAACTTCCAGCATGATGCAAAATAGGCGCCCGAGTGGATGTCACGTAAACATTTCCTCATTAGGAATGCATCAACAACGTCCGCTGACCGCTTACCAATACTGCTTACATTACCAGAAGCGGGACGCGGCACATACATCCGCGCGAAGTACGAGCTGGAGACGGCCGGCCATGACCGACCAAAGCCGATCACCCACTGGTCCTACTCGTATTTGGGTCATCGTTAAGATCGAGTCCGTTCCTACTTACAATGATGATGATAATGCACCACTATGTCGAATTCGCAGAACAAATGGCGTTACTAATGGAAAACAATGAAAAATATATATTCCGAGCTAAGCCAACCTGTTCCAACCCCACTCAACCTGTACTGCTAGTGGTAGCATAGGTCGTTGAAGAAAGCGGTGAACTACCACCTTCTCCACTAATACCTAGCCACCCCACCCACCCCGCACCCTATCCTGTCCCACCAGTCACCGAGATACCGCCCGGCAGTGAGACAGGAACTGCTATCCCCGGTCCCGGCCGCGAACTGACCTTCATACACAGCTGCATGATGGCGTCCAGCTGCGGCCGAAGCAGCTTGGGCGCCATCTCGGCGAGTGTGATGGTGGTCTGTAGCAGCACATTGTCCTCACCCTTGGCGATACTCTCCTGAAGAACCTGTGCACGGGCAGCGGCCGCGGTCACTGGTCAGTCACGTGGCTGGGCAACGGTCAGTCTATCAGTCAGTCAGTCACAATCGGTGGTGAAAGTTAAATCATATGGGTGATCAACGGGTAGTCACGTGGATGGGCAAACGGTCAGTCACAATCGGGAACAGTCACAGTCAGACACCAGTCACTGATATGGTGGTTGCTTGGCCAGTCACTTGATAGGTGGGTCAATCGTGAGTCATAGAGCATTATCAGGTCATATTCACGGTCAAAGCAAAACTAATGCGGCTCATCACGCCGTAATATGTTAGTCGCTGAACGGCGTGGAGATATTGATGGCAGTTAAGATAAGTTGGCGAGCCAACAAGCAGAAACAGAAACACAGAAATGCAGACAGACAGACAGACAAAGATCCGCAGTAAGACACACATGCCCGGTAACTCGCCCCGAGTCGGCCGGTGCTTTGCGGGCAGCCATTCCGGTGTCAGTAGCGTTCGACGTGTTACGACTGACCCATCATCGGCAGTTAGCACGTCGGCTCCCGCAGACTGTTTGCCGTAAGGGCGCCGGCCCCGTTCCCATGGGCGGTGACCGAGACTTTCACACGGGAATCAGACGGGTCTGGTGCGGTCACAGATGAACCACGCGCCGTCCGAACGATCCAAGCGATCCGGCGGCTGTTGTGTGCGCACTGGTACTAGTTATGTAGTTCCGTACACGATAAGGCACAAACCCCTAGAGTTTCCTTTTACCACAGACACCGATCCCTCTCTCCCTATCCAAAAGACAAGACCTCTCTCCACTCTGCCGACATCTCTCTCCCCCTCCCCCCTCTCTCTCTCTCGCTCTCTATTTCCTCCCTCACGGACACCAACCCCCTCTGCCCGTGACACAGACCCCCTCTGCCCGTGACACAGACCTGGACCATGGGCGGCAGCAGCTCCGAGAAGGTGCGCTGGATGTCTTTGTAGTTCTCCTTCACATCTGGCTTATCGGTCGACAGCTCAGCATTATCCACGATGAACTGGGCGGTGGCCTTGTACGCCAAGAAGCGGCACTGGAGTCGGTGCGAGACGGGGGCAGCGGTCAGCGGTAGGAGGTCAGGGGGTGTGAGAAAACTACCAACGTGCCATCGGTTCACTGAGAGGGCTCGCTATCTCAGACTTGTTAGGACGATCAACGCAAGTAACAAATGTTTGTGATGTATAGTCTCTCTTGAAAGTATCGCGACTCTGAGGGAAGGCGCCACCTGTCCCAGCCGCGGTTGAGCGGAAAGGTTTGAGAGCCGCTGGTAGCACTGACCGAAGTCTGACACGCGGAGGCAGCCGGCGTGGCGGGGCGAGGGGAGTGGTTGCGGATTGCGGAGGGATAGGGGGAGGTGGCAGTCGCCATCCGGTAACTTGTGATGGCAGCTAAGCATGTGGTCAACGGAAGCCACCCTGCTCGCAGAGTATTTGTTGAGATTTGTTTCATTGCAAAGTTAGCAATTTGGCTCGTCATCGGCACGACTGTCACATTTTTTTTTTGGGGGGGGGGGGAAATCCGGAAACTCGTGCCCATATACCCAAAAAATCATCAGTTGCACCCGCTAACAGAATGCATCCGTGCTTGCACATGCACTCGTAAGCGGATTCAAAAACAAGAATTATCTTTCTAGCCAGTTCGCCAATTCGCTGTCTAGCCATATAGTCCTGCATTTGAAGTTCTCTCTTTTTAATGAGCCGGTTAGTGAACGGCGACAAAAAAGAAAAGAAACGCTGTTCAGCCATGTTCTTTTTTAAAAACTCATTTGATGCCAGGCTCCCCCCCCCCCCGCATGACCTGTTTACGTCATTCAGAAGGCCTCATCACAGCAAGGGTTATGACGGAACTTCGCTTCGTTGTGATTTTACGCGTCACGCACACTGAGTGATTGGCGCCCAGTAAGGCACACCCTTGGGCACACCAATGATTTGTTGTTTGTTAATTGGGGCTTTAGGGCGCGCCGACTACTTAGGTCATTTTGCGCCCATAACGTCGTTTTAATAAAACAAGTGTGTCAAAAGAGAGAACCTTCTAGATACGAAGACTAAAAAGTAAAAGACTCGATATAAAACAGCAAGGTAAGATAAAGCAGCGCAAGAGTGTCGTCCTAGACAACTGACTAGATGTAAGGACTAGAGAGGACTAGTTGGATTTAATGTCAGGTCGAGTAAATCACTTGGAAGTTGATCGAACGGATAAAGGAGAAAATGTTGCCGGATAAAACCCAGGGTGAGCCGTCACCCAGAAGGTGGCGGAAAGTGGTATCCGGAGCGATGCGCCCGAGATAGCGTGTCCGGTTCGGTTCAGCGAGAGGACAAGATAAAAGCACGTGAGAGACAGTGAGAGGCACGGCACACCGACTGCATGTGGGTTGTTCCTCTCCACGGAGGAGATAGCCATGAGTCGCGTACGTATGACCAATACGTAATCTGCAGAGGGCCACTTCCTGGTGCCTGTTGCTTTGGAAGCAAGACTGCCAGGGCTCCAAGGTAGGCTTTACGCTCCGCAGCTTCCCAGATCCTTGGAGATGCCACTCTGCCTGCCAGCTTGACATCGTGAAGGTTTGGATGGCTGGGTAAAAATCACGAGCCGGCAGGGGCAAACGCCGAAGGCATGGAGCCGCGGCCGCGCGTCTCGCGGCCGCGTCGGCGAGCTCATTGCCAGTTATACCCACATGGCTTGGAATCCAGCAAAACTTAATAGTTTTGCCTGACTGCTCCACCGACGTGAGCCGAGATAAAATGTCTTGGACTATCGGATTGTCTGGGTTAAACCTCCGTATAGCCAGCAGGCTGCTGAGAGAATCCGATAAAATGAGGTAAGACAAGTTGTCAGACACCTCGATAAAACACAACGCCTTCTCGATTGCAACGAGCTCGGATGAGAAAACGGAGGCAGAGGAAGGCAATGAAAAAGTGCGCGTGTCGCGACCAGCCACGAAAGCGCAGCCGACGCCGTCCTCCGTTTTCGAGCCGTCTGTAAACACCGAGATAAAACCGTCGTATGACGCAATGTGTTCCAATGTCCGTGCTCGTTGCACACATGGCGGCAGGTCGTCCTTCTTGACCTCAGAGAGCGTGAGGTCTACTTGCGCTGGAGCGTATTTCCATGGCGGAGAGGGCGTACCCCACGTACGTCGCACTTCACGGAACTCTATGTTGACTGTAGAAAAGAGCTCTTTTATGCGCAATCCGAAGGAGACCGATTGTCGCACTCTGTCAAGACGATTAAAATCAGGAGAAAAGACGTACGGATACGTCGGATGTCCTGGGAACTGGCGGAGTTTCAGTGCATACCTCATCCCCAGCATCTGACGGCGGAGAGATAGTGGCGGTTCGTGTGCCTCGGCGAGGAGGCTGCTCTTGGGCGACGTGCGGAATGCACCTGTGGCAACACGTAGCGCCGCGTGGTGCACGGAGTCAAGAGCCTTTTTACTGGATTCGCTGGCAGAGTCGTAAACAAAGCATGCGTAATCCAGTTTCGATCGGACGATCGACCGATATAAAAGAAGGAGCGTCCTGCGGTCCGCGCCATAAGATGTGCGGGCGACACATTTTAAAACGTTCAGGGATTTAAAACATCGTTCCCGAAGCGTTCTAAAATGTTCTCTATACGTCAAACGACTGTCAAAAAATATCCCAAGAAACTTCGCCACCGGCCGAGTAGGAATCACCTGTCCACGGAGCTTGATTCCCAAGGCTAAGTCGTCGCAGCGGCGGCGGCAAAAGTGCATAGCGACGGTCTTCGTTGTTGAAAAACGAAGGCCGTTGTCGTCGCTCCACCTCTCTAGACGGGTTACAGCGAGCTGCAACTGTCTGGCAACGTGACGGGCGGTCGTGGCAGAAAACCAGATCGCGAAATCATCGACAAATAGCGATCTGCCGATGGATGGTGCAAGTTTGTCGCCAATATCATTGATCGCCACAGCGAACAGCGCCACACTGAGAACTCCGCCTTGGGGAACTCCGTTCTCTTGCGTAAAACTGCTCGAAAGACAACTGCCAACTCGGACTTTGAACCGACGACCCGATAAAAAGTTCTTGATAAAGAGGCCCATCCGGCCGCGTATGCCGTACTTGTGTACTTTGGAAAGTATTCTGTGTCGTAACACTGTATCATAGGCCGCCTCAATATCAAAGAACAATGCTCCAAGGTGCTTCTTTGCAGTAAAACAGGTGCGTATCTCGGTGTCGAGGGCTAAAATGTGGTCAACAGGGCTGCGGTGCTTTCTAAAACCGCACTGGGCGTTTGTAAAAACACCGTGATGTTCCAGAAACCAGCTAAGACGCACATTGACCATCTTCTCCATCAGCTTTGAAAGCGATGATGTGAGAGAGATGGGCCGATAGTGGAGAGGGTCATGTCCCGACTTGCCAGCCTTCAAGATAGGAATGATAGTGGCTTCCCGCCAGGTCTCAGGGAAAGTGCCAGTCTCCCACAGCGAAGTGAAAGTTGCTAGCAGCGCCTCGAGGGCAACTGCCGGGAGATGACGGAGCATGTCGTTGTGGACAGCATCCGGACCTTCTGAGACGCTGCGCAACGAGCTGATGGCAGACGTGAGCTCAGCCATAGAGAAAGGCTCGTTGTACACCAAATTTTCAGCTGTGCTGAAGTCCACGGCGGCTGGTGCAGGTCGTGAGGACGGCTCTCCTCGGCAGCGCTGATAGAGTGCACGGCCTATCGTCTCTGCGACGTCTAAAGGATGGGATATGTCCGTGTTGTTCACTCTTAAAACCGAAAGCGGAACAGAGCTGAACCGGCCTTCAATGCGCTTCATGCGTGCCCATATCTGGGTCGTAGGAGTAAAACGGTTTAAGGAATTCACGTACGTGCGCCATGAAACAGCCTTTGCCTCTTTTAAAACGCGACGGGCAAAAGCCCGCGCTTTCTTAAAAGCGATGAGGTTCTCAGTAGTACTACTCCGGTCAAACTTTCTAAAAGCGCGCTTCCTGGCACGAATCGCATCTCCGCATTCCTTGGTCCAACACGGGACCGGAGGACGACGAGGCTGACTCGACGTCTTGGGTATGCATCCGTTTGCGGAGTCAATGAGTAAAGATGTAAAATCATCTGTAGACATCACAGAGGCGTCGGCTCTGGATAAAACCGTGGCCTCTACGGCGGCCTGGAATTCGCCCCAGTCGGCCTTCCGAACATTCCACCTAGGTGGACGGTTGCCTGACACTGGGGACTCCTGGAGCTCCAGCCACACTGGGAAGTGGTCGCTCCCGAGTGGGTCGTCATGGACGGACCAGGTAAAAAGCTGAGCTAGCCGCGGACTAGCTAAGCTCAGGTCCAGAGCCGATGTTTGACCGGAGGGCGTGGTAAAATGGGTGCGCTTTCCTGTATTTAAAATACAGAGCGCCTCATCGCGGATAAAAGATTCTAAAATTCGACCACGAGTGCCAGTCGTGTCGCATCCCCACACCAAGCTATGCGCGTTAAAATCGCCGACTACCAGGACCGGAGGTGGAAGCTCATCGACAAGTCGATGCAGCTCAACCACCGGGAGCGCTATACCTGGTGGAAGGTATAAAGAACAAACTGTCAGCTCCCGGTGGTTGAAATCAACTCTAGCGGCTACCGCCTGCAGAGGAGTCTGCAGCGGAACCTGACGTGCGGGCACACTGTGGTGCACTGCCAAAAGTACACCTCCATGGGCAATGGTCGGGGTGTCTAAGTCTCTTCTAAAAACAGAGTAACCCTTGATGGCAAGGGTAACGTTTGGCGCTAGCTTGGTCTCCTGGAGACCTAAAACAAGGGGTGGGCGCCAACGGATAAGAGACTGTAGGTCCTGGTAGTTGGCCCGGAGGCCTCTACAGTTCCACTGTAGAATAAAAGGCGTGGTTAAAAAGGCGCAAAAAGGGCGCGTATAACATGAGGCAAAGGCGCACACAGATACCTGACTGACCACAAAAAAGGTAAAAAGCACCGAGAGAAATGCACCTGGTAAAAAAGCGCAATAGCGCGAAAAAGATAAAAGGATAAAAGAGGAAATGACTAGACTGAAAGACTAGACTAGGTCCTCTAACTCCGAGGAGGCGCTCCCCCCGTACCGGATACGGGGGTGCCCTGAGCCCTCTCGGTGAAGCCTCCCTTCAGCAGAGGCAGATCGGGCATGGCTCGGGCCCGGCTGGGGCCTTTTCGACCGGGGGGCGTCGCCCTCCGAAGGTGACCAGCTCGGGGGCGTCTGCCGCTTGGCGAGGCGCCCTGGAGCCGCGGAGGGCTGTTGCCGCCCCGACGGGGATGTCGAGGCGGCGGCCTGTGTCCTCGACACAGGCGTCTCTGGCAGCGGCGGTGGTGGCCGCCGCTGCGGAGGTGGAGGAGGCGGCGGGGGACCCATGATGGGCCGAGTCCCCGCCTGAGGTGTCTCCGGGGTGTCAGCAGCAACAGCCGCATTGGCACTCCCGGAGGCGGAGTCGGCAGACGAGGCTTCCTTAGCCTCGAGGGCCTTCTGGACGAGGCGAGCCCTCCTCGCCTCTCGTGCCTTCCTCTCCTCCTCCCCCCGCCGCAGCGCCTCCTGCACCGCCGTAGACGGTCGGGGGCGGGGCGGGGTGGGTGGCGCCTTACCCTGCGCCGGGGGGCGCCGACCACCCTGTCGGCGCTGGACGACGGTCCACTCGTCTCCACTCGCGGCTGGAGCCGGACTGGGTGGACCCCACACTGACTCCTGAGCAGCCTGCTCCGTGTCGCTCGGCGGCGCACGAGGCGCCGGGGGGTCCGCTGAGCCATCAGTGGCTACGACAGTGAGGCCGAATCGCTTGAGGAGCTGCACGAGCTGTGCAACACTCATCTGGGAGGCATCGGTTGAGTTTGTCACTCTCACCTTTTGGGCATACGAGGTCTTCGGGTGAGTTTGGTTATACACCTCCCGGGCCTCTTTAAACGACAGATTTCTGGTAGCCTTGATGGTGTTTATCTCCTTCTCTTTGACGTATGTAGGGCAGGACCTGTCATACGCGGAGTGCGGTGTCTGCCCCTCTCCGCAGTTGACGCATCGAGGGGTCTCCGAGTTGCACGTATCGTCAGTGTGGTCCTGAGAAGCGCACTTGGAGCATGTGGGTCTACCCCGGCAGTTGTCCTTCGTGTGGCCGAACCTCTGGCACCGATAGCAGCGCATGGGCGCCGGGACGTATGGGCGCACGCGGACCTTGATGTACCCCACACGGACCTCGTTCGGCATGTCGGTGGTGTCAAATGTGAGAATGATGTTATTTGTCGGGACCGTGCCTCTTCGCGTGAGGATGCGGCGGGCGGCTGTCACGCCGTACTCTGAGAGCCCGTCCGCAATGTCGTCGTCACTTACGTTCCGCAGGTCAAAACAATTGATGACTCCTCGAGAGGAGTTCTTGGAGCGGTGTGGCTCCACCGTCAGCGACAAAGAGACGAGCTTCCGACCGGAGGCACGTCCTTCGGAGTACACAAATCGAGTAGCTGATAGGGCCTTCGTCGCCTCTTCGCTGTTCCGGAACTCTACTTCAAGCGCACCGTCCCGCATGCGGTCGCAGCGGACGATACTGCCGAACCGGTCACAGCCATCCTTACGCTGGAAGGGCGACAAGGAGCTCAGCTCCCTGTCTGCGCTCCGGAAGATGAGGATCTTTGGATTTTTCGGTCTTGGATCGTTCTGCGTTCGCCCGTCGGCCGAGGCCGGCGGGCGAGAATCGGCCGAAGCCGAGGGATTGGTGAGAGAGGGGGAGGAGGGGTTGGTCAAGGTATCCATGCGAGTCTGTTGGTCTCCGCCAGCTCGGCCGCCGACGCTCCGCAACGGCGCCGCTACAAGGCCTGGGACGGCCGAGCTGACTGTACGGGACTTGGCGGCACCTTCCGAGGGGGAGAGAGAGACTCACCACCCCCCACGGTCGGATACCGCCTCCTCCCTTGACGCCTAGCCGAGTCACCGCCAGGGGCAGCGACAGATCAGTCCCACCGACGGAGGACGAGCACAAGTGCCCGAACCCCGCCGGCGACACCTCTCCGACACCACCCCCGGCGGCATCACGACTGGGAATGGCTCCTCAAGTGCGGCGCCCCACTGAGTGTCCCGCCCTTACAGAACTCAGGGCCAAAGAGGCGTGTTGCCCAGCCACCGCGACTGGCTCCGCACGGTGGGGGGCTCAACCTCCAGGATCCCGTTGTCCTGGGGTACGGGTCGGCTCGCCTAGCCTAGTAAAACCGGCTGGTACCCGAGGGGACGCCACTCCCCTTACACTAGCCCAACTCGGCTGTGTTCCTGCGGGTGCAAAAAAACAACGAAAAAAAAAGGGGAAAGGAATCAGAAAGCTGTGATCGAACGAAACGCGGACATCCGGTGAGAAGCAAAGCAAAAGCAAACAAAGACCGCTCAAGAGAAACAAAACCACGGAAACCAAGAACAGTCGGGCCGTACCATCTGTCCATCCAGTGATCAAAAGCAAATCGTGAGCAAGCATGGGTCAAGCTGGGGCCGAGGGGGCGCTACTCCCCTTGCTGGCCGAGGCCAGGGCCGCCGCGGGGCGAGGGCCCAAGGAGCCCAGTCCAACAGCGACCCAGGCCACTGCCAACCCCCTGCGGGGCCAATCCTGCAGACAATCCATCCAGTAAGCAAGGCAAGTCCAGGTCAAACGCGCGTCAAGCTGGGGCCGAGGGGGCGCTACTCCCCTTACTGGCCGAAGTCACAGCCGCCGCACAGCCGGAGCCAGATGACCCCGGCTAAGCAGCAGCTCCGACCACGGTCAGCCCCCTGCGGGGGGGCACACCAATGAGCGCCCGGGTGGTGAGCCCCCAAGAGGCACCGGTATCCGCCTGGGGCGGGGGACGGGGTCAAGAGAGAGCGATACGAGCATGACCTTTGGCCGGCCTCCGACTGTTTTGACCCAGTTGTCAGCCGCTGGGGCCTGCGTCATATAGCAGGTTTCCTTCTACCGCTGGCGTGAAATCGTGTTACAGCGTACTTTTTAAGATACAGGCCATGGCCTCCCTACTGGGGTCCTCAAACTGAATGGGATAGTTCGCTGAGCCGCCGCAGCCCAGGACGCGATACTTTCAAGAGAGACTATACGCGCCATTGAAAAGGTGTTACTGAGCCAAACAGACGGCTCCAACACCTCCGAACTGTGCCCGAATAAAACAAATTGGAAATCCACTTTTTTCTAGAGCTGCTGTTTTTTTTTTTGCAGCGTTTCTATCCAGGCAAATGATCTCACAGGCACTGGCCGTAATAAAAACCATTGTAAATCATTTGATATAAATTAAAAGCGGAATAAAACAATTAGTTCCCTGATCCATCATAAGTCAACGGTACATCACTACATTTGGAGTGCAAAATCTAACCGGGATACATCGCGCCAACGACTGTATGATGCTACCAATCAATGTGAACCGAAGATGATAGCACACACAGATAATGTACATATCAATGTAATGCGTATAATACTATCTAATGCGGCCTGCATTCCAGCTGATAACCAAATTTCATAGAAGTAAAGATAGTGTACCTACGTCCGACAAAGGACATCGCTTCATGTGGCTGGCATTCCTGACGAAGACCAACACTTGTAGGGCGAGCGACTGAGCCTTGCAGCATGTTAGAACCAACCTTGTAGCTGCTGGCGTCGCTGAGACTCTGCTGCAGCATGTTTTTGATGACCTCCAGGTAGCGCTTCTGCTGGTTACCGAACACACCAGGAACGTAGCTGAAAATCGACCAGACCAGTTGGGCGGGCGCCACGTGTATAAGTCCAAAAAATGAAACTGATCGTGATGAACCATCATGAAAATGACCAGAGACGACCCATTACGTGCGGGATACAAGCAAACGTGTTTGAACTCGGGACCATCGGGATGTGCTATACAATGAACGACCTAACTACCTTAAACAGGAGAGCAACTCACATGTAAATCATGATTCGATCTGAACAGCTCCGGATGCATCAAATTGCATTCATCTGTTGTTTGCTATGCATTTGCACCACTCAGCGATAAGTGTCACCTTATGACGACGAGCCCGATAAATACAACCCACGGCGCGTTCTCCCAGAGCCGCGGGCGGCCACCCCACGCACCTGAAGAGCAGCAGAGCACACTCGCGCTGCTGGGCGTTCTGCGAGCTGGCGCACTCGAACAGGAAGCTCAGGAACTCGGGCCACAGGCTGTTGCCGTCGTCGTCGAACAGGTTTCGCGCCATCTCGGCAGCCACCTCGCACATCTTCTTGCGTATCGACTCGGACTGCTCCTGCAGGATGGCCGACAGCAGCTGCTCCTTCAGCTGGGTCTGCGCCTCCACCGGCAGCTGCGGGCAACAGGGCAGGGTCAGATCGTCCGACACTGCTACGGGCAACAGGGCAGGGGGTCAGCTCGTCCGGCAGCTGCCATGGAGAGCATGCGACCTTTGGCAAATAAAGGAACAATAAATGAACTGCTTAATTGGAACAGCTAAGTACACCTACGTTGGCTAGTATCATATCGTGCAAAATATGCCTTTGAACAGAATCTTCAAGCGAGGAATTCCAATATTGGCCGATACCAAATACCGGAAATCAGACACCTGCCGGCCAAATGTGACTCGCGGACGGCCGAATCCTGAGCTAGAAGTCACTTCTTTCCCTGCTCTAGTCCAGCAGGCATGCAATTACATATCCCAACTGTAAACATCCAGTTCACACCTACATAATACAGAGTAAATATAAATTAAAGCTCTGATGGCAGCTAAATTGACCAGGTCTCCAACACTAATTCCAACCCTTATCATTCCACCTTTACATCTACATCACTGAAGAGCCTTGTTCCATTCTACTGGCTCACGTTTGGGTAGAACTCCTCCCATTTGGCGAAGAGCAGCCGGCGCAGCAGCACGGCCGACATTTCGCGGTACTTCTCGCCGGCCGCGGCGTTCAGCAGACATCCCAGCAGCAGCGATATCTTCTGCGGCAGAGCTATCTGCTCATATGTGCTCTGGGGAAGAATACAAAGCAAGTGTCAGGGCCAAGATATTCTGAGCTTAGCCCGCGAGTTGCTGAGGGAGGGGGAGGGCGTTTAACACCCCCACTTTTTTCAACTTTTGGCTACCTGTGGCGAATCGATTAAAGTATATTAAGCCAAAGTTAAAAAACGAGTTGCCATGACTGCCAGGTTAATCAGCAAAACAGTTTAGATAAAAAGATGAAAAGCAGACAAATGTCACTGATAAAAGGGATGTTTTTAAAAGGAATATACCACTTCAATCAAATAAGTTTTTTGCTACAGTTCTAAGAATTTTATGCTTAAAATTATAAGAAAAGAGAATGATGAATATTTACAAAGAAATTTTTAAAATATTTTCATAGGTATAGGAACAACTATTTTCCATCTTTGGTAGAGGAATAGTGTTTGCAGCAGAAGCTGATTATGTGTGGACAAATCATATTGCCTTGTTCAAACCAAGCACATGCTGATTGGCTGATAATTGGCCTCTGCCACAGGTAGCTGCATTCTTGACATTCTTCCATTAGGGAAAAATGCCTGCATAAAGGAGCAATTTCAGAATGGGAAAGAAAATATCCTTGCCTAGGGCGACCAGGTGATCACTGGGCCATAAAAGCTCATGATTTGTGCTAGTCTCAGTTCAACTTACAAGACTGACATTTCAGTTCAAAACCCCATGTTTAAACTAGATATTTCCTTTAATATCCCTGCAAAGACAACCACATGACACAATTTTAGGAGCTTCCTGCATAAGTTTAACCCTCAATATCTTCTAACAGTCATTTCCTTCATTGACATTAGGTATGAGCTAGGCATCTGAGAAATGATTACCAACTCTGAAAACATCATTATCTTAAAGAGCTTTGGCTATTTTAGCATGTACCCCATGACATTTATATTTTGATTTATATATTTATATAAAGCTGTTATCATTTATTTTGATTTATTGTATTTCTATCAGCGTTTACCATTATTTAGCTTATATATAGAGGTCACTAAATTTGAGGTCAGCTAAGATTAATTAGAGAGGAAAAGACATTTTTCCGGCTTTTCATTCCAATTCAACATACAAACCAATTCAGTATGAATGTCAGTTGACCAGAGGCCTCTTGCACCAATGCTTGGATTATTTTGCATCGTATACCCAGTCCAAGTCTCAAATGTAACAATTTGCGTGCAAAATTTAGCAAGCACATGTAGGATTATGTATTGGGCTATTGCAAACAAATTTACCACCATCAGATTAGCCTATTTTGAAACCGGTTTTTCAATTTTACCTAGCTAGGTAGGTAGGAAGTTAGGTGCAAGAGGCCTCAGTTGATATAATCATGCTTTCTTGAAGTACAAAACAAAGAATGTCTGTGAGAAAAACTATATTAATGTATCAGAAACTGACTGATATGACAAAACTTAAGATCAGGGATGCGGAGCCGTGGAAATTTCAGACGGCTCCGGCTCCGGCTCCGGCTCCGGAGAAAAAAATCGGCTCCGGCTCCGGCTCCGGCTCCGGGTGAAATGTTATGGCGGCTCCGGCTCCGGCTCCGGCTCCGAGTAAAATGGTCCGGCTCCGGCGGCTCCGGCTCCGGCGGCTCCGGCTCCGACTCAGTAAATCCCCTACGCAATCAATTAAATACGGGTGGAAGAAAAATTGGATTGGTTATACGCTTTAATAGTCGCTTTATATACGGTTATACGGTTGGTTATACGCTTTATATACGGTTATACGGTTATAAAGAGATTGGCTCTTTGCCATGACCGGCTCACCGCGTCCCCGCGCAAACGCACCTCGGAGAGAACTGGCAGAACAAAGGGCTAGGAAGCGATGGCATTGGAAACGCAGTCGCCGCGAATCGGAGTTCAGTGAACCATCGTAAGCTGACACCCGTCTCGGCTGCATTGGGGGGGGGGGGGGGGGGAGGGGTGGGGGGTGTGTGGGATGAGACGGTGCTGGGAGTCGCAGTCCACTGCACTGGTTTGAAAACAATGGCCGTCACCTGATGACTGGTCCTCATGTTCTGGGGATGCAGTAGACGTGGGGGGGGGGGGAAGAGCAAACAGGAAGTTGTTTGCGTACTGTGGGATACTGGGGATATTCGGATTTTTTCATTCACTTGATGGCCCATGACGTAAGTACCATATGTTTTACTGCCTTGCACTGTCAAACCGAACTAGGTCAATTATTTTTTTTCCTCTTCAAAAAATAAAAAGGAGCCGGAGTCGCCCCCTTTTTTGGCGGCTCCGGCTCCGGCTCCGGCTCCGGGCTATATTGTTTCACGGCTCCGGCTCCGGCTCCGGCTCCGGGCAAAATATGCCGGCTCCGGCGGCTCCGGCTCCGACTCCGGCTCCGGCTCCGCATCCCTGCTTAAGATAATTAATTGTTGATGCTGCAACAAACGACTTCAATTTACGAGATCATATGAGCATCATAGTCAACATCTTTCTTTTGGTTATGAATTAGGATGGAATATTGAAAATAGCAAGTTATTTGATTTACAGGTGCAAATAATTAATTAACGATGGCTTGCAGCTAAAGCAAAAAAAAAAATTGAGCACGTGTTATGGCGCATTCCCAGGCAATATGGCTCGGCTCTTACCTCAGCCTGGGTTCGGATTTCATTTTCTTCACTGAGAAGTCCGCCGAGGATCTGTTGAAACTGGGCGTCGTCCGCCATTCCCATGGCCTAGGGAGACTCAAAACGATGTATCTCCCAACAAAATTAACACTGCAACGCCGACCGGCGCGACGCAACGTCGACACGCGCGCGAAAAGAGAGGGAGTCGCGCCACAGCAGTGAATGTGGCGCGGAATGGCGCGCTGTCGATATGGCAGCACCTGTGGAGCTGATGTGCCATATGTGACTAACTGGAAAGGGAGTTGAAGTTTTTTTGCAATGCCTTCATAGCTCAGTTCCCAACACGGTTCACACTTCAACGGCCTTCTGTCCAGTGCCCTGACTTCACTGCACCTACCGATGACTTCACCTACCTGCAGTAGCTGGGAATTTCACCACCCACCCACCCACCCACCCTCTACCCCCAGCTGGGGGGGGGGGGGTGTTAAACGCCTCCAGCCGATAACTCGGGAACCAATAGGCGCAGTGAAACGCGCCAGACGCAAACGATTAACGAAAAAACGCGTTACGCGACGAGACGTTCTGATGAATACTCGAAAGTTCTCCCTTGAGTTTTATTAACCCGCGCCGGGCCGGTGCTCCGCGACTTCCACGCCGGGCCGGGGTGTCTGAACACCCCCCGTCTAACTCGGCTCCTGGGCCACGTAGCGACACGCAGTTAGCAACATTCGAAAGAGCGTCAAAAATAATGACGGAAACACTTCGGTCATTTTTTGGGTCAGGTCAAAGGTCAGGTCGCCAGAGGTCATCAAATGTTAAATGCAAGCCATTTCAAAAATTTTGGAAACTGCCAACGGCTATCTCAGGAACCAATAGAGCTAGAGCGCCTCGGAAAAACGCATTCGATAGCCCTTTACAGACCTTTCTGAATATTTTCTCAGATTTGACCTCAGGTCAACGGTTTAGCCTCGAGAAGGCAAAAACTATAAAAATAACCGTTTTCGACAAAAACAGTTTTTCGGTAATACCTTTTGATTCAAGCAAGCCACGACATTACTTTTGCCAGCACCGTGTTCCTATCGTCGAGACACGTCGAATGAACTATTTGTTGACATTGAAAGTTCATTTTGAAAATTTGACCTCAGGTCAAGGTCATGACCTGACCGGAAAGGGTCATGTTGCATATCGGTTGATCCGTACCGTCGAGCTGAATACATCTAACGTGATTTCATCGCTCTAGCACGTCTTTATAAAAAGTTATAGCCAAAAACCTGCTGGTGACCGTTCATGACCTGAGATGACCTCAGGGGCACACAGAGGGGTCACAGGTGCACTAGGGTTGTTAAAAAAACGAATTTTGGAAAAGTATATGGGCTCATGGCTCATGTGGTGCGGTATTCTTTTCTGAGTCCAACGATACTCTTTTTTTCCGAAAAGTATTACTGCTAGGCGCTGCTCAAACGGCTTAAAGAGGACCATGTTACGCCCGCCGACCGGCCGGTGTCAATAAGGGCGAGAATTCGACGCCGCACGGCGGCGGCAGCGCCTTATCGGCACCGCGCGCCACGACATCTGCCGGGCGGCCGGCTGGGCGGTGGGAAGTTATAAGTGCGTGGTCTTATTGCACACGATCGGGGTGAGCTATCCCATGTTTTCGGGGCGGAAAGTTTCAGTGCAGCATCGGTGCGTCTGCCACGGCGTGGTCTGTGTCGATGGTATAGAAAATAACTCCAGCAGACCTCAGAAAATACTGAATGATTCCGGGTAGGTACTTGCCTCGAAACAATCCGTGTCAAGAATACAGCTGCCTTCTTAACGTACTGTATCACTTGTTAATTCTTCAAAAAGCAAGCTCTGAGCAATAACAGACTTCTTTGCATTGCTGTTTACAATTTAAGTTGCTTTTGGACGGTGGCTCGCAGCCCCAATATGCTGCCGCGTAACTCTATTCCAACGACGAAACGGCAACTTAGCGAGAATCGAAAATTTAACGAAGTAGGTACAACAGGAGCTGGCAAGGCTCCTGCATTGGTCTATCCGTCATGAGTGACACACCGGGGTAATGTGTCACGTCAGGGCAGAGCTGTGTTCTATGCCGTGTCTGGATTCGGGTCTAGATCGGCATCGGTGGGCACGGCCGCCCGCGCTGGCCGGACTGCCGGCGTCGCTTATGCTCGAAGGATTGGATAAACGGCGCTTGATTTATGAGTAGGTACTCTGGCTAATGTCTCTACTCATGTCTCACTTCGTCACACTGTCAGGGTGGCCACCCTGTCACTCCCAGACATGTTATGTTTTCTTTCGACCCGCTAATCTAAGTTAAACCTGGCGTCGATTCTGTTGCCCCAGCATCTGACATCAACGTATCTGAATAATGACATTGGTGACGCCTATGCTCGTCAAAGCCACCCCCAAACTTGGGCCGATGACTGTCGGGTATCCTCCATATTCTGTCTTTGTGCATACTGCATTGCCAGCCCCTGCTGTACGTATATCGTGAATTTTCGATTCTCGCGAAGTTGCCGTTTCGCCGTTGGAATAAAGTTGCGCGGCAGCATATTGGGGGTGCGAGCCACCGTCAAAAACTAACGTAAATTGTCAACAGCAATGCAAAGAGGTGTGTTATTGCTCAGAGTTTGCTTTTTGAAGAATTAACAAGTGATACGGTACGTTAAGAAGGCAGCTGTATTCTTAAAACGGATTGCTTCGAGGCAACTACCCGGAATCATTCAATCTTTTCTGAGCTCTGCTTGAGTTATTTTCTATACCATCGACACAGACCACCGTGGCAGACGCACCGATGCCATGCACTGAAACTTTCCGCCCCGAAAACATGGGATAGCTCACCCCGATCGTGTGCAATAAGACCACGCACTTATAACTTCCCACCGCCCAGCCGGCCGCCCGGCAGATGTCGTGGCGCGCGGTGCCGATAAGGCGCTGCCGCCGGCGCGCGGCGTCGAGTTCTCGCCCTTATTGACACAGGCCGGTCGGCGGGCGTAACATGGTCCTCTTTAAGCCGTTTGAGGAGCCCCTAACAGTTAATACTTTTCAGAAAAAAGGGCATCATTGGTCTCAGAAAAGAATACCGCACCACATGAGCCATGAGCCCATATACTTTTCCAAAATTCGTTTTTTTTTTAACAACCCTAAGGTGCACTTTCCGATTCAGTGTGTCATGTTTACCCATGAATTGATGTTTGAGAGGGTTTTGAACACCATTCGTCCACAAGAGGCGCATTTCAATTTTCTCCCATTGACTTACCTACTTATATATCATCCGCTTCCTCTCGTCACGGGCAACACCCTCGTTTTTTTCCGCGAAGCTCTAGCTCGATCAGGGGCCGAACGGCAGGGGGTCCGACCGACCCCCTCCCCCTCCCCCTACACATTAGAAGCTGGAAAACGCTGCACACATTCGAGGGCTAATATTGTCAATATTGACTACCGCAAAAAGTAAAAGCGGTCAACTTAGCCATTTTCGAAGATGTCGCCGTCGGGCTAAAATTTTTGACAGTGGGTCATCGGTTCGGTATGTGTTCAATCACATGCTCCATTTCCCTTTTTTCAGCACAAATGTAAGTTTTGAAGACCATCACTGATCACAGTAGCAAATGCTTCGAAAGATGGATAGTAGGCAACATATCCTGAATTTGCCGTGCTGCATGGGAAGTAGTGTTGATGAAAAAGGGGTTTTTGGTTCAGATTATTGTGGGTGCAGAATACATTGTCTGCACCCACTGGATAAATATTGTGGGTGCAGCTGCACCCTTGCACCCATGGTTCCTACGCTTATGCCTATGCATTAGCCCCTCTTAATCAAAATGCTGCAATTTTGAAATTCAATATTTCCGATTAAAGGCATTTCTCGATGTTGTGAGTGCCGAAACCGGTATTTGTGAGTCAGGGACCACATTTTGGCTATCTCAACTCAAATCTAATGTTAAGGTGGGAGGGTCCCTTTAAAAACTTAACCCTCGCCCATGTAGGGGGTGGTGCACCCCCCCCCCCCCTGAGGTTTTTCTTAGCTACACGCCGAACCGTTTCAGATAGCCTGCTCAAACTTTCAGTACCCTATGGGGGCATCCTTTGCGCAACTTTTGTTTTTTTTGTCAAGGTCATGTCAGGTCACGGAGTTATGACGTCATAAAGGGAACAACCTCCGGCCAGATTTACGCTAAATTGGAGATTGCTTCACATTGGTATAAATGCCGACTGACCTGACACACTGATGGATTGTTCATTGATTGTTCAATGAAGTGTTCATTGTGTGCTCATATTGCATTGTATATGACGAAGGTCGCAGAATAGCCCTGCACCAGTTGAGCGACCTTATTCGGTAAATACATACATACAAATACATTGATTTAGAATCATAACTGGCTGATTTGACATTGACACATTGTCCGTTGACCTTTTCAAGGTTACTAAAGGTCAAGGTCAGGTCAGTGACCTCGGTTGACCTGTAATGACTTCTTGCACTTGTATGCCTTTTCGGGGTATTTTGATGCCCTGAATTCGAATTTGCTATCCATTTCAGGCATCGTCGGTTGTTTCTTGTAGTTCATTTTGGGTCAGGGTCAGGTCAGTGACGTCACACGCCTGACGTGACCCAATGCACAAATGACCTTGCAGACTTCCGATGCTCCCAACGCATCATTTTAGAGTTATGACATCGAAATACACACCAAACGATAGAGAATTGATCAAGGATCACGATAGTGAAGGTTTCAAGTCGATATCTCTTACCGTTTTGCCGCAATCGGCGCGGAAATCTGAAAAAGTTAGATTTTTTCGAAAATTTGACCTTTGACCGGTCATAAGTAGGTCAAATGTTGACCTAGGACCAAAACATATACCACCAATCGCGAGATCTCGTTGAGAGCAATCCGTTGGTTTTTTCCGCTAAGCTCTACGACGCTCCGTTTTCAAACGCCAGGGGGGGGGTCGCACCAACCCCCCTCCCCTGCATGGGCGAAGGTGGCAAAACACCGTTTACGGGCGAGGGTTAAGACGACGAAGATATAGCCTGAAGTACACTAAATTTTATAGGTGCAAAACCTACCGCTAAAACCCGCAAGACCAGTACAGTATTTTTATATACCGGGTAGGTACTTTTAGCAGCAAGCAATATTTACATGTTCGTAGTGTAACATAATGACCCTTTCTTTAGCGGTGACCAAACTACACCTTTTGTCAGTTAAATTCGGTGCGTAATCGTCCATTTTAGAACTAACGGAATGTGTGTAGACATACCGCAAAATTATGTACAAGAATCACATAATATC